AGTGGAGGTATCCGTCTTTTCAAGTTTCTAGACTCTTTTCCACGTTTTGATAGTATAAGTAATTCCAGGTTCTGAGGTACTGATTAGCGTATATCGTTCGGCAGCCCGCGCTGGGATGCCGTATCGTGTAGAGGTCCACCTTTGCCCTGCCGATTTCTTTCCCACAGTTGATTTCCCACCGACCACAGCACGAATTGCGGTCGTTCAGCCTTTCCATACTGGACAAACGACTCGATCCAAGATCCTGGATGACGATGATGCGGAGGACAAGGGCTTGCATTCGAAATTAGGTGAGTTCAGTAGTTCTGTTTACGTGATAGAGTCACTTCATGATGTCTAAGCCTTACACTTGGAGGATGAGGTATTTTGTTCGTATGCATTAATGGACAGCCTTGTGGTACATAAATGTGTTCAATCGAAACCTTGAAATGAATCCAGGAACCCTATGAATTAAGCCGATATTGCTCTTGACGAGCTACCGTACACCCCCCTCCTTCGGAGGGTCCAACTCCACCAGCCGCACAAAGCTGTTCGAGTCCCTCTTTTGAGGCTTGGTCTGATAGTCAACCGAGTACGACATCGTCTTGGCAATCTGACTTCTCTGTCCTTGGCGACTGGGACCCAGAGCCCTTGCAGAGGGTGTGGTGGGCTGCGGGTACGATTTATTGGAGGAACCACCCAGCAGACCGGGGAAAAAGTGGGCGAGCATGGCGCGGCCGGTGGGCAGACAGGCGCAGAGAACGGCGATGCTGACTTCGATGACGGACCAGTGGACGATTGGTTGCAGTTCCACTGTAGTAGATTGGTTAGTATTATTGGGAGGGAATGGTAGGATCAGAGCACCAACCGGTAGGATTCTTCCCCCAGCGATTGAGATAGAAGACCACGACACGGAGAATGGCGACGACCGTCAAGCTGTACGTCAATTAGATGATATCCACAATAATGTCAAGGAACACCTACACTAGACCCATGGCGAACATGACACCCACACCAAGCTTCTTTCTTCCAGACAGGTTGAGCTTCGAAATTTCATAAACAGGCATCAGGACCATGACAGTATCCACGGCGATGTTGACAAAAGCATTGGCGAATGTCGCGCTGGTGAAATCGATGCATGTTCCCGGCGTTTCTCCTGCCCAGCCGTCCCATGCAAGATGGACTGGGTTGCATCGCAGCGAGTCGACAAGCACCCATGTAACTCCAATGGCAGCATTGAGTCCGATGATCGTGTACGTCGTGTATCGGAACGTGGGGGTCTGGAAGATTCGCAGGAGGAAGAGGCAGACGGAAATCTTGGCTAGGGAGATCTGCGTCTTGTATAATACGACGAAGGCGAAGAAGCGCTGAGATGATGTGTGAGTGTGCTGGCAGTTGGACTAAGGGACAAACGGCAGAGGCTTACCTTGTACACTTCTGTGATGTTGTCCATGGGGATAACATCCCACATGTTCTTGCCGAAGCCCACTTGAATCACTGAATCTAGATTAGCATATGAGGTCGCTCAATCGTTGGGATAGCTTACTGGCGATGTTGACGGCAAAGATGGCTACCGCTAGCACCTGCAGATGGTCAGTCTGGTCCTGTCAATCTGATTGCCTGAGGAAATTGTACATAAGCGCCGATGATGGTGTAGTCATCGGATCCCCAACCACCGGCCAGGCCCATGGATTTGGCGGCCATTCGGTTAAAGAAGAAGATCGAAGCAAGGATCAAAGGGACGAGTGTGGCAGCTTCCACCTGGGGGCGGCCCTGGTGGACAGGGACATTGCATACTCGGTCGCCCAGGCGTTTTGCAACTTATGAAGTCAGCTTGGACCCTAGATCATGGCGGTTAGACGTACGTAATGATTCTCTGACGGTGCATTTCGCGGAGGCGCAAGTGCTGAGCGCGTTCTGGTATGTTGTGTCACCGCAAAGACACAGCCCATCCGAAGAGCTGCATGCTGTCACATTGGATGCAAGGACCTGCTCCTGACACAAGACCTACTCCTCTTAGTCCTCCACTCTCAAATAATCCAGCAATTTGCGGGGACATACCGCACACTGAGGCAGGCTAGATTGCGCAGCCGAAGCCACAGCAGTGAACCCTGCGCCGACAACCGCCGCAATCAATATCCGACGAACAAGCATATTAACTGTGGACAGAGAAGAGAAAAAATCATACGATTTTTCTGAAGTTATGACAGAAGCTTTTCAGGGCCTGAGACGGTCGTCAAATATGGAGCACGAGGGCAGCACGCCAGCTAAAAAATTCCCATCGACCGGTCCAGCGTGCGCATAGCATCATGCTGGGCAAATTAGCGATCTGCAGAGTCCTGACAGTAATGCCGATCGAAAAGGAGGGATCTCCCTGTCTGACAGTCGACGATCCTCTTCATTGGCTGTGTTTAGCTGTCGAGGCACAACCGTATTCTTCTCTGGGAATCTTGTGCCTGCGCTAAAACGGACTGTTGGACTACTCCGGCGTAGTCAGGGGGTCTTTTAACAAGCAGGGACAAATCATCGTGAGCGCTACGTAACTACAGTCTCGTATCCATCAATGGGATCAACAAGATTCTCTCGGTGTCGGAGACTAAGTGGGGATAATATCCCTTTCTCGTCAGGGTCTCCACTGCCCAAATAGGCTTGATCTCCTCGGGAATTCTTCAAACTCTGCTTATTTCACATGCTCTGGAAGGTGAGGATACAGAATCTGGCGAGTTATGTAAAGCATTGCATGGATCCATGGGCTTACTGAAACAAACACTTCGCAGGGTTTGGTTTCGTGTTGAACTGCCCTAAATGCTGAATCTTCAGACTTGTCGCCCCTCGGCGCGACACTGGCAGGTTGCTTCTTGGCCGTTGAGAAGATCCACCATAATCCACTCCCAACGGCATGAAAGAACAAGACAGGAAAAGATCTCCACTGGTGCCATGATTTGTCACGGTCTGGATTCTCTTTCTGTCATTCATGTTGGCTGAATGGAGCAACTCTTCCCGTGATTACACTTCCGCCAAGATGCACAAAAAGGAGTTATATATCGTAGCGTCTTGGTATCTTCAGTCTGAGCTTCTTGGTATTACTGGCTCATCCTATCAAGGAGAGTACCTGCATTAAGAATGGCCCTAGGATGTAATGGCTTGTGCTCGATGCGCTAGTTTCACTTGGAAACTCACTGATTTTTGAGGCATCAACAATCCTATTAACAGAATCGGCATATATTCCCTGACTACGTGCCGGCATACTCTGGACAAGGTTTGTTTTGTGCTTTTTGAATTGACAATTTAAGACTATCTCTAACCGCGGACGGCGTGCTGAAACGAACACTGCCGGCTCTTCCTACCTCGGCGGACACTTGCCGACGTCTCACAGTTAAGCTGATGCCAAGTCCTGCACACCAAGGGGAAGTCTAGAACGAGACATGGATTGAGATAGTCGACGAGCTGTGTACTCACCAGCTCTTCTACTCCTTTCCATGTCGTCCGGTGGCAGCAGAATAATCCGGCATACAGCCTATGACATGTCTCAGCTCATGACTGGAGACGATGTCGCAGCCCTGGTCTATATTGGAAAAGAACAGTAGAGCTTTGCGATGCATCGGTCACTGGAAGCCCATTGCAATGGCGTTCGTCCATAATGGTCCGGTTTGAGCACATCGCAACCAGCCAACACCAGTGCTTCAACCGCCTCGCTTGAGTCCATTTGCATTGCCCAGGACAACGGCGTTCGACCGATCTGATCGCATTCATTTATATCTGCCCCTTGCTCTACGAGCCATCTCACCATCTCAATGTGTCCTTGATCTGCAGCGAGTGACAGCGCCGAGCGACCAAAGTAATCCTTCTGATGCATGTCCGCTCCTTTTTCTACCAGCAGCCGAGCAATCTCACAGTGTCCTCGACAGGCTGCCATGAGGAATGGGGTGCGTCCATGGCGATCAGGCAAATTGACCCTGACCCCTTCGTCGAGGAGCATTCTGACGATGGCCGTCCGTCCTCGACTGGCGGCCTGTGAAAGAAGGGTACGGCCATAGCGATCGATCTCGTCAACCGGAGCTCCTGCGTCTACCAGGAAGGCAGCGATACGTTCACGTCCGTCATGCATAGCCCAGTATAAAGCATCCTTGCCACTGCGCTCCAGCTGTTCCTTGGCCCCATAGCCTAGAAGCAGACGTACCGCCTCAAGCTTGCCCCCTAGAACGGCCCAGGTTAACGCCGTATGGTTGTTGTCTCCACCGCAGGTATTGACATCCACGTTAGCAGCAAGCAGCGAGCGCACGATGTCCAGGTATCCATGAAACACGGCGTGTAGAAAAACCGATCTCCCGGCCGGGTCACCTGCAGGTACATCCGTGTTTGCCCCAGCTGCCAGCAGACACTGGACGACTTCCCTGTGATTGTTGACAACGGCCAGAGACAGCGCTGTCCCCGCGTCCTTGTCTGATCGAACCTCCAAATCGACCCCTGCGTTGACAAGCGCTCGGACGACGGCCAATTCACCTTTTGAAGCGGCCATCCTTAACGGCGTCCAGTCCCCGACACGTCCTTCCAGCCCAATCCCTTGCTGGATGATTTCCAGCGCAATGTCAATGCACCCCTTGTAAATGAAGAACATGAGCGGCACAATGTGTTCTGAGGGTTGTAAATCAGCGGGCTCCATGTATTCGAATATAATGCGAGCCTTGTCCACGATGTCGGCATCGTGGAGGAGGTAAGCGAGCACTTCTTTCCAATCGATCTCCTGTTGTGGATGCCGATGCCGTCTCCATTCGAGCAGGCTGCGAAGGACGTCGGGCGATTGCTGGTACACTATTGCGCACGTAATGAGCAATGCAGAAGACCTGCAAGAAACCCAAGCCCTCGATGATCGTGGGAGAAGAAGTTGAATAGTGGTCTGGGTGCCGGAGCATACGGCGTATTGTAAAGCCGTGCAATCCATCCGTCGGCCGCATCTACGTTTGCTCCAAGCGGGAGGAGAAGCTCAATAACCTTGTCTTGACCGGCGCCCGCAGCAGCCATCAGAGCCGTTGTTCCCCGTCCGCTCCCTCGATGTTTACCGTCTTGGAGACTAGCAGTTTCTGCAAAACACCCACCTCTCCCAGTGCCGCCGCCGCGACAAAGACAACATCCGCGGGCGGCAATGCCGGAGACATGGCCATCCAGGCGTCAAACAGGTACCGTACGCGGATGCCGCGGCGGATTGGGTCGCGCTTCGCTAAGGCTAGGTGCATCGGGGTCCGTTTCTCTCCCCGGCGTCCTGTTACATGAGCGGCCGGAGATGTCCCAGCGTCCAACAGTGCTTTGATGACCTTCTCACATTGCGAGTAGACGCTACAGGCCATATAAAGTGGTGTTTCGCCGTAGGAAGTCCGAGCCTCAAGATCGGCGCCATATTGCGCCAGCAGTCGTACAGCCCATGTTTTCGCGTCGAAAACCGCTTGATGCAGAGGATACCAGGACCGGTTGTCTGGAAGGCCGGTCCTTGCTCCTCTCTGTAGCAGCAACTCCACTATGTCCGGCTTCTCGGTCAGAGCGCTGTCCTCGATCGCGATCGCAGCGACAAGTGGAGTCCGGCCGAGGCCATTGCGGTGGTTGATGTCCAGTCCCTCGTCCAGGAGGAACGCAATGTCCGCGATCGGTAGGTTTTTCTTGACGGCCCGGTGCAGCAGATTATCACCGTCGGAGTCAACCAGATGGATATCGAGGCCATGTCTGACGAGAGCTCGGGGGGCTTCCAGGTCCTCCGGGGCCCAACCACTGAGGAGCTCCCCCACCTGGCCAAAGTCGTACCTAGCCAAGTCCGTGCCGGCAGACAGAAGCATCATAATGATCTGCTTCCGATTGACTCCCGCGACGCAGGAGAGGATTGGGCCACAATCACCTGGCAAATCTGGAGCACTGTCCAAAAGCCGTGTGACGATCTCAACGGAGCCAGCTGAGCAAGCGTACCAAAGGGCGTGGTGTTTAACCTCCAACACGCTGATTAGGTTGTGATCTAGAAGATGATGCATGGTCCGTTGCTTCTCCGCGCAATTCGCCCATGCAAGGACGCCGGAGAGCCGTTTGACAGGCACGGAATAGAGGACTTGGTTGAGGAGGTCGTATGCACGGTGACATGTGCGAACCAAAGCCGACACACTCGGTGATGAGAGATATTGAGCTATCTCAATGACGAGCTCCACCGGCAGCGTGAACAGGTGTCGTGGTGTCATGGTTTCATACTCCAGCATATATCCGATAACTTGTAGATGGCTCTCGGAGTCAGCACATTCTGATAGTGGACATGTTGATCTTGACTAGTGGCATGCAGCGAGTCATCCGTCTTCAGCTTATTGGCTCAAGTCTCTTGCCCCGCGCATGAGGCGCAAGGCTACCACGACGGTCATCCGCTTAAGTCTATGTACAACAGTCATGTACCTCGGGTCTGGATTTTTCATGACTTTTCTGAATATCAGATTGAGCCTAAAGTTGCGAATAGTAGAAGCTGTCTGTCCTCGAAGTCTGAAAGGAGAGCAACATCTCTATATGATTGACTCTTTCGTGTACGGATCATCGATCTTGGCGATAGTTGGCAGTTGCAGCGCGCTTTATCGTTTGATAGGGCTGGAAAGTATCCAGACATGTCAGTTTCCTGATTCGATACGGTGTCATGGTGTCTTAACCTTTCGCTTCGTGATGGCACCCACCCCACGACTCGTCAACATCATCGTATGTTCCCTTTCTGACTGAAACCTACCCTGCTGTACTCCCATTCTATCAATGCCGAGACAAGGCTGTCCTTCCGCAGGCATTCTCAACTTCAGTGACAGTCTGTCAACAAGGAAACTATGACTGTTGCTCCGTCTCCGTGGTTTGTCATGAGCACTCATGTTCGTAACAAGAGCCGTTGTCCATGGAAGTCTGGATTCTCTACGAAGTATATTGACTGATATGACGCTGCTGCCTAACCTAGACCTCGTATAGCCATCTGTGGCGGTCTTGTGCTTCTTGGCCGTCGACACCTACATGGAATTCAACAATTATATAAACCCCGCAGCCGCGTTCTGCGATTATGTCAAGCACTCGGACACAGCTCAGAGACACAACTGCCATCGGCATTAACTCATCATGTCTAGCACAATCGACCATGTGGGAATCCGCGCCCCAAAAGATCAGTTTGAGAGCATCATCGACTGGTACAAGAAGGCTCTTGCACCGCTGAAGTACAGGGAAATGATGCGCTTCCCAGGAGCTGTCGGACTCGGCTCTGAACATCCAGATTTCTGGATCTCAGAGACCGACGAGCAGTACGGTGGCTCCCACTTTGCTTTTATAGCGCGTGGTATGTTTCCTCTCGTCCCTGGAGAGCGACTGACTGATGATCAGACCATGCTACGGTTGACGCTTTTCACCAGGCTGCTGTAGCAGCTGGAGGAAAGTGCAATGGCGCTCCTGGAATTCGGGCAGAGTATCATCCAGAGTACTATGGGGCTTTTGTGTTGGATCCGCTGGGCAACAATGTGGAAGTGGTAGGTCAAGGTCATCACTGGTAGATATAGTTATAATTATGCGGCTACTAAAGTTGACAGGTGGATCACCCCTTCACTGGATGGGACGATATCTTCAAGAAAAATGATGCTTGAATAAGTATTTCATCTCTGGCTCGCGGTCAGTTTCTTGGTCCTTTCTCCATTGTCGAGGAATGCGGGGAGGGAGAGCAAAGTGATATATATGCTGTTCGCCTGAACCATAGTTAACTTGAACTACAAATTGCGATACACTAAATGTCTTTGCATACATGGTCAGATCGACCTAGTCTAATATTATCTGTATCTATGTCTCGGCCGATCCGCGAATTCTCAAGTCTTGACGTCATGAACGCGACGTTGCAACGGCAGCGACAACCATCCAACCACACGGCATCACCACCCAGACTTGGGAGCAAAGAGGTTCATCCATAGAGTTTCCATCCGGCCGGAACCGTCTAATAACCCTACCTCGTATCATAGATAAGTTCTGTGGAGCTGGAAATTGCTTGTCACAGATCCCGACTCCGCGAAATTCAATATTCTCCTACACTTCGCGACCGCAGAAGACATGCGGGATATCCTACCTCTCTCCCAGGCCTTACGACCATGGTGAGTGGCCGGAGTGAGGCAATTGTGGTGGTCACGGCCATATTCCTGGCTTTTTCCTTGATCACGGGCAGTTTGAGATGCTTCGTTCGCTTTCGCTTGACTCATGCCGCAGGTTGCGACGACTATATCATGGTAACTGCAATGGTAAGACTATCCTTCGACTCATGTAACAGGGCAATTCTGAGCAGACTGGAACACAGTTCTTCAATATCGGTTTCGGGACGTGTACGATACTCGGCGCGACGTTTGGCATGGGCAAGCAGCTGGTTTACTTTGAAGAATCGCCGCAGAACTTTCGCAAGGCGATGCTGGTGGGTGGATATGAATTTTTGCGACGCAAGCTCACTACTGACTGACCGCAGTGTTTCTGGCTTGGGCAACTCTTCTACGTCGTTACTTCTGTCCTCGTGCGATTGTCAATCACCGTCACCCTCGTGCGCCTCACCGTCGATAACCTCCATCGGAGCATCCTCGGTGCTGCCACCATCCTGTCCATTGTCGCAGGAACCATTTTCTTCTTCTTCACCATCTTCGAATGCACCCCGGTCAATTATTACTGGAACCGAATGACGGAAAAAGGGCATTGCATGGACATGGATGGTCTCCTGGGAGTCGTCTACATGTACAGTGCGGCCGCTGCGGTATGCGACTTTACAATTGGACTGCTGCCCGCCTTCATGATTCGGAGGCTAAAGATGGACCGACATACGAAGATGGCCGTCATTGGCATTTTGTCTATTGGATGCGTGTATGTTACTTCTTCCTGCTTGAACCTGACAGAAACTGACTATCGCCAGTGCTAGCACCGCGGTTATTGTTCGTATCCCGTTTCTCCATCTGTCAAAGAGTCGGGAGTTTCTATGTAAGAGGCCTCTGAGACCGTCACTGGCAGTGATGACTGACTGACTTCGGCAGACGAGACAACGCAAGTTTCGATATGGTCGAACATAGAGACTGGGTTAGGGATGACCGCAGGGAGTTTAATGACTGTGCGACCCTTTTTGCGGGCGATCGGATGGTTACATATAGACTAAAGTAGCTAGACCAGTCGAATGAACCCCAGTTTCCAAGCACCCAGAAGAGAAGCAGCATATTCCAAGCGAAACACTATAAACCTTATGTCAAAAAGTCAAAAACAGCCGTGTCATTGATGGAAGAGAGCCCCATCGCGTCAGGACCCCAGATTCCCACCGCCCGAACCATGGCACGCGCCTCCACTTTCATCATTGGCTCCGGAGCTCATAATCATATTGCTTTATAAGACTCCAATACAACGAGGAACTGAAATAGCTGTTCTACTAGCATTAACTATGTGCAAACACGTCCAATCCACCATCCATGAGGGACCGATCAGACAGTCTATACCATCTCCAACCCCGGCTCGATGACATCCTAAACGATGTGGCCCCCTTCCCCTACACCCTGGGCGCATTCATCGCCTTTCTCTCCGAGCACCAATGTCTAGAAACCGTCGAGTTCTTACTAGAAACCGAACGCTACCGACGCATCTACCACTGGCTCGAACACAAAACCGAGACATGCGAGGTCGCCCGCAAGGCGCATCTCTCCGGTCTCTGGAACCGGCTGATAAAACAGTATATTCGCCCTCACGGGGAGCGCGAGATTAATATCCCCTGCGACATTCGGCAGCAGCTGATGCAGCAGTTCCACAAGCACGGGGATGACCCTCCCCCGCCAGAAATACTCGATCGGGTCGTGAATAACGTCAAGGAGCTCCTGCGGGGTTCCATCCTGATACCCTTCCTGCGAAGATCATCCGCGACTGCGCGCGTCCAGCCGCTCTCCATGCCGTGTTTGAATGATTGCTTGCCGGAGGAGGCCATGTCCGGGCCATTTGTCTCGGATGATATACAGGTGAATAGATGCCCGCGAGAGGATTATCCTAGCCGTCGGAGTGACTCGACACGTCGGTATGGATTCTATGGCGAGCCGGCCTCGAGCTCGGTAGAGGACGACGGCGAGTATGCGAGTAGTGCGGTGATGTCTTCTGCGTCGGACCGGTCGGATATACAAGATTTTGCTGTCAAAGGGAATGGTGAGACGACCAGCTCGCGTACGAGCGCGGTTCGAGACCGGCCTTCTCCAGATGATAGGAAAGGTCGCGGCTGGCGAAAGAGATTCAAGGAGGGGTTGGCGAGGCATCTTCTGCGGTCGTCGGAGTGATTGAGTGTCTCGTATAATGATACCCATGATGACTTTTTGCGTTTACGGGCGTTCGTGGTGTTTTATTACTGGTGATCTTAGAAGCTTGGGTAAATGCCATGTATTGTCTCTATCTCGACATCATATTCACGGGGTATAGGAAAAGGGATCTGAAAGCGACTTGCGTAGTGATACAACTCCCATCGTGATATCTAAACCATCATGATAACTATATCAGGTGTCTAGCAGCATCACACAGCGACATCACCGTCAAGGTCTAGTCGCATTTGGGGAGTTTTTCTAACATCATCAGCCACGTCCAAATACCAGGGAAAGGGAACATACTGCTTGAGCAATTACTATCGGTAAAGTACCCATTCACATAACACGTCGTCTTGAGATAAGTAATTTGATCCCAGGAGCTAGTCTCATTAGCATCAGCTCATCATAACTCACTATCAAACTCACCAAACCCCGTTGTAGCAATCGCCGTGCTTCCAGCACGCAAAGGTGAGTTTGTCCCCCTTGGGGAACCCAAAGATCGCGCCGGCGTCTAGCTTCGCGTCGTACCGGCAGTTGACATAGTGATCGACGTTGACGATCTTGCAAGTCTGCGCGGATCGGCGCTTCTCAAGGTCCAGCTCTCCACTACCATCTGCTTCGGCTTCGGGGTCTGCGACAGGGGCAGCGGCCGCCAGGAGGGGGAGAAAGGCAACTGCGAGACTGAGGAACTTCATTTTGTTTTTGTTGCTGTGTTAACTGAGACTCGCTCTATCGTCAGGGGAGGAATGTTGTAAAGCCGTGTACTTATACCTTGGGATCACCACGTCCTCGTATTGCGCAGCCCGCTTCCTCGTGTTCCTCGCCGCATGCTGCTATTCATAGGCAGATAGCGCGAACTCTCCGATGTTGCATTCTCGTATCCGGCCATTTTTAGCATCTTAATATCCTCGCTTTGCATTGATAATTAGCTAGGCTAAGGCATTGCTGCAGAGTGCTTGTCTATTAATTCCCCGATGGTCATTCATGTGGTCAAGTCTACAGGCGAGCATGAAGAAGGGTTGAACCAGGCCGCTTTTTTATGCGAGGTACTAACACAGAACTGCAGTGACAGTGTAAAACACTAACATAGATGATATATGATCTCATGAATCTCCCTCTCACTACTACTAAGAGTGTGCAAATAGTTATAGTTATATTAGACGAGCTGGATAATCTTGGCAGATTGTTTCAAATACAGGAAAGGGGCCGCTTTTAGTACAGAGGATGTCCCGTATGAATATTAGAATTAGAGACTATACAGTTTGCAATACGGCGAAGGAACATATTCTATTGGTATTTTCTGTTCCTTGAGCTACTCCGGTGTCTTCAATTTGCTGTACCTTGAGATGTCTGGGGAACAAGCGAGAATAAGGATATGGGGAAATTATTGGGGTTTGCGGAGGACAGGACTCGAATATGGCTTCTTTCTGGAGAAAGTGGGATGTACATAAGTAATGAGGCTAGACATTTTATTGCCATTCACTCTGGCTTGTATAACTTGTGCACTGTCAAAGTGAAAAGGCTCATCCCAGTCAGCATATGGAAATCTGGAGAGCAACACACCGTTAGAATCATTATTGAGAGAATGCGCTGGTTCTTGAAATCGTATGTAATGAAAGGCAAATTCATATATCTTGGATAGGCAGCGAACGCAAAGTCAATAGATGTCATCATAGACTAGATCTAGAGTGTCTAGAACTCTGAGCATATGTATATTGATATCCTCAGATGGGACGTCCATGAGACAGAAAGCATTATGAATGAAGTGAGGCAGTATTGGGAGACATTTTGACTATCCTTGGGCCAGGCATCCTACCCTGGTAAGCTTTGATTGCTGCCTGGATGAGAAACAATATAGACAGGGTTAAGCTTATATATTTATCTCTAATAACCACATTGCTAAGGTGAGCAGCCTCTTGGCTATGTTGAAACACCCTGGTGCCTATCAATACTCTTACTATTATATCCATCATGAAACGAACTAGAATAGAAAAAGAGAAAGAACTGCTTTCTTAAATCACAAGAAACAGTCGATTAATGAGACATCATTGTTATCGCAATTGGTTAACTAGCAGATTAATAGTGGGGGACAATGGGATGCAGTAAGACATGAGTCATGCAAATAGTGCTTATTCCCCAGCAATACGATTTGAGGACGCGTATTTCTGGTATAAATAGAGGGGAGGGGGGTACAGGATGAAATACCCTCTGCCCCTCAAACGCTTTCAAGTAACGACGATCTGACCAAATGGCCGACGATATCGAAACTAGCTTCCAGGCCGCCATCGACGCTGGCAAAATTAACGGCGCTGTTATTTGTACCACTGACACCGACGGTAACTTTGTTTACAATAAGGCTCTGGGCCAGCGTACCTTGCTGTCCGGCGAAAAGCGCCCGCAGCAGCTCGACGACGTTCTCTACCTGGCCTCGGCAACCAAGCTGGTCACCGCCATTGCTGCCCTGCAGTGCGTCGAGGATGGGCTACTTAGCCTGACTGGCGATCTGTCGTCCGTCGCACCCGACCTGGCCGCCAAGCAGGTCTTAACTGGCTTCTCCGACGACGGCGAAACCCCGATTCTCGAGCCACCAGCTCGCCCCGTCACGCTCGAGATGTTGCTCACCCATAGCTCGGGTCTCTCCTACCACTTTTTAACCCCGTACATCGGCCAGTGGCGCGACAAGTTTGCATCTCCCCAAGAGGGTGAGCGCCTCTCGGTCGAGGAGCTGTTCCGCTACCCACTCGGCTTCCAGCCTGGCACCGGCTTCATGTACGGCCCAGGGCTCGACTGGGCCGGCAAGGTGGTGGAGCGGGTGACGGGGCGCACACTCGGCGAACGCATGCAGGAGCGCATCTTCGACCCCCTCGGCATCAATGACGCTCAATTCTGCCCCGTCACACGCGAAGACCTTCGCCCCCGGCTCGTGGACCTTAACCCGGATGATCCCGAAGCCCAAGGGCGTGCGGTGCTCGGCGGCAGCGTCGACATGAACAAGCGCGGACGCGGCGACTTTGGCGGCCACGGCCTCTTCATGTCGGGCGAAAGCTACGTCAAAATCCTCCACTCGCTGCTGGTCAACGACGGAAAGCTGCTCCGGCCCGCGACCGTCGACGATCTGTTCGAGCCACACCTGAGTCCTGAAGCGACGGCGGCGCACCAGGCTGCATTAACATCTCCTATGGGCGCCTTTTTCGGCGTAGGCCTCGACGCCGGAACAAAGCTGGGCCAAAGCCTGGGCGGCCTGCTGACCCTGCAGGATCTGGATGGCGGGTACGGGGAGCGCACATTGACATGGGGCGGCGGCCTGACCCTGGTCTGGTTTATCGACCGCAAGAACGGGCTTTGCAGTGTTTGCGCCATCCAAGCCTCGCTGCCGTTCAATACTGAGGCAGTGATGGCGCTGAGGCAGACATTCCGCCACGACATTTACCGCAAGTATGCTGCGTTTAAGGCGTAGTAGATGTCATTTGATATTATGTGTCACGAGAAACGAATATAAATAGAAATGTTATAAAAAGGATGAAACTGCATGGTTTGTAGGGCGTTGTGGTCATAGAGCCATTAGTTACTCGGCGATGTTCATTAATAAGCTTCAGGATTCCATGGTAGCTTCTGGTGGCCCCAGATATACCCACAAATGCAATCTCCGTTAGTCTGGGCAATCTCGGAACTCCTTGGAGCGGGGAAAACTGAAACTTTTCTTCGGTCCTGGTCTTTGCTGCTGGGAGTTTCTGGCCCGTTTACGCCGCTCTTGGTCGGCATCTATTACAACCATGCCTACTGAATCAGAAGTAGGAATTCAACTTACAGAAGGAGATGGGTCTAGCGCATCTGATGGGGACATAGGTTTCATCAGGCGTGGCTTCGGAGAGGTACATGCTGTCCGGCAAGGCCTGTACCAGCGGCACATTCAGATGATCGCTCTTGCTGGCACAATTGGCACCGGTCTATTCCTCAGCTCCGGCCAAGCCCTTGTAACGGCAGGCCCACTGGGTGCATTTCTTGCCTATTCGATTGTTGGCCTTGCTGTTTCGAGCGTCGTCCTGACTGTCGGAGAGATGGGTGCGTTAGTCCCCTTAGCGGCGGTCTCGTCCGCTACGCAGAATACTTCTTCGATCCGGCCATGGCCTTTGCCAACGGGTGGAATCAAGTATACTTATACTCGGTCACTCTCCCTGCTGAGATAGTGGCAGCCTCTGTGCTGATTGAATTCTGGATCACCGTTAACAACGCAATCTGGATTACCGTGTTCAGCGTCCTGGTGCTCGTTACTGCGCTGGTATTCGTCAGAATCTATGGGGAGCTCGAGTTTTCATTCGCCATCTTGAAAATTCTGCTAATCATTGGAGTGAACATCATGGCGCTGGTGATTACTTGCGGCGGAGGGCCAGATGGTGAATCCATTGGTTTCAGATACTGGAGAGACCCAGGGCCTTTTGTTCAGTATCTGGGGATCGAAGGCTCCCTTGGCCAGTTTCTTGGTTTCTGGAAAACTTTAAACAATGCCGTCTTTGCATACTCGGGGATCCAGAATATCACGATTCCCGCGGCTGAGACCAGGTCTCCACGACAATCAATACCAGAGGCAACCAGGCGCATCTTGTACCGCATCTTCCTCTTCTATGTCCTGTCAATCTTTATGATGGGCTTGGTTGTTCCCTCCAATGATCCCACTCTTCTTCGACTGACTGGCACGGCTTCTCAGTCCCCATTTGTTATCGCTGCCCGCCGGGCAGGGATCAAAACCGCGCCCTCAATCATCAATGCTCTTATCCTGACTTCCGCCTGGTCTGCTGGCAATTCATACATCCTCTTTGGATCCCGTATTCTCTACGGCATGGCGGTCCATGGCCACGCTCCAGCCGTATTTGAAAGGCTGAACCAGTTCTCTGTGCCTTATGTGGCTATTAGCTGTATCGGGCTCTTCATGTGCTTGGGATATATGTCCCTCTCCCACTCATCAACCATAGTCTTTCGATGGCTGCGTGATGTCGTGTCAGTCGCCACATTAGTTGACTGGATAATCGTCTGCATCGTCTACCTCCGATTCTACTACGGTTGCAAGAAGCAGGGCGTCGACCGACACAAAGAGCTTCCATGGGCTGCGCCTTTCCAGCCCTACTCTACCTGGGCATCGCTGATCCTGTTCACCCTCTTGCTGATTACTGGTGGCTTTAGCACATTCATCAACGGCCACTGGGATACCGAAACCTTTGTCGCATCGTACCTCAACATCCCAATAGTCCTCGGACTATACTACGGGTACAAATTCTGGAAGAAAACGCACATCATCGCTTTAGAGAATATACCGCTGGTCGGTCTAATCCAGTTCTATCTGTGCCATGATGAAGAGGAACCTGAACCAACCCCAAGAAAGGGGCTCGCGAAGTTTAACATTCTGTGGTAGCTGCCCCGATACCGCGTACTGTCCGAGCAGGTGGGAGGAGTGCATATTGTACATACAGACTATTCCTTGGATGTAGCTTTCAAGCTGAATATATTCTTCATTAGAGATTCTATCCATTGATTATGATCTAGCATCCACCTGGGAAATGCACCATGAGCAACAGCCAATACTTTTTCCCCTGCTGCGTACATTATCCTTTCGTTGCTCCACATCGACAGATCCGTAGGCGAGAGTGCTCTAATCCGAACCATCAGCCATATCCCCTCAATCACATTTTCCAGCACGCATACCCGATGATTTAATCAATCTCATTAAGCCACACCCGAACGGTATCAACGCCCCTACGCGCCGCAAGGATTCGCAGCACAGCCCGAACATTCCCTTCCACGATCTCAGTCTCCTGAGGAAAAATATCCGAAGGCTGCCATGTCACAAAGGCTTGGGTGATGGACCGCTCTCCGCTCTCCAGATAGTAATCGGGAATCTTGGGGCGAAGACTGGTATAGAGCGATGCGGCGAATTCCTCAAAGGAGGAGACGTCTTCGTCGACGAGGACCACCTCGTTGGTGCGGGTCTCGCCGGTGAGGTAGATGAGGATGGGGACGAGGGTATCGGTGGACATTTTGATTGTATGATGGTATTCGGGTGTACTTGGAGGTATGAGGGAGTGATACAATGGCTCACAGGAGGTATATATACACATATACCACATGTCCTTGGCCTATGCTATCTTTGAGTCTGCCTTGCGGAGGGCTCGTAATGCTGGTCGTATTCGCAGATTGAACGTCTGTTAAAGGATGCGCTACGCTCGGAATACGAGGGCAAAAGCGCCATGTCTCCATATATCTCTCGTATACTGGGGACAAAGCTCGCGTATATGCCAAGCTAGTAATCTGCCATAATCAGCTAGCTTTATCTAAGGTTAGATTGTATGAGTTCCTGCAGTGAGAGCCTCAGGGGAACACGAGAGAAAAACGCCTTGCCCGGTTGCCGGTTTGGGGCATGAAGCAGGCATCTAGCGACTCACCCACCATGTTCATGCTTCCAAGAAAGTATTGATAGGTCTCGTTTAGTCCGAGCCTTTCCTGAGACTGGTCAACTTCTGTATTTTCCTTGGGACATATCTTCTCTGATAAGAACTGTCAAGAGGGCGGCCTGACCGGGGATTCAGAAGATATGACTTCCCAGCCGAAGGAATCTCCTGTTCACAGTGAAGAACTGACCTAGCAAGTATATTGAGATTACCTGGTCCAAGTACGCTACTTTCCCTGAAAGCAATCCCAGATATACAGACTACTCCCAAGTGCTGGTCCGACTTTGTCACTCCTACGATATCGTACTCGGTGGGATCTGCCAGCTGCCGGAGGCTCAGCTCTGGCCCCAAATCTTCAGTTGGATGCTTTGATCGGCCTTGGTCAGTTAGCAAGGAACCTGCTGAGATGATGTTCAGTGACTTACCATGCCATGGTACGTGAGGAGCTTTCCTCCGGCTTTCTTGAATGTGGTAAGATCCGGGTCATTGGCGGCCATGACATCGGTGTATTCCTTGACGGCGAGACGGAAGAGCGTGTCATATTCCTCATGACTCAACCGGGTGACGTCGAAGCTTTGGTTCTTGGGCACAAACAAGCTGAGCCACTCGTCCGGGCTAGCTTTGATGTTCTGGCCCGGCGCAACTCCCAAACTAGAGATGTCCGAGCCTGGGTTCGCACCATACCACAAGAAATCCCCGGCAACACTCCTCGGGTCCGACAAGGCCGATTCCGCCATGATCGCTGCCGCTCTTCTAAGCTGCGTGGGTTTCCCAGTTACACTGCAAGAGAAAGTCTGATTCACAGCGGTGAAAGGCTCAAAGTGACAGTTCTCCGGGTCCGAGATGATGCCATCGACAATTCCGTCCTTAGGATCGCAGTGCTTCACAACCTCCTCAGTCAGGAATTCCAATTTACAGCTGAGCGGAGACGACTCGCCGGCCCACAGCGGTGCCAGGAGCGGATATTAAACTGCAGTCACGATCTCAGGCCACGACTGCGCGGGTGCAGAGGTCGCAATTCCATTATAGGCGTGCGGGTATCGCTGCGCAAACATGAGACCCTGGCGTCCGCCGTGCGAGCAGCCACTCCAGTAGGAGTACACGGGCGGGATGCCGTAGAAGCTGCGCACCAGGCCTTTGGCGATAATCGCCTCGTCGTTAAGGGATCTATAGCCCAGACTGTGGAGGTATTCGAGGTTGACATTCCCTGGGCGCTTCAGAGGCCATGCGTCTGGCATTGTATCCCCGAGACCTGCGTCGGTTATCGTCGTCGCATATCCCTCTCCAATTGCCCCGCCCATAAAGAACTGGGACAAGACGAACTGCTGGCCTGCTATCCTCCTCCGCCGGTGGCTTGCAGACGTTGGTTCCAGTTGCGTGGCAGCCAGGTCTCCACGGAAATACGGTCGTCATAGCCTGGGTGGGTGCAGGTCACTGTACATATTGCAGCAATCTGCATTTTGCACCGACAGAGCACCGTGGTTGTAGTTGAAATCAGCAGGCACGTCGAAGGTGAAGCTATTGACCCATGATGCCTCGAGGGAGAGGATCTCGGCACCGAAGACTGCCGGTGTGGCAATCGCGGATGGGGAGCAGTCTATGGCCGGACCGATGTGGCTCATGATTTCGGTATAGCAACGAAGGAAAGGTGAATTGTTGAAAGTTCTGATTTTGTATTGCTGTCGTCTAATCCTTCAGAGGCCATATCGTGGTACTTATATTCCTGGATAGATGCTGCAATATTAGCCCAGACAGTTTGACGTTGAGCGAGTATCTGCACTGGCGCGCATAGGAATGCGAGCTGCCTTTGAAAGTGACCGCTTCTAAGACATCTATCTTGGACCGGTTCACTTAAATCTACATCAAGCTTATGTCTTGGAGTGGACCTCCGACCAAAAAAGACGATCGTTTTCGACCAACACGGCTGCGGCTGAGCCCAAGGCTGCATAAGGGGGCAGAAAGTCGGTTTGATGTTCTTCACACAACGCTTTCCCAAAGGTGGGTCGTGAATAGTGTAATCTAGTTAGGCTACTGACAAGTTAGAGCTTGCCTTGGCTAATCAACAAGTAAGAAACCGTAGGACGGTAGGAGTCGATATCTACAATATCTCCACTTGGCCAGGATCCACCAGGCTACCCTAGCCTCCCCATACTCCTATTCCGTATTGGGAGACTCGATATACGAATGCGAACTTCCAGCCTGGGGTATAGGGATAAATTCTATAACATTCATGTCAGGATATTGGATTTCCGGGGGTATATAAGCTACCGCTTTCAGGGAATTCGCTAGATGTTCCTCCAATCCTTCCTCCTGGTCACTGAGTGCACACCAGAAACTACGACCAATTCTCATATTTTACATTCCCTCGAATTTCAAGATGGCATCAATCGACAAGACTTACCGCTCAGTGCCAAAAGGACCGACGGATGGCCCTCTCGAATCAGATGCGGCCAGAGCTATCACTCACAGCCCAGAATGGCATTATTCACTTTTTGATTGCTTCTCACCAGGCTCGCTCTGTGCGTATCCCACATATTCTTCTCCCGCCTCAAGCTGACCTGATATCAATCAAGGCTTCACAAGCTGCTGTCTTCCATGTCTTACCTTTGGCAAAACCCAGGCCAGGGCGCAGGATCCTACTCTACAGAACTATAGTAGTATCAACTCTGAAGTAGGTACCCTCGGATGATACCAATGACTGACTAGGCTAACCCTCGCCTGCAGTGCGCCATTTTTACTTTTCTCGCCCTCGGATATTGCCATTGGATCATTCAAACGATTCGGCGGAGTGAAATGCGCCAGAAGCATGGCATTGCGGGATCCTGTCCTGGAGACTGCTGTGTTACCTTCTGGTGTGGATGCTGTGCATTGATCCAGGAGGAGAAGGAGATGGAGTTGCGCACGAGACCTGAGCTCACTGGGTATCAGACTACAGCGCAAATGGAGTATCCTTGACCATTCGCATTTATTTAGTTGGGGGATATGGATGTTCTGCTTGTCCTGCTTATTTCACTTATTTTCACCCTGGTCTCTGGCACTGTGGCATGACGCCTGTTGTTTTCCTTTATCAACTTTCGTTTTCATATTTTTCTTTGTTATAATTGTGGATGTATATTGCCCGGATGAGAGAGGCGGTTATTATTAATATCTACCTCTATGATAGTATTGAGACAATGAAGGTAGTAATAAACCTTCAGCAGTCGAAGACAACTTAGTCAAGCACACTTAGTGCATCTAAGGCCAAAGATACTTAGCTGACCAACTACTGAGCAATCATATAACTATCATGTTCTTAATTAAACATGCTGTTTCTACTTGTCATTGTGAGGTCAATCTATGTCCTCGAACAAATTGCCGTCGCTCTCCCACTCTTGGCCATCCATGCACTCTCCAAATCCTCCACGTACTGCACATTATTATGCAGCGGAATCGAATAACTGCACCTTTTCTGCCCACAGTGCCGTTGCACATTGACGCCCCCTTTCTTCACCGGGGAGTACTCCTCGCCCAACGACCTGATCTCACTCATTCCCAACATGTCCCCCACCGTCTGAATCGCCGAGTCCACCGCCCCTGCAATCCAGGTATGATGTCGACTCAAATGCTCCCCGACAAAGTAGACACTGCCCTCTGCGCGGCGCGAAGCCTCATAAAACCGGCTGAATTGCCCGGGAAGAAACATTGCATCCCCCGTGGCAGACTCCTGGCTCCAGCAGACGTCAAACGCATCGATGAATTCGTCGGAGATGCTGACGCCGGTGTCCGCGTAGAACCTCTGCAGATCGTGTAGCACTAGAGACACGCGCTGGTCCCGAGGGAGCGAGGCCATCCGGTACGCATCGTTCATCCAGCAGTAGAGCAGCAGCACACTGGACCCCGAGCTTCCAATATCATTGGACGGATATACGATCCAGCGGAAGCGGAGGTCCGTCACGCTCTGTCCGCCGAGACAAGGGGTGGGCAGCTTCTCCCAGAATCGGGTGCGGAAGTGTAGGCCGATCTTGTAGAGGGGTTCGTAGTGCGTCGCGCGAAGGGCCTGCTCTTTCATGAAGGACCAGGTGGGGCGCTCGATGATACTGTGCAGGGCGGCCGGGGGGATCGCCAGAACGACTTTGTCAAACGTGGCAGAGTGTGCACTGGTAGACAGCGTGATGCTTCCGCCTGGGTTTTCCTTGATCGAGTCGACCCGCGCGTTGAGGTGGATGTGCTCGCGGCCGATAAGATTCGCTGCGCTCTCGGTGACCCGCGACATGCCCCCGCGTACCGTGCTCCAGTCTCTGGTATGGAAGTCGAGATTCTGCATCGTGATCTCAGTGCAGCTCAAATCGTACTGGTTTGTCTGGCTATTTATCAGTTCGACAAAGTCGATCACCTCGTGCGGCCACCCAACGACAAAGCGGAGGTACGTCCGAAACGACATCTCGTCGAGCTTCATTAGCTGTCCAAACCCAGTCTGGAAGTCCTTGTGAAGCAGACTCAGCCACGGGGTGACGGCCTCGCCCAGCAGCTGCCGTGCGGATTTCCCCTGATACTCCACCGGCAGGCCACACTCGGCCGCGAGCGTGGGATCGTCGACATTCACCTTGCGATTGCGGATGAAAGCGATGTTGTTGCGGTGTTCAAGGACATACGGGATGAGTTCGATCTTGTCTTCGTGGCGACCGTGGGTGTTGAGGTAGCGGATGAACTGGTACACACGCGAATGCAGACTCGAACGGGGGATACGCATCGCCCCGGCTTCGAAGTAGATGTCTTCATTGGAGTTGAGGGGTTGGAAGCGATGGGTGTAGATGCGTCCGCCAATGCGGGAATTGGCTTCGTAAAGAGTGACTCGGTGGCCTTCTCGTTGCAGAAGGAGTGCGGTATATAGACCGCTTACACCGGCGCCGACGATACCTATTTCCATGTTGGAATAGCAAAAGGGATTGCTGGGAAGTAGAGAAGAGAGAATACATCAATCCCTTGAGGTGAAGCAGTGATCACTTCCCTTCCATTGTAAGCAGATATTCCCTGATCCAGTGTGGCTATTCCTTGTTTTGGATATCGCTCGGCCATTACGTGCGATACTGCATGGGTAAAAGCCGTAAGACCGTTCTTTAATATGAATGGCCTAGATATGCATTAGTTTGGTTATTATGGCTTGTCAAAAGTACGGAAACTCATTCAAGACTCAGCCGAAAGCTTGCGTTTTTACCTTGGCCGTGAAAGAAACCTAGCCAATCTAGGTTCGCCTCAGGTAGATCCATAGGATACGTACTATTATTGCTCATGACAGGGAATCTCTTCCTAAGGCTGTCCAAACATGGTTACGGTGGGGTGAATCTACGGTGAATGTAACACCATTAATAATCACATAATGGGCAACTAAGCTTTTGAAGACACAGAATTGCTCCATGTCTTATATAGCCGCCTTAGCCTTGTGCTGGACATGTATTAATTACATGGAAAGCTAAAGCACACAAATCCCTGTCTCACACAGGCCAAGTGATGATGAAGTTGTACCATTGAAGCATCCCCGTCCCTGATCCATAATCTGATTAATCAAGGCCGCTATATCCACTTCCAGGGAAAGGATCTCATGGACCCCCCGCGGAGGGCAGATCGCATCATCAATCCCTGCGACGATATCAGCAGAACGGACATTAAACACGTCTCAACCCGCTGTTCTTGCCCAGCAGTTTGCTCGTCCAGTCATCGCAGCCATGAACATGGCAAATTTTCTCCCGCCACGAGCGGACATTGAAGCAAAAGAACCCATTCCCACAGACCAACCTGTCCAGCTGGAGGAACAAGAAAACCCTAGATGCTGGTCTGCGGGGAAGAAATGCAAGTAAGAATTTAACGTCTTTGTGACCTATGCTGACGCCGAGACAGGGATTTGTACTGGAATTCTGGTGTTGATGACTGCGACGATCGCCTTCTGCTCCAGCATCTACACAGCCGCCATCCCGTCCATTTCACATGCGTACGGCTGCTCGTCAACGGTTGCAACGCTGGGCATTACCACGTTCCTATTGGGTTTCGCGTCCGGACCCCTGCTATTTGCACCGCTGTCTGAGGTCTGGTAAGTACAGGCATGGCATTCCTTCATTGACTACATGAGGAAGAAGCTGACGCAACCGGTCAGGGGTCGCAATACAATCTTCCGGCTCGTTCTGGGGCTATTCGTCCTTTTCCAGATTGGATGTGCTCTGGCTCCCAATGTCGCGTCGATGATCGTTTTTCGCTTTTTTTCGGGGTTCTTTGGATCTCCCACTGTCACTAACTCCGGCGGGTCCATCACCGATATCTGGCCCCAGGACAATCGGTCTGTGCCCCTGGCCCTCTTCTCCGCGGCCAGCTTCCTGGGCCCCGTCATTGCACCCACAGTGGGGGGTTTCATCTGTCAGTACACGTCGTGGAGGTGGAATTTCTGGGTGGTGCTGATCCTCAGTGGTGTCTGCTACGTTGCCATGACGGTGTTTCTTCCCGAGACATATCCCCCCAAGCTGCTGATGGACAAAAGACGATGCATGTCAGGCTATTCCCCAGCCAATCAACCCACCGTCAAGGAGATGCTGTACACGACGCTCACGCGGCCCTGGCTGATGCTCTTCACGGAACCGATCCTGTTCTTGCTTTCCCTGTATATGGCTCTTGTCTATGGTATCCTCTACCTGGATTTCACGGCCTATCCCGTCGTCTACCGCGAAACACGAGGCTGGTCCGCCAGTATTGCAGGGCTTTCCTTCTTGGGGATATGCGTCGGCATGGCCATCGCCACTCTGATCTCGCCATATGTCAATCGAATCCATGGCATCTACGTGCGACGCCTGGGTGGTCCTCAGCCGGAGGCTCGCCTCCCCCATTTGATCGGCATCTCCTGGCTAATCCCCGTCAGCTTGTTCTGGTTTGCCTGGACGGCATCGCCGCCTACCCATTGGATCTCCGGCATCGTCGCCGGTGTGCCCTTTGGGTTTGGCCTCATCCTGCTCTTCCTGGGGATCACGTCATATCTGACAGACTGCTACGGCTCGTTTGGGGCGAGTGCTCTGGCGGCCAATGCGGTGCTGCGTTCCCTGTTTGGGGCCGTGTTTCCCCTCTTCTCGACGTCTTTGTATCATTCCCTGGGGACATCGTGGGCAACGAGTCTGTTGGGATTCGTGGCTCTGGCGATGGCGCCATTACCGTGGGTGTTTTATCGATTCGGGCCACGAATCCGCTCGCGGAGCAAGTATCATCTGAAGACGAGGGAGTATGATGAGTAGATAGCTATATAAGCGGCGAGCCGTTCTCCTCAAATCACTCAGATCAATCCATCACTGTGCAGTTTCAAAGGATCAATAGTTCTACCAGACATCATGCCCTCTCCTCCAATTGTTGACTTTGGTGATTTCCTCTCCGGTGACCCGGAGCGCAAGAAGAGGTGCACCGAGGCCATTGGACATGCCTGCCGCACCCTGGGGTTCTTTCAGATCACCAACCATCCGATCCCACTGAGTCTGCAGAAGGAAATGTTCAGGCTGTCCAAGGAGTTCTTCGCCCTTCCCCTGGAGGAAAAGATGAAACTAGACAAATGTATCCTCTCCCCTTTCCCCTTATACGTATAAACTTAACTAATATCCCCAGCCCAAAACGACCACAACCGCGGCTACGAAGTCATGTACGGTCAGATGATCGAAAAGGATACCAAGCCCGATCTGAAAGAAGGCTACTACGTCGCCCAGGACCTGCCCCCAGACCACCCACAAGTCCTCTCCAAGAAGTTCGCCCACGGACCGAACCTGTGGCCCGAGTCGCTGGGCCCGCACTTCCGCGACACCTGCATGGACTACCTCAACCAAGTGACCGCGCTGACCGAAAAAGTCCTGCAAGCCATTGGGGTGTCGCTGGGCTACGACGAGTCCTACTTCGACGAGTTCTGCACAGAGCCCATGGCCTTCTACAAGCTGCTCCATTACCCGCCCCAGCCGGCCGACGCCGACCCGCTGCAGCGCGGTATCGGCGCCCACCGCGACTTTGGCGTCATCACGCTGCTGCTGCAGGGGGATGTCCCGGGGCTGGAGGTGTGGGATGAGGAGACGCAGTCGTATTACCCTGCGCCACCGATCGAGGGGCGTATGTGGTGAACCTGGGGAATCTGTTCCAGCAGTGGACGAACGACGAGTACCTGTCGAACGTGCACCGGGTGATCAACCGGTCTGATGTAGACCGGTACTCTATTCCGTTCAACTACAATGGAAATCCGGACTTTGTGATCCGGTGCATTGAGTCGTGTCGCTCGAGGCCGGAGGATGAAAAGTATGCGCCTATCTCGGTGGATGACTACGTGCGGCAGAAGTATAAGGATGTGTATGGGCGCGTGGGAATCTATTCGGTTGCTGAGCGAGTCAAGGCACAGGCAGTAGCTTGACCATTGATATGGGTCTGCTAGCTTAAGGCACTATGTTACTTATCTTGCCAAACAGCAATTGCCAATAGAATTTTCTCATCCGAACTACTACAAGCACTGCAGCTGTTATCTTGTCTGTGTTGAAAGTCGCTCCTGTCATTTTCTCAAAGACTTTGATGTTACAGGGACCCCTTACAAAAGGATTCTCGTTGCAAGGCATTTCGGAATGCAAGTGTCAGATCACAGGTTATATGCTTTATACACTTGCAAGGCACCCTCAATGCTCTGCACGAGGCCAAACAGAACAGTGAAAATAATAGCAGACCATATAGCATACCACTGGCCCCCTCCCGTCTATCATTCCACCACTGTGTGATGGTCGGTGGCTTGGAGTCGTTGAACTTGGTTTTGAGTATAACAAGCCGATCATGCCAATATCTGAATTCCCCAAATTCACCTGTTTGCCATCCACATCGTCCAATATTACTCTCCAATTCATGAGATTCATATTGCTTTTCCTACCATCTCACTTTCTTTGTCACAAAGTGGAAAAAGAAGGGCTAACGTCGCCAGCGTCTCGTCTACGAGGCCTGCTGGAAAGATTGATGTCCTATTATGATCTCATGCTGTTAGAAATGTAGCTAGCAAAGAACATAGAATAAGGATAGATATACTGTTTGTGCGCCATCAGAAACGACGCATGGTGGAATACGCAGACCGATTTATCAACATCCTTCACTCGCAGATGATCATACAGGTTGGATGTCAGCTCCACTCTGAATCCAGCGATGCGGTCCAGATTACACATTTTGAAGGCTCTGCTAAATCTGATCCTATCATGGTGCAGGGATATTGATTCCGTGAGCGTCTCCTTGACAAACTCCTGCAGCAATCCTTCCACCCACAGCAGCGTCTTCCGGCCCGAATATGAATTCGGGAATTCACCCACATCAACCATAAGAAGAAGGCGGGCTGTGGGATCTTTCGAGGCATCGATGGCCTTTTCCGATGTTGGCTCGCCGGTCCATTGCCTTTCTTCAATAAAATCTCTAACTGCGGAGTATGTGCATCCGGACTGCATGCGGTTCGCAATGTCAACAATATGTTGATGCGTGGTGATTGACAGACGACCTCCACAAGATTGAAAAGTGATTCTGCATTGCTCTAGATAGTAGTCGAAATAGAGCCGAAAGTACTATTCTTTGTACTGAATACCACTTCCCCAAACGCGAGTGGCAATTTTCCCCTGACGCTCGAGAGGAACGGGCGATTCGAGGAAGCAAAAATCAAGAGACTTGTCAATTGGGCGACAATTCAATGCTACTCCTCATTCTGGACAAATTTCACTCACCTACCCTTTCTTTGGTCGGCGCTCAAACCCACTGATTATATCTCCATTGTAAAGTCTTCCTTAGCCGCCGTGACAAGGATGCGTCTATACATAGCCACAGCCACCCGGCATATAAGGCTGACAGGCGCTTATACCCAAGGCACAGCCATGGATACGTGTTCGGTCCCATCGGGTTGGTTATTTTCTCTCGCCTTGCCGCTTGTGCCATTCTCCTCTTCTCCTGTTCGGCTCTCTTCGCTGACCCCCAAGATCCAACGACGAAGAGCTGAGAGCATTGTTCATCGTTCAGGCAAATGTTTCATCTCTTCAAAGACTGGTTCTCACATCCTTGAGACTGCCTTCACGTAATTAATCTCATGACGACCTGAAGACAAAGTAAAATCTGAAAGCCGCGCAATATGTATAAGGTCTATCTACTGCTAATAAATAGTATCGTAGTCATAGTCGAGGCATAAGAGTGATAAATAGTGCACGTTGTAAGGCCATGGGTTCAGATCATCGTGAACCTTAGGCCCGACAGCGCCAGGAAAACAAGAACCATCAGAATTTGGTTGCTTCGTGTCCAATACATGGAGGAACACCATGCGTGTGTTGCACGTATTTCGGCATGTACTGTCCTAGAGAGTCCTAGATTCGGTCGACATTAAATCTTCAAAGATCAAGGACACGATAATCGTCGCCCATTATCAAGCTTATTGCGTCGCAAATCGCAAGCTGCCATATCCCATAAGCACAAAGGGCGCCCAAAAGAATGGACTAGACCAATCCAGCTGTTTCAAGATCATCTTTTTCATTGAGACCATATAGTCCGCAGCTGGCACAAAGTCCTTTGGGCCGCGAGAGTCACCGTCGCCTGAGGGTGAGGTCTGTATCAATTGATCGAGGTAACGGGCTGCATGCTCGCTGTCAAACTGGCCTATTTCTATCTGTGCCTGTCGAAGGATATATGCAAGCGGCATCCAAGGTGCTTTTTTTAACGTTCGATAGAACAATGTCATGAGAAGCATCGAGGCAAAATCGCTGACGTTACAGAGGGTCCCGACATACGCCTGGCAACCGCTACTAAGGATGACGTGGGAGAATCCCAGTACCTCGCTGCCAGTGGTCGCTCGACCTAGACCGCTTAGGCAGGCCGCGAAGACGAGAAGTTTGACGTTGCATTTTACTGTGGACATGTCAATGACGCGAAAGTCTTCTCCAATTGAGATAGACGAGAGAAGAGGGTTGCGATAGTCAACGTCGCCATGAGTGCCAATGTGGAGGATGGAGGAACTGCCCTCGACATACTGGCTGAATTCGGCTCTTGTCACATTCCTTGCATCAACTGGCCAGGTTGAGAAAGTTTTCGCAATGTTCACCGCTTCAACTCCCGCCAAGTGCAGGTTAGCCTCTTGCTTGTCGCTCGTGTTACTGAACGCGGAGGGAGACGGGGCAAAAACCGACACGGTTGGAGCAGCCGATCGAGACTGGCGTTGAGAAACATGATGCAAGACTGCAAGACTAGGGATCTGTGACACTGCGAAGCGTGCCATGAGAGGCTGACCCTCCAAGAGAAGTGCTGAGAAGGGGAACGCGGTCAACGGATCAGAGGTAGAGAAGATGACATGCTTCTTTTGCCTGATTGTTTTCTTGAACGGTTCCACCAGATGTCTGGAGATTTGCTGGGCATATTCATTGAACATCTTCTTGCTTTGCTCCTCTTTATCCCCCAAATATCCAGTCATTTCCGTTAGGACCTTCATCATCTGCATAACAGGCCTCCGGATGTCGACGGTGCGAGTGCGGTCTTGGTATATGTTCTGAATTCCATCGCTGGTCACGGCAAAGGCAATCAAGCCCTGGTAGCCGAATGTTGCTTCTATCACCACTGCGTCTTGGTTGATACTTTGGTACAGCAATTTCGGTGCTACAATTGAATTCGCCATATCAATGAAAGAGCTGGCTGTTGCACAAACTTCACTAGCTTCCATGTGGCTAATCTGAATGCGAAGCTCGCCGATCTCCTGTTCTTGCTTAGGTGTTCGGTGCCTCAAAGCGAGTAGCGTCCTCAGTAGCCTGCGTTTATGCATCAGTCCTAACAGCGGAGCCGACAAATTATGTTCATCTCGGCCATGGGCAAACTGCGTCGTTAGCGCTTCAAGCACGGCACGGGCTCTGCTTTCTTCTACGAACAGCAGGGCATGTTCCGCCCAGGACAAGTCGTCCGGATGGCCGTGATCAAGCTTTTGAAGCATTTGGAAAGGAGCCCTTGCATCGGCGCACTTGAGACAAGCTCGCGCAAGGTTGAGGTATACCTCCACGATCCATCCCGGGCTGAATGTCCCAACTCGAGCGTCGACATCCGTAGTCTGTTGGCGCCGAAGTTCAATCAGTTGGCGGGCTTCGAGCAAACGGCGGAGAGCGACCTGCGAGTGACCATTACACAGCATGGTCGCTCCATAGTAGCTCTGACGAAAGGGAAGGTCAATGACATTATCATCCATGGTGTCATAGAAGGCTGGTGTGATTTTCTGGACGATTTGAACAACGCGGTTGGCCCTCGCCTCGTCCCGGGACAGCAGACAGAACATAAGCGCGTTGTCTGCCACCCCGGCAAAGGTAGATGTGACTCCGATACCCTGCTGATAATCTTTCAGATTACCTTGAAAGAGTGCATTATCGTCCATGCTGTCAAGGATCGTCCTTGCCGATGTCTGATCTCCAACGCTCCCGCAGAATAGGAGCCGATAAGCATCTCGGGCATAAGACGAGTCCATGTTCTTTGTCTCATCCATGAAGCGACGGTATACTGCCTCGGCCCTTCCGATGTCGCCTCTGTCGAGCCATTCCTGGAACGCGAACTTGGCGTCACGAAACTTGACAGCCATAGCTTCTTCTACAACCTTTCTTTGCCACAAACCTTTCAGCCTCGTTTTAGAGCAGGATAACGCAGGGGAGACGCTCTGGAAATCCAAACGTTTTTCCATTCGCTCTCTCATTTCTCGAAAGCTTTCATCATTTTCCATTATCCCTGCAAACTTCGACTGCCACTCGCGCCCCAGCTTCGGATCTTCCAGGCGCAAGTACATCGTGCTTGCCTTTGACCCAAAACTTGAAAGGGTATTGAATTTGTTGGTCTGAACGATGAGTCGATCTGCCTCGTCCACCTTGGTGTCCGGGATACTCTTGGCCACGGTGTCGTAATATTGACGAACTCTATCAACCATGCCTACGGCCTTGTCCACCAAGATTTTGAGAGCGGCCAGGTTGAACATTTCGCCTTGTACCCAGGCGCGAGAGACGACCGACTGAAACATAGGTAGGACATCGTCAATACTCTTAAAGATTTCATAGGCACATTCCCATGCCACGAGGGCATTGTCCATTCGGGCGAACGTGCACCATTCCTGGCGAGCGAAACGGAATATGAGAAGACCAAGACAGTGACCCACAGACTGGTTCTTTGCTTGTGCTGCCCATGTTCCGATGCCCCTTGCGGTCCTTTTGACACTGCGGTTATCTCCGCGGGTAATATCGAGCAGGATATGGTGGGCCGTTACAATCTGGGAGTTGACTTCATCTTTCCCGAAGAGCTGTTTTGACTGTTCTAATTTTGCGCCGACATCGTGTATGAGGGTAGATCTACCCGAATCAGTCGGTTTAAGTCGCCGCACCGCGACATGAAGGCAACACGCCTGCCGTAACAGAACCGCTGCTTGACCTCTCCTACAGTTGGCTTTCCGGAACAAGTCTAAAGCGGTGTCATAGCATTGCTTGACTTGAATGGTATACTGGTCCTTCAGCTCAAGTTCAACAGGATCCCATAGAGTATCCTCTCCGATGGCCGAGCTGGCGTCAACAAGGACCAAGCTCAATGCCACGGGGCTGGTGAACGATGGACCTAGGAGATCATCTCCTTTCATCATTTGGCAATTGGCCATTCCCGCAAAGTCTTTTTGACGGTGATATATTTTATATAAGCCGTTCAGCGAAGTCATCCGGTCTGATGATTGAGACGCGATGCGCAATTCCACAAGCAACCGATCGAGGTAAGCGGCGATCCGCATCTCGCCGGCCTGTTCAGCGCTTTCACGGCATTTAATTAAGCTGGCAGCATGTTGCACAATTATAGCATTCGGATCTGCGCTTGTATTATGGAGCAAGCCGCCGGGAAATAGAGGGTCAAGCTCAGCATTCAGCTTTCTCGCCAGCATGGGGAACCACATGACCGCGCACAGAATCCGACATAAGGCCTTATCGCGAATCGAGCCGGTTTCGAAATACATCCGAACTCTGTCCATGAACCTAGCGCTCACTCCTTTAGGACCGGAGACGTCACTGAGCATGGCGATGTTCACCGGTTTTCCTCGCTCGTGGTAGAATCGGAGGGCTGGCGGGTATTGGCGCGTGTAATCCGCCAACAGCATGTAGATGGTATATCGCAAGCCCCATTCTGCCGGCAGAGTGTCGAGAAAAGCATGCAATTTTTCCAGCGCTCGATATGCTTCTGCTAAGTTCCCGGCGATGATGGAATAAAGCGCGGAACGACGCAGGTACTCTGCCTTATCCTGGGGTTTGGTCGCGAAATACTTGGGACGACATCGCTGCAGTTCCTGCCAGGCAGCATCCAGGTCGCCCCGGTACTCTTCCGGGAAGAACGATCCTCCACATATATTCAGAAATTGATCAGAATTCATTATACAAACACGTGCATCACAATGGCATTGTCAGGGCATAGGGGGTGGACGGCTCCGGTGCTTATAAGTACCCATTTCGTCAAGCGCTACTACAGCGGGATCAAGGCGAGACGCCGTCTCAGCCACCGCAGCAATCCCAGCAAGTAGATGACGACCAAACCCCGCGCCCCATCAGGCGACAAGGTTCGATAAGAATTCGTCTGGCTCAGACGTCTCCATTTGAAGTGTCGGTCCGTCCCGTGTGTCGACTCTGTAACCCCTCGGCGCTTAACGTATCCGAGATCGGTTGGCAGTGCCACTGGGGGACTATTTATTTAATAACTATTTGTGATTTCAAACAGGTCAACAACAATATTGTATGTCAGGATGGATGCTAGTGATGACTCCTCGTTCTATCTGTACGGTATGGGCGAAAGGCCCGAGGCGCTTACCCTCGGGTCGTTGGTCCTGGAAAGATACTGGGAACCACTGGTTGCAAGACATTATACCCACGAAATACTGAGGTCTGTGCCCCTAATCTACGGTACGGTCATTGTCTAACTTCCTCGATAGCCAGGAAGCACTCCAGGAGCATGCCTATGTCAGCAATCTATCCAACGTGGTCTTCCATGGGCGCTCTCGCCTGACACCGGGCGTCAGCCTTAGCGGCGGGGATATCGTCGACCTCACTCTCGCCTGGAACAAGGACTCCGAGCGCATCGTGGTAGCGAAAAAGGGAGCGCGAATAATCTTGAAAGAGTAAGTCTGAACCCTTCCACGGCATCTACTATGCATTCTCACATGTCACAGTCCTGAAGAATTCCTGGTAACATCTGTCCTGAGCAATCCCAAGGCGCAGGAGAAGCTCAAACTATGGCTTTCAGCCGCTCGGAGTGCCTACGTCCTGAACTTCAAGTTCGCGCGTCGGCCGAAGGTCTGGATGCTGACTGGACTTTATCTCCTCGAAGACACGCGTACAATGGTTTCTCGCCAGAACTCCAGTAAGATGTCCGCAGGGGTCTCGGGTTGGCTCGTCGGTGCGCTATCAAGCGTACCCGTGGGTGGGTCTCTGAGTCTCGGAGAGGGCAACTCCTGGGAGATGACTATGGAGCTGACCGAGCAGCATGTTTGGGCTGCTCAGTACCGCTTACTAGATGCTCATTTCATCAAAGCGGGCAGGGATGGGGTGGACGGTGTCAAGCTGCCACTTTCAATGGGGTTGTATCGTGATGTCTTGTCCGTGAGCACCGTTAGAGGCGAAGGAACCGACGAAGTGGAATTGCAATTGGGGAATGAGAAGCAGCCCCATGACGAATCGGTCCAAGATGTGGAAGATCAGGATAGTGAGGAGCTAAAGGGGTATGAGAAGCGATTAGAGGAGGCCATTTCTGTTTTTGAGAAGGCTCCGTCGCATTTTTTGAAGTGACATATCGTATCGTCAAATGTTAGATATGAAGATCTTCTGGACTTTCACCATCGTTTTGAAAGTCTAGATAAAGCAGGACCACGAATCGCTCGTACAGGCTTCACACTCGCGGGTCTACCAAGCAGTGCGGAGAATTATATATTCTAGCCGATAGTCCGCAATCTCTGACCATACATAGCATTAGTGTCAGGGCCCCGAGAGAACACCACTTAAGTAACTTGCACAGTCTGATACAAGCAAGTATACAAAATGCCAGCAGCTATGTATTTTCGATGAAGGTCGAACGCACAGCTTGGTGTCACCCCAAAATTACGTGGAGCGATGACAATCACGTGATTGATAACACCCCACCACCATTTTTGCTTCTAGGAAACGGCCGAGGAGAGACATGCGAACAACTTCACCAATTGGCCAATCATGTCGTCCCCTACAGCATCAGCAAAGCCTGAAGGCTCGAAGGAACAGCCCGGATCGACTCCGGATTCGAAGATCGATCACGCCGCCTCGTTGAAGTATTGGAACGATGTCCCTGCTACCTCCAACGGCATGCTGGCCATGCTCGGCGATTATCCGTGGTATTCCCGAATCGACCTACGAGGATCGAGGGCCTTCTTGGCCAAAGTGCGTCGGCTTTTACCGTCCTGCAGCACAGAAGGCAAGCTCAAGCTGGGGGTGGACTGTGGTGCAGGAGTCGGACGGATAACGGAAGGGTTCCTCAGCCAGGTCTGCGAGGTTGTGGATGTGGTGGAACCGGTCGCGAAATTCACCGAGGTCGTGCGCAATGGCTCTCTGAAGAAAGATGGTATCGTCGGGGATATCTACACTGTGGGGCTTGAGAACTGGTATCCGGAGAAGAAGTACGATTTGATCTGGACGCAATGGTGCGTGGGACATCTGACGGACGTGCAATTGCTTGAATACGTGAAACGGTGCCGGGCTGCATTGACGGAGACTGGCATTATGGTGGTCAAGGAGAACCAATCCACGGATATCAACGGGGAGGACATGTTCGATGAGGTGGATAGCAGCGTCACCAGGACTGATGAGAAGTTCAAGAAGATATTCAAGGAGGCCGGAATGACCGTCTTCCTCTCGGAGATTCAGACGGGATTCCCGAAGAACTTTAGGCTTTTACCGGTCAAATCTTACGCGTTACGACCCAATAGCTGAGCCTTCAGTGCAATGATCTCTCGACTTCAATCATGCCACCGTCGAAGCTCGACTTTTCCACTTGTTCGCAATTCGGACCGTGCGGAAGATCCCTTCGAATGCAAGTTCAGGCAACATGGTTTAGTCTTGCATGCGGTGGTAAATGAGACTATGACCGGGTTGTACGACCTCCGAGGTTGTTCCTAGTCGATCCGGCCAGTAGGCACCTACCATACCTGGACAGTCTATAATGGGGTTGACCAACATACTGTTGACGGTACTCAAAGACCAATCTTCCGTCGTGATTGTGATATACAGAGTACCATCTACTCATGTTCAACCGGAGTCATCCACGTTCCGCATGGCCACCTGCCGAAGCTCGCATCGTGCGAGAAAGGCGCCGGAAACTACTTACGAATTAAGGCTATTAAGACCCCTTGATCCATTTTTGAGTGACAGTCAAATCATACTCACCTTTCTGATATCACTGACAAGAAAATGTGTTCAGGAGTAGGTAACGCAGAAGTAGACTATTACACGCCATAGTTGTAAGCCAAGAATCACGTGACCTGACGCGTCGCGCGACATGTTCTGCTGTCGAAAGCAACCAAAGACAAAGCAGCAAGGATATGGACACCAACCCCGTAGGACATGACGACTGGAACAATGGCACACACTAAGCTGGGTAAAGAGCATACTGACTTCATGCGATGGGCCAAATCCCAAGGGGTCAAGATCAATGGCGTCACGCCCGCGCACATACCCGGCCGTGGGTCAGGGATGATCGCGACCAGAAACATAGAGGTGCGTAGAGACGAGGCACTATACCTACAGCATTGATGACTGACCGCCGATAATCCATGTGTCAGGAGGGTGAGGTCTTGATCACAGTCCCTTTGGATCTGATGATCACAATCGATTCCATCCCGGCCTCTTTCATCAAACAGTTTCCTACTGGGACATCAATTCATGGAATCCTTGCCGCATTTCTGACAGAGGGAGATCATGAATTTCTGAAGAGATGGGATCTGTGGCGCAGAGTCTGGCCATCACGCAAGGACTTTGAAGACAGTATGCCCATCCTGTGGCCGGAGAATTTGCGGAGGTCGAACTCAGAGTTTCAGAAGGCACACTGCGAGAGGCCCTTTCTGCTGCCTCCTTCAGCTTCTGGCATTTGGAATTCATTTGAAAGCAGTCAGAAAGATAGAAAATTTGAGTCCAAGAGCCAGAACTTGCTCGCGCAGCAGGAGAAAAGACTCCGGGACGCTTGGCGGAACGTACTCACCGTGTTTCCTAACATGGATTGGGATAGATTCTCCTTCCACTGGTTAATTCTGAACACAAGAAGCTTCTACTACGTCAAGCCCGGGCAGGAGCCTCCTGAAGACTGGAATGACGCCATAGGTCTTGTGCCGTTTGCAGATTATTTCAATCATTCGGATGACGCTGTAAGTGCATCTTCCACTGCAGTGTCGTAATCGGTGGAGCTAATGCCGTGAGCAGGATTGCGAGGTTGTATTTGATGGAGCCAAGTACACCTTTACTGCTTCCCGTCGATACGGTAGGGCTCTGCGGATGCCATCAGAGTAGGAATCTAACCCGATAGATTAGAAAAAGGAGAGGAGATCTTCATGAGCTACGGAGCTCATTCCAATGACTTTCTTTTCGTCGAGTGTAAGTAACGCTGTCGCAGTTGGACCATCACTACTCACGCACGGCAGATGGATTTTTCCTCGACCAGAACGAGTCCGACGTTATATTCCTGGATGATATAATCTCGAATAAACTTTCTGAAGCGGAAAGGGAAGAGGTTGCCTCCCAGCAGGGACTAGAGTAAGTGGTCGCCATATCCCCTGCGCGCAACCTTCTAATCCACAAGGGCAGAGACTACCAACTCACGCCTTCTGGCGTCTGTCCTCGCACGATTAACGCGGCGTGTGTCAAGTACATGCCATCCAGGGACTTTCGAAGTTACGTGCAAGGTCGCGCAACTAAAGCATTCGACACGCGGAAGACCTGGACTATTATCCGCGAGTGGATTGAAATCTACTTCCAAGAGAGCAATACAACGATAGAAGCTCTTGAATCATTAGGACCTCGAAGCGAAGGGCAAGTTGGGAGCCAGAACAAGTTAGCTTCACTTCGAAGGAGGTGGGAGCAGATCAGGGTGATGTGTCAGAATGCTTTGGAAAAGATAAACGCAACTCAGCTAGGGACATGAGTCAACATAGAACAAACAAGCAAACTACACTTGGTCGCCATTCATTTGTACTCGGAAACCACCAACGCAAACAAAACATTCAATAAAGACGAAGCAGGCCGATTGCCAATACTCCTCCCGAGGTCGAGGTCACTTTCGACCATCCACGCTGGCGATGTGAGCCACCAGATCCAGCACTCGACGACTGTATCCCCACTCATTGTCGTACCAGCTCAACAGCTTCACGAAATTGGAATTCAGCGAGATACCGGCCTTGATGTCGAAGATGGATGAGTGTGGGTTCCCGATTATGTCCTTGGACACGATATCATCCTCGGTAAAGGTCAGAATACCTGTAGCAATTAGATATGCTTGGAAAACGGGGCAAGAACGGAACAACGGGTCCTACCCTTGAGAGAACTATGAGAGGCCTCCTTGATTGCAGCCACAATCTCCTCATAGGTCGCACTCTTCTCAATCCGGCACGTCAAGTCAATGACCGAGACATCCGAGGTTGGCACCCGCATAGACATGCCAGTGACCTTACCCTGCAGCTCAGGGATCACCTTACCAACCGCCTTCGCGGCACCAGTACTGCTAGGGATGATATTCTCCGCGGCGGCGCGCCCGCCGCGCCAGTCCTTGGACGAAGGCCCATCAACCAGCTTCTGCGTCGCAGTGTACGCATGAATAGCAGTCATCAGGCCCTCCACGAACCCAAACTTCTCATTGATAACTTTGACCAAGGGGGCGACGGCGTTCGTGGTGCACGATGCGTTAGACACTACGTCAGCCGTGCCGTCGTATTTCTCCTCGTTGACCCCCATCACGTACATGGGGGCATCAGCGGACGGGGCGGAGATGATGACTTTCTTGGCTCCTCCGCGAAGATGTGCTTTGGCTTTGTCGATGGTTGTGAAGACGCCGGTGGACTCGATGATGTACTCGGCTCCTGTTTCGCGCCAGGGGATGCTGGCGGGATCCTTATCGGCGTAGAACTTCACCTTTCGTCCTTGGATGGTGAGAGAGCCTTCGTCTTGGGAGATCTCGTGCTCGAAGCGGCCGTGGGTCGAATCATATTTGAGCATGTATTGCTATGCCGAACATTCCCTTGTTAATGGATCGCGCCGTAGAGACTTGGTCAGGATGAGTGCGACCTACCGCATACTTGGGATCGATAAACGGGTCGTTGATAGCAACAACCTCGACATCGTCATGGGAGAAAGAGTTGCGAAAGACAATTCGACCGATGCGGCCGAAGCCATTGATGCCAACTTTCACAGTCATTCTTACTTGTCTGAGTTATTGGATAAACAGGGACGATGAACTTGCTCAACGCTTGGGGGTTCCGCATACCGGTGTAGCTGCGATCGTTTTATATCATGGTTCAGCTATCAGGTGACGTACTCTATAATGCATTACTATTGTTATGACTATGGTCTAAAGGTGACAGAACGTTGTAGAGCATCAGCTCCTAACAAATGGGGTAGTTCGGTGAGCCTGCATTGTCAACATCCTGGATAGGGTGAAATGTTCCACCAATCATTCAACTATACAAGGCAAATTAATGATATTGAAGCAGAAGGGACTCCCTCATCTGACGAATATCCAATGAAAGTGATCGCTATCAGCATACCGAGTTCTTCTTTGGAGCCCTCTTGCCACTTCATGGATGTAGTCAACTTCCCTTGTTTGTCGTTGCTCGTATTCGGGATATGTGACTGTGAGTCAGCACTCTCTCGGTGTCAAGATTCGTAGCTCGGTGACGGCTGGATACTTTCATTTGTCAGCATCATATACCTCAGCCATTATTCCATAACTGAACCTGAGCTAGTTTATTGGTGTGGTCCGTCTAACAAGACAGCACCTTCTGGTTTCACAGGATCAGTCAGATCAGATGATCGTCCAACAGGGCTGATGGAAACACCGCGAGCAAGGAGACATTAGTTCTCAACAATTCGGGCCAGAATCACTCTTTGTCCTGACAGAGACAGTTGCACCCGCGGACCTCGAACAGCCGCTTTGCTGCAGGTCGTCCCCTGATCCATATGCTCAAGCTAGGACCCTACGAAGAGCTCGTAGAGAATTGAATAGTCGCTGACTCCACCCGCTTCTCAAGGAATATGTTGCAATCAAACAGGAAGTCGCTAGGCTGGAGGCAAGCGACTGCCGAACTGCTTGTAACCTCTTGACTCCTCGAGGCCTGATGCTTGATGTATTCTGTCTGCTCAACACATTCGCTTAGGTGCCATTTCGAGTCTCATTGCTGATTCCATATCTCAGAGGTGACGAGGAGGAAGCACTTAGCAAAACTTATTTCAAAACTTATGGTCTTCTTATGGCTTTTGTATGTCAATATTGCTGTTATGGTTTCTCGCAGGTATTGTAAGAGGGCTACGAGCCAGACTAGTTGGCCTGTCATTGATTGCCTTTGGCTCAACGTCCCCGACCTAGTTGCAGAAAAAGTCCGCGTGGATGCTGAAGAAAGTTGATCGAAGTTCCATGGAGCCCTCTAGGCCGATGACTTAGTATCGATAAAAAAGGTGGCGGCGAAAAGACAGCCTCAAAAGTGTTAGCAACCCCACTGTTTGATATCTTTCTGTCGCAATCAATATTCAGTGTTAGGAAGGAGATTTTACACCAGTGGTTCAACACTAGCACCGTGAATTTAGCCAATCAAGGAAGGATGGCATGGCGAATATGATGCTGGGCTCGAGGCCCTGTCTGCGTGCACCTTCATCCGTTTTCTCATGCGAGAAAACCCTACGAATATAACAATGCCACCAAAAGGGATATCTTGCTTCCCTCCATTCCGCATTATGTGTCTTCATACAGCTGGACAAGCTATGGGACGCATCCGCCATGCAGGTTCTTAACTCTGGGATTCTGACATGACCGGGCACTCCTGTAAGTAAGAAACATAATACTACCTAATTAAAAGTTTCGCAAGTTGTAGGTGATCCATTAGATTCAGCTCTCCATGCAGGCCAGTGGATAGTCGTCTTATTTAGAGTAAGGTAAACTTCTCCTCAAGGATTGGGAATCAGCTTGTAGGCATTAGGTCATGCAGCCTCACAGGCCATTTGGCACGGGGATCTTAGAAATTGTATTAGTTAAGATTTAATAGCCAGTGATATCATTGTTTGCCATTTAACATCAACCACTTAGGCAGCAGAACGTGAGCAGCTTAATTAATTGCTTTGTTGTAGCAAGGGGGAGGCTGCAAATAGTGCCCCTGCTGTGTAACGTGTAGTATATCCCCTTGCTTCCCTTTAGCCTCACACAGCAATGTAGCAAACTTGCGCCATATGTAGGTCCCCCGTGGCTGGAAGCATGAATACTATTTAAATGGGACGAATGCCTTGCTAATAGCGAACTCTCCCTGCAAGGCTACTGTACCAACAAAGTTCTATCGACCTACCTATTTGTCCTAGTTGCCATAATGAAGTCCATTCTTGTCCTTCTCCCTATTATCACGCTCGCCGTGGCCCAAAACCTTGACTCATGCACCGGGAACGTGAAATGCTGCGCGGGAGTAACACCATACTCCGAATTGCCAGAGGACATTCTAGCCGAATATGGAGTGCGCCCTAATCCTAACGCCAATATCTGTGGCAATGGTAATTACGACTTATCCCGTCTAAATTGAGCATTAACTGATGATTGATACTCGTAGGCACTGCGGTAGAGGATCAGTTCGATGCTGATATCTGTGAGTCTGTGGACCACAAACTTCAGTGCTGTGACCCACGCCAGCCGGATGTTGAGCTGGTAAGCATATCCCTCTTTCGATTCCATATATTGCTTGAAGCTATGCTAATATCTGATCAATGGTGGATAGAACGAGGACTTGACATTTGAATGCTACAATATCTAAAGCACTCCCATGGATGCCATCGACCAAAAATCTGGAAGCGAGAGTAACTTCTATAGGCGGTCCCAGGAAATAGTCCCTTACTTTAGATAGACACGCCTCGAGAGGCAGAAGATCACCGATATAAGGTTATGAAATCTTACCCTACCAGTACAATATAGCCTAGCCTGCTGCACAATCAATGACCTGAACAGTGGGATCTTTCCCGCCGTGCTAAACCAAGGTTTCACCATGAGAATACCATAACGCCATTTCATCTTAGGTCAGTAGTAGTGGATGACCAGAGAGCCATCTTAATGTATATAACCAGTTCCGTTGACGGTGCCTAGGCGATCCAATATGACAAGCTTAGCAGTCAGGCCACTTGCTCTCTATCATCTTCGCTACGGATACGGAGAATAAGGGGGAGGAGCCGGTTCGTATGGCGGAAGCTGTTCTGGCTCATCCTGATCCGGTAATCGTTCGTCTGGGAGCACTTGAGCGTTTTGATGATGAGGTTCATGATGCAACCGACTCAGCTCGTTCAGGGCCTCGTTGTTCATCGGAATGATTGAAGGCCGAGGTGAATCCAGGCGTCGCACACGCGGTTGAACCCGAGAAGGTCGTGGATATGCCGGATATGACCCTGGATTTGTGTGTGCTGGCATGTTGGCATCATCGTCCTGAGTGCTTTGCTGTGTGGGACAACTACCCAGCCGTAGATTCGGTGGTGATGATGCTACAGTGATTCTGAGGAGCGGTGGTGTCGATGGCACTGCCCTTGAAAAGCCGAATATGCTGAAGCATTTGAACTCGCGGGACTTGTTTCTGTACCAGAAAAACCCGAACGCAATGCACCATAGACATCCGACTCCAAAAAACACCAGTCCCACGATGCTTTTTGTTGTGAAGTGAAATTTTCCGTCGCTGTCTCCCCCATGCCGTTTAAACCATATTGCTGGACCCATGAAGTTGTCTTGTTCTATCATCCAAACCGGGGCGGAGCGATGATAAGGGCAGAAGGAAAGTCATTGAGCCATCTGGTAGATCCAAGTGCTTTGAGACCCTTCGTATCCGGGCGCAACATCGTTCACTTCCCTCAGCAAACTATAAGGGTGTTGGGTCTCGCTTTATATAGCTCAAAGTCACCGGACAAGCCACATCAATACGAGCAAAGCCCACCAGCAGCCACACAGTACAGGCATTTCCTGCATTGCCACAGCAGGCTGAATCAACATTGTCAGCTTTCCAAAATGGACCACTCCCGTGATTCTCTGCTGAGCTCTCTGCCTAGAGACATACCTTCTACCGCAACGATCTACCATGCTCGCAGAGATCAGGAAGGTACACGCCAGTCTGTCGCTCGGGGCGAATTCAAAGAGGTTTGAGACATGGCCTTCAGTAACCGGACCTGGGTCGTTATCAGCCGATACTGCGATATTGGAGATGGTGTAGACTCCCTTGAGGGCCACATTCATTCCCTGTGGTATATGTACTACGAGCTTGGCCGAAACATCTCCTCCGAGTCACCTGAACATGAGGGAATAGTCCTCGATATCCTCCGCATTCAAGGAATGGGGCCGTTGACTAGACCTGTACGCGGAGTATATGGGATTGATATCGCGAGAACCGTCGACGGAACACTGTGGAACGATCTCCCCTTCTTGGTTGGCGATATGACCAATTTCTGGGTCAATCATGCTGCTTCAATGTCGGGAACACACCGTCTCAATTTTGCAACATTCCTGGCTAAACTTGCATCCACTCGTGTTGTTAAGGATAGGCTGTGCCAAGTTGCTCTTCTGATCTTCCGTACTCTCTTTGAAAGCCCTCAAGCCCTTCGCACTGGAGAAGAGCCAGACGACGAAGACCTCAACCGAGGTACCAAGCAGCTTGAGGTCTTTCATCTGTTACCAGCTGCTGTTGCTTGGCTGAGAATCGCATGCCACAACCTCCTTTTGCTATCAGAAGTGTATTGGAACGACTGCCCTAGCCACATCAGCAAGGGTGGCGAGGAGTTCCTCGAATCGGAGTTCGGACAGCGATCACCTGCTGGATTCTCGCCATGGAGATACATGTTCTGGCTCAAGCGACTTCATGAGATTCAGGAAGAAGCTAAGGAGGCCAATGAGAAAGCCCTGGAGGAACTTGCCACTGATGGCATCCAGTACATGATTAACACAATCAAGCAAAGGAATTGCTGAAGTCCTCAGGGCTTACAAGAATGGTGGTAATGCCCTGCATCAGGATAAGCATCTTTCGTGCCTAAAGCGCCTTGCCCACGTTGAGGAGCCAGAGTCGTAAAGACTTGGATGAAGTTTCGAAGGAAAACTCCTAAAATGCCATGTAGACATTCCCCCTTCCTCTATTTCTTTCTCAGCCTCTTGAGTCTTCAAGTTGAATGCCACTCTCTCTGCTCCTTACTGCCAATAATTCAACAAATCAACATCTGCTTGTTTTTCTAGAGTGAAGCAGTGGCGAAATCCAATGCTTTTTATATCTAAATTCCACATCGCATGTTTTATTGCCGACTAATCAGATGATAATCAATCCACTCCGGCGAGCCTGAGACATATAAGAGATGCAAGCCAGTGGCTGACTTCTCTTTTACCCACTTAGGCCATTATTACGTAGGCCCTAAAGACCAAGAATAATACTGGAGTCTTGAGGTCTTAGTGTATTCGTCCGTCTGTAGTTCCATGCAGCAAAATAACGCGGCCATCTCCACGTCGACTTTTGAGATTGTATACTATACGAAGCTAAAAACTAGGCTTCACAATGACTACTTTGTCAATTTTGGCCCTTCTATTTCAAAGGACTTTTGATGACCATATCTATTCAGATTGTGACCCCGACATTATTTCAGCCTTACGCGAGAATCACATCCGGGTCGGGCCGGACCACAAAAGATTGCGATGGCGCATGAAAGGAATTGTGTGCTGGATGAATCGCTGATCATTGTTGCTTCAAAGGCTCAGTACGTGAATTTCGCTGAATGCACTATTGTTCCAGAGCAGACTGCTGCCACAGGAAAAGAAACAAGCTTTCCAGATGCGCCAGAATTGCCGACAACTACATCCTTACCAAGATTATGAGCAAAGTAAACCCTATAATGACGCACCTATGCTCATGGCCAAAGAAGTCCGGAAGTGATGTATTTCAGTTTTCCTCTTCTTGATTTTTAGGAGTGGAGTGTATATACATACATATGGCGCACAAGACATGATAGGGAACCAAATCGCCAACCTAGGCCAAAGGCCGCAAAGCCCGAACCTCCGCAGTCCTTGGGACAAGGAACGGGCCTCCAGGCCTCGACCCGCGTACTGTCTCTATTTTGCTTTATAATCGACTTCAAGTTAGAACAGAAAAGCCAACTGCAGTGCCTAGATAATGCTTACTACACTTGCCGAACCCAGGCGAGAGCAATAATCTCCGTTGCCCGACCTCCATGGCATATCTGGCAAAAAAGTAGAAGCACCCTGGAGATTGTCCCACCAAAATATTGATTGACAGGCGCTCGATAGACCGGATGTGGACACGGTTATCAGTAAAGCCATTTGTGCATCATCTTGTCCGCTGTACGCTGTTGAGTTCGCAGCTACGTATGCTAACTCCTCTGTGCTCAGCTGCTATCTTAATGATCAAATTATCTACCTGCACCAGTACCTCCCGAAGCCAGTGATTTCAGGATATAGCTCTCTAGTTACAAAACATCACAAAATGAATGGAAAGGAGAACTTCATGCTGCAAAACCCCTAGTTTCGTCTTTCAGACCGAAAATCTATCACATTGACAGAATCCATCCATTGTAATAATGACGATATTGGTTTCTGGATAGACAAGGTGATCCATCAGGGATAATAGGCCATATGTTCTTCTGCACACAAATCAGTCACACTCTGTACTAGAGAAGGTGAAAAGGTTAAACTCACAATACTCAGAAGTTGGAGCCAGGCTTCACGATCTCCCCGATCAGGAAAATAGGTGACTTATTGCTGAAGCGAGGAACATCGCCCATAATTTCTGCAGCCTCGGGGCTAGCAAATGCATTCTTCATGCCCTCCTCGCTTTCCCAGAAGACTTCACTGCCAAAGGCATACAGGGGCTTGCTACCATCCAGGCCTGGAACGAACCGGGTGACGGACCAAGCTTTGAGGCCAAACTTGGACCAGTGCTTCTCAATGAGCGGCATGTGGTTCTTTGTGTAGTAGTCGATGTCGTACTCGGCGTCGGCATCGTTGGGGAAAACGACGGTAACGCTGAAAGCCATGTTAAAGACTCGATGGATATCAGTTCAGATTAGCTGAAGGTGGAGGACTGCTAGAAACGAGGAACGCTAAAGAGAGAGGGTAACTGAATAGTGTTTAGAGACTTGGAATCTCGACTGGGTGATCTGGGGGATCACAATTATGTATGATTCTTATTTGTCTGCAGGCTGGGGCCTGGTGTTTAGACATTCTATCTCCGTCAAAGTCCATGCCCCGATAGTCAGCTCATATTCGGAGACTTTCCGCTGGTTCTGCAATCCACAATCTTCCATCAGAGAAAAGGCTACCGAGCCATGGAGACATCCTCTGTGGAATGCATTGACTGTGAAAGGATCCCGGGAAACAGAGATTACAGTACTTAGATGGTCCTATAGGTGCGGAGCTTGGCTATTACCGTGTTTAACTCCGGTCAGCAGCAGAAACATCGATAGGCGTAATCATTGCATGCCAAATTCCAGCGGCGGAGCGGACAACGTGCTCAGCCATCTACGAGATGGCGTGTCTACTTAGACGTGGAAGAGGGGACCAAACAATACATGTGATGATGTTACCCACAGGTTCTCTAGATATAAGTTCGCGTCAGCGGCCTTTCCTGCGAGATTTTGAATGGAGATAGATACTCCTGCGTCTTTTTCTAGTCGAAGCTTGGGATAACTGTACTATCAATCGATTCAACAATGTCTGCTAAGCCAAAGTTCCTCTTTGTCCTCTCTTCTCAGAGCATTCTCCCCAGTCGTGGCACGCCGACGGGATGGTACCTTCCAGAATTTGTTCATCCCTACAATGAGCTCGCTCCACTGTTCGAGATCGTTGTTGCATCTCCCCGCGGTGGTGAAGCGCCTCTCGATCCTTACTCAATCGAAGCCACCAAAGAGGATCCTGAGTGCGTGGCCTTTCTCAAGGAGAAATCTGATGTTTGGAAGAATACCGTGAAGCTTGAGTCCCTTTTGGGTAAGACCTCAGAGTTCGCCGGGATCTTTTTCGTGGGTGGCCATGGTCGTAAGTCGTCATCTAGTCTCTACTCCTGCGCCAAGGCAACGACTCACTAGCCAACCTCTCTTAGCAATGTTCGATCTAGCCAATGATGCGACTTCTCATGCTCTGATCCGTGAGTTTTACGAGAACGGAAAAGTCGTCTCCGCCGTCTGCCATGGCCCGGCTGCTCTCGCCAACGTGAAGCTGTCTGATGGTAGCTACTTGGTCGCTGGTCAGAAGGTCACCAGTCTCTCGGACGCTGAGGAGGAATTCATGCAATACACCAAGGATATGCCATTCCTGTTAGAGTCTGAATTACGCAAGAACGGCGCACTTTACGAAAAGGCCGACGACCTCTTTGGCGTAAAAGTCCTTGCCAGCGGTAAGAATGGGAAGTTAGTCACTGGTCAAAACCCACTCAGTGCTACTGTGATTGGCGAGGCCTTGATCAAGGCCGCTGAAATTTAAGGGCAACATGGTTACATGGATAGACGCACCGTAAAGAAAGACGTCGATATACGTACAGGCTGAGGATATCCTACTACTGAGGCGGCCGCCATATATCTCTTTTATCTCGTTTGAAAGTAAGCGATTTGTTGCATGACCCGCAGCCATTTTTGATATCGCCATTCATGAGGGCGAAGCCTGACAAATCCAATGTACAATAACTAGGCTAAATGTAATCTAGCCAATAACGACTGAAGTATAAGCACATTGCATGGAGATCATCCGAACCAGTGGTAGGCAAGCTGTAAGCAACTTGCATTGTCGTAAAACAGTTTAAGTATAATTGTGCTAGCCACTTAGTCTCTGGATCGCGGAGATAAGCGTCATTCCAACTCAGAAGCCGCAAAACCCGATCGCCGAATAGCGAGAGTGGAACGTAGTAAACAAGGACCACTAGTCTCAAACTGTGCTGTTCGGTCTTAAAAATCTTTCAATAAGAGAAATAGGTTCTTCCTGCTCCGGGGATATGGTGCAGATAGACGTCACATGCCACCCAGGTGACAGGGGAAAAAGGTGCAGAAGCATAGAACTGCCGCGTAAGTCCTAATTATCACTGTAGCTAGTGCACTTGACGTTTCATAAGGCTTTTTCTGCAGTAGCCGCCTATTTTCGGATTAAAAATAGAGAAAAAGACCCCCACATGTAGTCCTGCAGAAGCGGGTGCTGCCCGAGAGGTGTGGACGACTCCTCTCAGAATCCACTATCTAATCCAGATGCGATGGCACGGTGTCACGGTGGTTAGTCCCCCGAAGAAGGAGAAATATGTCCGAGTCCGAGGCTGCCGATATACCTAAATATTTGCCTTGCTGCTGGGCAGACGGGAATTATCTTCCCTTGCTAAAGAGTTCAAACACCGTCGTTCGTTCTCCTGTCTACGTGCAGACCCTTTGACATCCTAATCTCACCATGACCTTATCCGGCCGTGTGGTCGTCGTTGCCGGCGCATCCAAGGGCATCGGCAGAGCCATCATCCTGCGTGCCGCTGCCGAGGGAGCCAGCGTGGTTATCAACTACCTGTCCGACGTCAAGGGTGCCAACGCCCTGGTTGCTCAGATTGGAAGTGATCGTGCCATTGCCGTGCGGGCGGACATCTCCAAGACCACGGAGGTTGACGAACTTATCGAAGCCACGGTAGCGCGGTTCGGGCGCATCGATGTCCTGGTCCCCAATGCGGCCTATGTGCCTGAGAGCGACCTGCGGAGAGTCACTGAGGAGGACTTTGACCGCGCCTTTGCTGTCAACGTCAAGGGGCCTTGTTTCCTTGCGAAGGTCGGTGCATCCGTATAAGTCTAGATTCAGGGACCCATGCTGACAACCCCCTCCTCGCAGAAAGCCTTGCCTCACATGCAGCCGGGCAGCACGATCATCTTCATCTCGACCGACCTTACCGATGCGTCTTCGGTGCCACCACATTTCCTTCTTTACGTATCAACCAAGGGAGCGATGAACCAGATGGTCAAGGTTTTGGCGCGGGACCTAGCGAGCGTGCGAATCCGCGTCAATGCCGTTTCCCCAGGTGCAACGAGCACGGTGTCCTTCCACAAGGCCATGGACGAAGCTCATGCAAAAATGATTGCGAGTCACAACCCGTTCAACCGAATTGCCGAGCCGGATGAAATTGCCGCAGCGGTTAGTTTGCTGTGGGGGAAGGACAGCGCTTGGATCTCAGGCCAGGTTCTGAGAGCCAATGGTGGTGGTATCGTCTGAAGTGGTGGTGTGCTGGCATAGAGATGGTACCAAATGATCCTAAGGGCTACAGATCAGAGCCGAATAGAATACCCTAGAATATCAACTTAAGAAAATATGTCTATCCATCCGTGGTATATCCGTTATTGCAACGGTGTTTAACCCATACTCTCTATACTTATAGTACATTTGCTCTCCTGATCGGAGAGTAGACATCATTACTTGCCGGAAACATCGTTTGCCTAGCACGTATGATCCGTTCTGATGAGAGTTCAGACCACTAGAGATATTTTCGCGTTGGAGCAGAAAGTCACGTTTGTGGACCAAGTCGAATATCATGAGATATCTTGCCTCCTTACCGGCTCGGACTTTGAGAGTTCCTAAGTCCGAGATGATTTCATCCGACGGACCTCCAACAGAAGATGATCGTCAGAGACTGCTGCACAAGACCAAATGCTTGCTTGAGATCGTCGCTGCAGAATGGGTGGGTTGAGTAACAAGGAGGAGACGTGATCAGGGAGAATGAAGGTATATAAACGTTGCCATCAATCGGTAGAAGACCGTGCTATTTAGACAGGCATATCAAGCAATCTCTTTAGAAACTCGACTGTTCATTTACCATATAGAAAGCGTAATCCAAGCGTCCAGGATTCAAGCAATGACTCCCAGCACTAGCCAAAAGTCTATCCGACTGCCTCTCGCGTCCCGCTTGAAGGACCTCCCGCCGGTCCCTGTTTACGACGTGACCAAGTTCCCCGATCCGCGAACCCGGAAGCTGAGAAGCCTCCTTGAACAAGGCCATGTTACGGTTGCGCCGCTGCGTGACCCGGAGCTCATCCTGCACAGTCACCTGCCGCATGTATGTTCATTGCCCTAGACATATGATTATGAGAGCTCGTCCGTTGACTTTTGAGCCGAGCTCCTCGGCTCTGCATATGCGCTGGGTGCCGGCAGTGACCAATTGACCAGGACATATGAACATGAAATTACCCAGTTGGTCCCGATTGCCCGCGGGTTCATCCGAGGAGAGGCCATTTCGAAGGAGAACTGGAGGGACTTTTTGACTCGTAAAGAGTGCGTTGTTGTCATTCCCATAAGGAGGAACAAGTTACTCACTATCCAGCTAGGTACACTATGGCATACCAGGACTTCTTCGATAATGAAGTGAAGGAAAAGCAGGGAGACTGGGGAAAGGTGCTTGAAGAGTATCTCTACTCCGGCACGGAGCCACTGGTGAACGGCTATACTGGAGGCTGTATGTGATCCACTCTCGTCTGATACCAAAGACCACAAGTGTGGCTGACGGGGAGCGAAAACAGTGGGGCACCCATTTATCCATCTCGCCTACGCGTACGAGTTCCGCAGCAAAGAGGTAGCGTCGCAAGCCCTCAGTCAGGGGTGCACGGAGTACAATCCTATGCATACCGCCCTTGACCAGGCGCCTCCTGACACATCGAAGTATAAGACGACCTCCCTGACCGAGGTCTTTGAGAAAGTGCGGCAGGATCCACGACTGGACGGCCTATTCTCCGAGCCTGGCATCGCCAACCTCGACGTCCTTTACCAGGAGCAAAACATTGCTGTCGTGCTGGAACACTGGAACGCTTGGGAAGTCACCGACCTCCTAGCCCAGTTCGAAGAATGCTGCGACCTGGCCGTCCTGGTGGCCCTGAGCAATGGCAACCCACGGGACTCGTTTGACTTTTTCAATGTCCACTTCATGACTGTTGCCCACGCGCTGCGAGTGTTGTGGCATTACTTCCCCACCGACCGCCGCGCCTCCATCATGAAACAGTATGCGCTCTTCGGAATCATGACCTACATCTGCCAGTTGCGGCCGCGCTTCTCTATCGACTGGATTGAAGCCGTTGAGTTAGACGGCCGGGACTGGAATTGGGTGGTTGATACCGCATTGGCGCACAAGTGGGCTCTGGATGCGCATTTCTTCAAAGTGGTGCGGGCTCCAAAGGTCTTCCAGGAGACGTTTGGCCGTAAGGATGACTTTTACCTCAAGGCGGCCATCAAGTATGTGACTGAATTCGACGGATGGGAGGGACACGGCGAGGGTGTTGCGGGTTTCATTCCAAGCCGAGATGGATATAGACCCGAGTGATGGTTCCTTGGATGACGACTGATAGTAGAAGAGATAGCTACGAAGAGCATGTTGTTCATGTTACCATCTCTGTATGGATGAGTAATTACAGTAGTACAGGAGTCCTAGAATCCATGACCGAGCCAGATCCGTTGATTTCATGCGGCTGAGTGTCGTGAGGTATCACGCTAGGTTAGCCCACCGTCAAAGATCGCATGAAGCTCATAGAAGCGGTCGGTAAAATCCCCATACTGCGCCCACGCGCTGACGTCCTGGTCTTGTAGTTGAGTAAGCTCCTCCGCTGCCAAACTCGCGTCAGGTACAGGTGGCAGAGCCTCCGACAGGACTGGGCCCTCGAGAGACGCCATGTCCATATAGATGTGGGAATTGGGCGCTTGAAGCCCTGTCGCATCGGAGTCGACCACCTTTTGTCGCGCTGCTTGGGCGTTGTTCATTAAACTCTCCATTGACGCCGAAAGCCAGTCATAGTGTGTACCAACAGCCTGCTTCTGAAAGAGGTCATAGCTATGCTCAAGCGTAGGCCAGTATCTGTCTATCACCCATCGGTCAGTACAGACGCAGGCCTCGGTCATGGCGACAACCAGCGCATGCCAGGGAAAATATAACAGCTCGACCCAGCGCCAGGGCTGTGCTCGAGAAGAATCGCTGAAGATTCTCTGACGTCGTTCTAAAATGTCGGCTGCGAGGGCGAGCATTTGGGGCGCTGGCAGCTCCGCAGGGACAAAGGTCGGACTCCTCTGGAGTGGCCGGAGAGCGATAAGTTGCAGAACAGCAGATATCTGCTCCTGGATCTGGCTCGTGAACCAGTGGAACGCGACATTTTCGGGGTCACAGCCGGCCAGGAGCTCCTTCGTAGTACGACGAAAGTGGTCCACCGTTTGCTGTCGCATATGGATGTCGGTGATTCCCGGTTCGGCAAAGTGGGATAAGTCCAAGGCACGCAGAGCGCATTGGCCATGCGCAAACATAATGAGAAGGGTAGCCTCCGTTGGCCCGCTTTGCGCAGCCGGTAAGGGATCCTCCGAGTGGAATCCAAAATCATCGTCGTTGATGCTCGTGAGGGAATGTGTCTGAATCCATGCAGACCGCATCATGCTTTCCGATCCGCGGTTTAGCGATGCCTCAAGGTCCAACCAGCCGATCAAGTGCCACAAGCGGCGGCGCATCTCGCGTTCAAACGGCGTTACTGGAAATGGAGGGTCGGTCATGTGCAGCGAGAGTGCTTGCGCTATGCGCAGGGCTACGCTGAGCATTGTCCAGACCTTTCGGCTGTGATCGTGTGTTCTTGCAGCCACCTGCACCAACAGTTAGCTAACGTCGCAGTCTCCCCGCCACGGCAAGGCACTGACCAAAGACAGGACGAATGCCTGCAATACTGTCAGATCGTTTGTAACCAGGAAGTCGACTTTCCCGAGGGCGGCCTTGGTTTCTTCATTGTATCTTGCCAGGACCGTCTCTTTCCTCTCGCCAAGGAGAGCGAGACATTGGTCTTCAGCCAGGGTCGAGCTCGCCATATAAAACACGGCAGAGGCCAGAGCCGCAGGTACCGGATGCCCCGGAGCATAGCCCAGATAGGGCTTTCCCTCCAGGAGATAGGCGCAGAGAGATGGCCGGTGCAAGATCTTCAAGACCGGGTCGACTTGGCGAAGAAAGATGTCGACGAGTATCCTCCGACGCACTGGTTCCGAAGGCAGCTCCGGGTGATTCTCTGTGCGTCGTTCTCGTCTGGTCGTGTAGCTGGCAGACCCGCTGCCCAGGGCGTCGTCTGGGGTATTGGTAGGTTGTAGAATCAGCGGCTGCGGAGGAAACAACTCTTCAGTTGTCTGCACCGTTTCCGACTGTGATTTTGGCGACCGTCCACTCCTAGGTATGGTAGTCTCGCCACGGCTGCTGGACACATCTCCCGTTCCTTTTTTTGAGCGGGTAAGGTTCTGTATCATCTGCTCTAGCTTCGCTACACGATTGCTCAGATCTTGCTCTCGGCTTATTGCCTGCTTCCCCGACCGGCCGCGTGGCCAACGTGGCCTCTCGACAGCAACACATGAAATCCCATGCTTTAGACAGTTTGTGCAGGGGCTCTTCTTGTCGCATTTTACTTTGCGACGCGTGCAGGCCTGGCAGGTTAAGCGGACAGCCAAAGCGGGAGGCATGACTGGAGTCGCCACTGGATATTGAGCTGGACTGAATTAATGTAGCTTAGGTCGCTGCTGGAAATCATAAATACATAGAGTGCCGATTAACTTGCGTTAAAGCCATTAGTTGTCTAGAGTTGCATGGTAGATTTGGGGAGGAATCAACTGCCGCAAGAGTCTTGATTTTTGCCCCCGCAAAACGGAATTCATCAGGATATTTAGGTTTTAAGGGGTAAGGTCATAGAATAGCAATAGATGGCTAATACTAGTAGTACATTAAGGAGAGAAAGTCACGTGGCACCTGGTATCCGGCTTGCATAACTTCATTGGTGCCTAAGGCAGACTGAGAGAAACGAGATGCTGTGGTGTGTGTGTGACGTGGTGATCACGTGGCACGTGGCAGAGAACTACATATCTCAGCAATAATAACACAAGTCTTGAACTGTCCCAACAACGCTGCTTCTGTTAATTCCATCAGGTCTCCCAAAAGGCATCTCTCTTCCACCCTCTCAAATTCCTCCGCGATGTCTTCTCCAAACCCTCCGTCTTTTAGAGAGCTTCGCAGTACAACCCCGAAGAGAGCCTCACCATCTGCACAGACTGTTTTTAATACAATCGTCCGACAAATTCCCACAATCACGGCTTTTACAGAGATTGTCTACGAAGACGTCGCCCCCGTGGACGGGGATCTTATTACTCGCTCGCTTGCCGAGTCGGCCGTCGTCGAGCAGCATAACGCGAGGTAAGATTTATCATACAAATGTTAATGTGCCTAGCTGACATGTGTATCTAATGCCCCAGGATCAATTTCAACTCTGTAGCCAAAACATTGTGGGTGAGAGTAATGCCGACGGAGCTACACGATGTACATCAGAGATGGGTGCGCTTCCATTCTTCCGAATGGCGCGCCAGCGGTCTCCTCAGCCGTCCGGAAGATAAGCTCCTGAACATCGGGGTTGGGACTAGTATGTTTATTTACTGAATGCCTATTCAGAGAATGTTACTAAGTGATTCCAGGGTTCGACGGTTTTACCGGCCAATATACGTTGTCTTCGAAAGAACCAGATCTGTTTTTACGGCCTGATTCAAACGACTTTCCTCTAATTGTCATGGAAAGCGGATGGTCCGAATCATGGCCACGTTTACGCTCCGACAAAGACTTATGGTTGAACGGATCTAGTCAGGTGAACGCCGTCGTCTTGCTCAAATGGTCTAAGACCTCCAACAACAGAGTGAAGGGTATCGCTGAATTTTGGCGCAGAGGTGCCGGCGGTGGTCTTACCGTCGATAAAAAGGTGGGCATTTCGATATTCTGTTTAAGTGTTTTAACTCCCACACCTCTAAAAAAACTAACACTACTTGATTAGATGATATTCCCTGCACCTAATCCTGCGCCCGCCCCCGGCACTGATATTATCGAGTTCAGTAGACAGGATCTCTTTGGTCAACACATACTTCCGGGGAGGAACCCCACCGATATGTTCCCGTTAGACCTAGAGGAGTTGCGCGATTTTGCTAGAGAGCGTCTGACGCGGTTAATGGGACTTACTCCGGCCTGAGTATCTGGGTGATTCAGACAGGGCACAACATGTTTCTGTTAAGAGGATACAATTTGATAGCGTGACGTCAACAGTTTCAATATTAGCTGATACGATTATTCGGGATATTGTTTTCCAACTTCGGACTGTTGTAGAGAGTTACTACCATTATACATGATTGACCTTTCCAGCTCAAATGGCCGTGCGAAACCATCAATTAGTCCACCTCTCTGCCTCTGCAGCTGGAATGTCGATATACTATGCAGGTATGTTGTTCTATACCCTTGAGAACCTGAATATAGGCGATCTGTAAAAGCCTTTCTCAACTGACCTATATACTAATACAAAAATACAATCTTTACTAGTTGAATCCCTATCTTCACCTGTTGGAAAGTGATCCCACCCCAATTACCGTCCGATACTATACACGACCTGTAAAAGCCTTGCAGCTCAACCAACTTAAACTGACCCCCCTGGAGACCTACGTATATGTATGAGATATCAGACACAAAAGAGAGATGTAACACAGGCCTGGCAGCTGGGCAACTGCACAAGGCAAGGAAATTGAGATGCTCTATCTACTTACTGCACTCTGTTTACCACTACTGCCCTAGGATGAATGTTAAGTTAGTACTTCGGAGTTGAAGACTTGGGAGCTAAATTCAGTTACTATCATTCATCTGACCTAAGTCCACACAGTGGAAGACTACTTAGGCTAAAGTAGTCATCTTCTCAGTTATATGTGAGAGAGATGACTGTGACTAGCCTGAAGCCAAACCAATAAATAGAATTACAGCAAGATAGGCAAATGGAATGAGGCATGTTGATAGGGGTTGAAGCGATGACAGACGCGTCATTTTTGGGCAGTCTCTAGGTGATTTCTTGACTGAGAGTGAATTTGATAGATTTGACACTTCTCTCACAACCACCCACCATCTTTGTTTACGTCCCTTCGCCCATATCTCATCCTTCATCCACGACCAACTATCTTCTACTCCCTGACACTCCTCTTCTCCTGTCACTTGTCTTCTACTTCCCCTCATACCCTCTTCGTCTATCAGTTCTCTCTTACTCACCCCTACAAGATGGCACTCCCAACCACCGATACCATGACATACATCATCCATCATGTTTTCCTGCCCCCAAACTCCCAACAGAGGATGATACGGACCTCGATAACGAGAACTTTCTGCTTGAGAAGCTTCTTGACGCGCTGGTCATTTTCAAACCTCACTTTCCAGGCGATGAACTCAAGGTCGTTTGCTCCATAAAAACCATGGTTCGTCCTTTGAAAGACTCACATACCACGTCCGGATGCGTGAGTGAGGATAGCCTCGAAGAAGCTTTGGCTCAGCTGCAGTCTGAAGGTCAGCTCATAGCACCTCAAACCACCCCGTGGATTTAGTATGCTGATAAATGACGACAAACTGCGACGACAAGGTCAACATCGAAGCATTTGAGCTCTCTCCACGCAATGAGCCAGTGGTTAACACACTGGGCCGACTCCAACCCACATTCCCGGGGCCTTCTTTGACTATGCGTCTCGGCACTTTCAGCAACCCAGATTTGCTTGACACGATCGTACAAACACTGGAGAGAATGAGCCATGAAGAAGTTGCCGGCACAAAAGTCAAGGTCAAGAAGGCTGGTCAGGACCATGACGAGGATTGCGGCACCACTCACCCAAAGGCTGTCACTGAGCTGTTTATGGAATTCTTGCAGCCAATGTGGGAAACGGCCGAACTATCTCGGATCTTCGAAGATACACGCGAAGAGGCGATGTAGTATAATGCCAGATTCCCCTGGCGGCGGTCGCCTGCCTGGCTGATGGTTCGTGTGGCTATGCAGCTTGTGATGACTCGGCAGTCTGAGCAGCTAGGCTCCGAGAAGCAGCTCTACGAGTCTTTTATGCTGTTCTTTCATGAGCTATATGCTCAACTTCCTCTCCAAACGCGCCGTCCCGAGCGAATATCTTCATGCTATGAGCTCAAAGATAGCCGACGGTTACTCAAGGTTGACCTCCCTCATGAAGCATCCTGTTTGTGCTTTGTCAGGGGTGTGTTGGAGAGCACTACTGCTATCACTGGTGACAGATGGCGCAAGGCTCAGGAGAAGAATGCTCATATGTATGATCTGAAGTCTTTGAAGACACTCAACTTGAGCGAGGACATTCATCCTGATCTGACAAGACTTGATGGGTTCCTTTCGGATATGACGAAGAGAACTACTCGTACCCAATCCTCCGAGACCTTTATTCCTCGCTCGGAGCTTATTGAATTCAAACCTACCGAGCTTCCAAATCCTCTTCGCTTGTCGTCTCCCAGGTACCGAGCGTACAATCTTATTGCACTAGAGCGCTGGGTTGCGGAACACCTGGGCTATTGGATGGGTTTACATCTGGATGGGGACGAGACCTGCGCCAAGCTTGCCCAATTGATGAAAGGCTACCACACCAGTGCGATGGCTACATATGAGGGGAATCCCGAAGCTCTCTCTGTGATGTTGCTCACCCTGCTGTGAGTTATGGGTGACTTGTGACAGGTCTGCAGTCCATGGACACAGTTTGCTAAGAGACTATTATCCCTGTATCCCCATGGAGATCTTTCGGACCCTATTACTGCCGCTCCGCCCACAAATGAATCGACTGGCGGCGGCCAAAAGGTATCTACAGAGACGATCTGAAGTTGCCACCCATAAGGGGTCTCGGACTTTCTCAGAATACGGCACAGTAAACTGCTTTTGTGTGCAATACTTCGACAGTTTCACTGACCAGCAGCGCCTGCGCGACAAGATTGAAGAGGCTGCTGACCATGAAAGAGAGATGAAGAAGGCAGAACTCCAAGAAAAGAAGGAGAAATACGGGCATCTCACCGACGAGTATAACAAGACCGAGTGTGAATATCACAAGGTACGTGTCGCTAGCGGCTATGGCGAACCTGCCCGCAAGGAAAATGTTCACAGGCAACCGTGCCAAAGATGCGTCTACTTGAGGGAGGCGACCTCCGTCAGCATTCATGTCCATGAGTGGCCCCTACCCACCGGATCCACTGGAAGTGAAGTACACTGTCTTTGAGCTCAACCTACCGCGGCCATTTGCATGCTGGCGGGAAATGACGGTGTACTTCATATTCGACATTTTAAAACTGGAATACCGTTCAACAAAGACTCCCCAAGCGTACTAGGCACTGTCAAGTTATCATCCACTCAGCGAAATACTTTACGCGACACCAAGATATGGATCGCATAAGATTGCTCCCCAGGAAAAGCCCCATGCTGCGACTCATTGGCAGGAAAAGAGAACTATCGACGTTACAGAAGACGAGACATGCCTGGCTAATGTACTAAAGTTCCGATATTACGACAGCAAGACCATTCAAATTCCTGGATAGCTTTATGGAAGCACAGCAGTGCGCAGATATGTGCGTCTCTAAGCTGCCTACAATCAGCACAGCCTTGCAAAAATTCCTGTTCCGTCCAGCCGTAGCCTATAGTGGGCCTTCACTAAACGATGTCATAGCTTTTCAGCATGCCTCTCTACACCATATGTCGCACGGTGAATATGTTGCTCTTTGCGGCCTTCCCCTTCGAATCCAGATCCAGTGGATCAATATTCTCCGCAGCTGGCTATGCCCTCTGTTGATTGGAAGAAACTTGGGACATGCCTTTTTATCTTTCAGACAATTTACCAAGCTGGGCCCCAGATAAAACCCTCACTTTGGGAAAGGGCTATGAGGCACTTGAAGAAGAGGACTTCGGGAGAACCCTATTGGGCCAGGTGGACGAGGCCACGGGGCGGATCAAGGATAATTGGGAGGGACCGTATGCCTTGTGGAGCTTCATCTGTCTGACTTTGAGATTGCTTTCGTTATCCCCTTCAAATGATATCCAGCACGACTGCTTGATTCTCTTAAGTCATCTGCGATCACTTGCTTTTGAGTGGTTTGAGCTGGTTAGGGGGAAAGCGGGTGAGTCTACAGATGAAGCAACGCGACTTTTTGGTGACTCGAGCAGTGCGCTTGGCATTGATATGCGCATCCTCATTTGACAAGAACGGGAAGCATCTGTCTGCCGGTTTGGGTGACTACACGGAAGCCTCGATCCTAATCCAGTGCAGCATGCCCACTGATAGACAGCCTGACCACTGTTCCAGGCTGTCAGACTTAGCTAGATAGTTTTGTAGAAGCACATTCTCTCTCTCTTCTAGGTAGCTATCAATCCATGCAGCTTCATCTTTCAGTTGCTTTATGACTTCTTGAAAAATCTAATTCTAAACGGGCGAATGAAGCTCACAACGCCTCTTATATGTCCTGCACTAGTCCGAAGGCTTCTCTCAAGGCTCAGCTTGCTTCAAACGCATCCTCTGGCTCCGTCCTGGTATAAGCGTGCTGAGGTCGCCAACAGGAAGCGAGACGGGGAAGTCGACGGCCTCCAGGATTTGTGTGATGAAAATCCACCAGATTGGTATGCATAGCGCAAAGTTGAATGCGCCGCCGGCCTGTAGTGAAGGTGTCAATCAAGCGAAACACACGAGGAAAAGATGCACTCACGACTTGCAATTTCTCAGCCAAATGGAGATTCCCCACGGAAAGGGAGAAGAAAGCACCGGCGAATAGACCAAAGGTAACGCAAAGCAAGAAGAGGGCGGAAAAGAGGCAGACGTTGGTTCGAAGGGAGCATACCAGGTATATGAAGGTTATGACTGTCAGGGCCACAAAGTAGAATGCTTCCAACACGTCAACCATAGTCAATGGTAAGTTGAATTCTGCGTAACGAACCTATGCTGGCGTTATACATCGGTGTCTGTTGCCCCTCGAGGAAGTTGCCTGTGGACGAGAAATGGGTTCCAGTAGCGAAGAAGGGCATAAGGGTCGTTCCTTGGACAATCCAGAAGGTTCCTGTCGCGGATGATATAAGTATTCTGCCTTGTCTTCCAAGTAATATGGGCATGCATACCATAAGTGAAGAAGAGTGCGCACGAGAATGTGTTGCCAATAATCCACTCTCCAATCCCACCGAATATTTGAACCATTCCTCCGAAGAAAATCAAGGCAGGACTAGATAGGGTCAGTATATTCTTTCCTGCCTAGACGCGGGATCTCGTACATGATGGCAGCCCCATTACCACCCGCTCCCCTCCATCCCATGACAATACACGCATTCGGCGTGGAAGCAAGCAAGAAGCCCAGCAGTGAGATGGGTGTAGGATTTCCAAGCTTCTTGCGCAAGTCCCCTGAAACCGTGGGACTCTTCGGGTTCAGGTAGAGTTTCTCGAATGCTTCTCGGGAAATGGGGAGGAAAACGCTCTCCGCCGTTTGGATGCGACGGAGAGGCTCGTCTGACTTTTCATTCATAACACCGTTTGACATGATTTGTTGGTAGGAAATAGCCGGAAGCAATTCAGATGGTGGTGAAGAACGGCAGGACAGCAGCTCCAGTCAAGCATTCCAAGGACGGCATTTTATAGTTGTAGAAATCTTGTCTTCCTCTTAGCGTATGGATACCCCTTGGCTACATCATCAACCATTCATGCAATACAGAGCTCTACCTTATCCCGGCGATCTCAGTACTCCCATTGGGGACTTTTCCGGGGATATGCGGGGAAACAGCACAACTGGGTCGTCTCCAGCGTGGCTTCTCCGCACCTTGTTGAGATTTGACCAAATACCGAGGACACGGCATCCATACTTATGGTTATTCCTGCTCTGTATACCACTTATCTACCAGTTCGTACAGAGAGATCTAGAAGTCACGCTGGGGCGGATCTCCTTCTGATTCCTTGTGCTTAGAATCTATCGAAATTGTGCTGTACCATCGCAGATTCTCTCTTGTACATTATGTCCTCACAGCACTACATTCCTCAGGAGTCCCCTGTAGGGGACATCCCCAGGTGGCAGATTACCGAGGTCAATTGTTTACCTTGGACAAGACCCACCCGAAATGTTGCAGTCTAACCTAGTCCCCGCCAATAGGGTCATAATTTCATGGTTCAAACTTACTTCCAATGGACTTCGCGAAGGTACCGGTGTCCCCAGAACCTTGACTGATGTGCAACTATCGAATCCTATATGTCGATCCATGCGACTTAAAACGTGGCTAGACGACCATATCTAGTGTAGTTGAGATAGTAGTGCACTGCGTGTCAACATACTATTGCTCAAATTTGCCACTAGCGCAAACGCTACAACCATGCAGTGCAGGATAACTCAAAGGCTGTAGATTCAGATAGGCCGGTCTGGCCTGGATTGAAGATGTTAGTCTTTTCCCATGCCCCTCCTCAGCTAACGATGTTACGACGGCAGTTGTTGTTGCCTGATCTTACTAGCTTGAATCTTCATAGATATAATTCAAGTTTACCGGAGCTCCCAAACTTACTATCTCCTCCCCATGGGGACGAACTTCGGGTGAAAGGATATCCACGCAGGTATTGGCTAGCCCCTTTCCCAAGAGAATGGATGCTGAACATATCTTCTGCCAAATCCGGACGATGCCGTGGCAAAAACTGTCCCTGAATGTTGTAGTGCTAAGCGTGGTAACTTGTCTATTGTTACCGGTAATAGGGAGGAACTGCGTTGCCCCTGTCATACCATTTTCTGCGCTAGACCTATCTACACATTTTGGTAAGATTGCAGCTACGACTATTCTGCCACGGGTACTGTGTTTTTCCGTCAACGCTTCGAATGGAATGAACTACCCTTTGCAATAGTGACAAGGTGACTCGGACACGCAGAACGGGAAGACTTACCCCCACATGCCTTGAAGCTTGAGAGAAGAGAAAATAGGCAATACATTAATATACAAAAAATGTTCTGCTAAGAGTAAAATCCTGTTGTAATGACATGACGCGAATTTAAAGATCAGTCAAATATCCAGCCTACACACTCTGTGGTTCTGGCTGAGCACCAGACGTCTCCATGTGCTCGTTCGTGCCCGCCCCGCGCTTCTCGGATTCGTTGCGGCGATCCACCTGGTCAGGAAAGACATACTTGGAGCTGTGCCACGGCTTGATTTTCCACACGTACATCGTGTCGATCTCCTCCAGTGTTCTTCCTTGTCCCTCCATAACGGTGAAGTACACCATCCCGGCGGCGAGGAACAAACATCCTGCAAAGACATAACCATATCGGAAATCGATTGCTCCAGTGATGAACGGGGTGAAGAAGGCGAGCAGGAAGTTCCACAGCCAGTTGGACGCGGTCGCCAGGGACATTGCGCGAGCTCGGTACTGGGACGGATACAGTTCTGCGATGATAGTCCAGACCATTGGACCCCACGTGGACGCGAATCCAAGAATGAAGAGACAGGCGAATACCACCATGACCACGCCGGCGGTGTGAGTCCGTTCGGGAACCTGACGGTCAAGCGAGAAGTGGCCAACAGAGGCGAAGACCATGAAGCACACGAACATCCATAGGGCACCGGTAATTAAGGACCGACGACGACCATAATTCTCGATGAGGTACAGGCCTAGGAAGGTGGTTCCGAAATTCACGCCACCCAGAATCATCTGCGTGACGTAGCTATTGGAGATACCGGCGCCCTTGAACACGGTCGTTCCATAATAGAAGAAGTAATTTGCGCCGGTGAGCTGCTGAAGGGCTTGCAGAGAGACACCCACAGCGACACGGTACCTCATCCGCGGGGCCCGGAAGAGGTGAACCCAAGTGACCTGACCACCAGCCACTTCTTCCTCATATTTCTGTCTGATCTCCTCGAATTCGATCTTCAGAGCACGGTGGTTCTTCGGGACGCCGTACATCTTCGAGAGCGTGGTAATGGCCTTGTCGATCTTTCCGTGTCGGTAGTCATATCGAGGGCTCTCAGGGAACATGGACATCCCGACACCAAGAATGAGGGCCCAGATGTATGTGATGCCCATCGGGATACGCCAGGAGCCAGTATCGGCTCGTGCTTCGGTGCCAAAGTTGATACAATTGGCCACGAAGATACCGAGCGTGATGAACAATTGGTAGGTACTGTGACAGTCAGTGCTGTTTTTGACAGCACACAGCAATTCGACGACTTACCTGACTAGAGAACCACGAATGTGCCGAGGACCGGACTCTGCCATGTACATGGGGACCAAAAGGGAGAGAGCACCGACACCCAATCCGGCAACCCAACGGCCGAGGGCTACCTGGTACCATTTGCCGGTGGGAGAAGAGATCTGAACAGTGATTCCAACGCAGATCATCAATGCCCAGCCGGTGATCGACCATTTCCGACCTATTCGATCCGCAATAGGTGCAGCGATCAATGCTCCCATCAGCGTTCCAATCGATAGCTATTCAGTCGTCAGCGATGAACATGTCAGTGGCGACCGGAGCAAACGTACCAGGGCGACAATCAATCCGGATCGGACGTTGGAGAAGTAAAACGTCCCGTCAGACTTTTGTTGACCATACCGTTGCAGGAAATCCTTCATCTCCAGGAAACCCGAGATCTGACCGGTGTCATAGCCGAACAGAAAACCACCCATGGAGACAAACACACCCATGATGAACGACCGCCAGGTCAAGAGCGGAATATGAGTATCGACCAACTGACCGTCATCGCCCGCTATGGCAGTCTGGGAGTGTGTGTCGGATGCCACATTGTCATCCTGGTAGTATGCGTCAGGATTGGCCTGAGGCAACTTAGGTTTCCTGAACAGCATCGTAACTACGAATCACCAGAATTTTAGTACAATATTAGAGTTCTTTTGCATAGATTGGGAGTCAGCTCTGCAGTGGACGAAGGATCGTAAGTCGATGTCGCAGCTTTACAGAATAATAGCGTCCTATATAATACAAACTCTCCGCCAAGCCACAATGAGGTCATACACAAGCAGACCCAGTTGGACGCCGCCTGCATGGCGAAGAGGTATCATTCTAACAGCCTCCCGACATCAGTCCCAATCATTCTGTCATCGTCGGTAATCCCCGCTTGGGTCCCTGCTCACGTGGAGGGTTGAATTCCCGCAACTTCCGTGGTACAGAGTAGCAATCCCTGTTCCTCCACAATCGCAAAGAAAGCGATGAATGATATCGCGAATATCCCACAGACCCACCAACAGAGAGTTTAGGCGACCTGTTCAAGGGAAAGTTTCAGTTCTAGACGCAGAAGTGGGTGGCGGATCCTGGGGCAGTCCGGGGAAGAGTGTGTCGTTGCCGTCATCATCCGCAACCGATCAGCCCACGGCGACTTTTGACAGGTTGATGGCCCGCCAATAAACTTCACCAGCTATCGCTGATGACCGCAGCCAAGTCTCTCGATTCATCATCGCGTCTGGTGGCTTGATTTGGAAGCTTGTTCGTTCGTCAGATGTGCGATGGATAGTTGCTCTAGGGTGGTACAATGCACTGTGTAATACGTTAATGTCCAGCCTATAGTGCTTATTCCTTGTTCCACCTCGATTCTCTGACCATTCTATAATCCCCTGGCTTGTGCAAAATTCAACGGCAGACTGAATTATCACCTCCAGATATTTGTCTACCACAAAATCAATTACCGAAGAATGGTTCTCATTAGGCGAGAAGCAGACCCCATATAGATTGGACCACCTTTCCGCGCTCCACCGATCGGGAACCCCATATCAAAATTGATCCGATAAGCTTTCACACGTATGAGAGGTCTGATTGAACTGCATCCAATTATTTCGTTTAATCAATAGCTTCTCAAGTCTCTAGTGGAGGGCGACAGCTCCCTAGATGCTTGTTCAATGGAATGGTCAATACATTGGCCAGCCTTCCGATGCAGCATTTCCCACTTCACGCTCCGCTCGGCGACCGCGAACGTACATATCAAATAGATAGACCAGCCCCTTGCGTTCTTTATGTCTTGCAAATAGCAGCGTAAATCCAGCTCTGCTTATTTCTAGCAGAAGTGAAAAGGGACAGCCGGGACAATTCTGAAGGGAAAGCCGCCATGTTGAGTAAGCGAGCGGGATACCGCAATAGGAAGGTCGCCCCTGTAAGAATCTTCTCATCCAAGTCAGTCGTCACCTTGTTCTATAACAGTCTATAAACATGCAAATATGGTACACTCTATATCTAGAGACAGCGCGAATTCCGCTTAAGCAACAAGAGGCACATCCTGCGGGCCAACATTATTCAACAAGCTCAGGAAGCAGTTCCATCCTATCTCGATTAGCAGCAGAATAAATAAAACACTAGACAGGAATCATACCAATATTCAGCACATTGACCGTAAGCACCCGGTACTGCAGCGGCACAAGCGCAAAGTTCACCAGCTGCAGGAACGGCCAGACCGTCCAGTTCGCTTTCAGCGCGGGCCAATACGATCTCTCCAACTTTTCGCTGGGACTTCCGCCCTCCAAGACGGACATGCTGGACAGAAAGACTCCGATCATGGTAGGAGCAAATAGTAACTGGTCGGCTGCTACGCGTCCAAGGACAGTCCGTTGTGCGGAGGGCAGATTGATGCGCCTCTGCAGGACCTGGAACCATTTTGTGGCCAGGGGACCGAAAACAGCTACTATAGTGAGAAAATGGTACCGTTATAAGGAAGGGGTTTACTCACCTCCGCCATAAAGAGCCATTCGTCCAGTACGGATCACATCATGCTGAGCGATACCTCTTTTCTCAACGGCTTGTTGAGCGAGGCTGTCTCCGACGGCGAAAAGACACTGTCTGCAATGAATAACTGATTCCAATCTTTCCAGAATGTAGAACTAACCGCAGTTGTCAAGCTTTGCGTCAACAGAGGACGCTGGACTAAACTTCTCTGGTACCTGCATCATGTGAGCGGGTCAATTCGCTGCCCGTGCCTAGTATCTTACCATTGAAACATTGTGATATTTCTAAACAAAAGGCTTCAGAAATAAATAATGCAGGACAATTCTATGCAATTCTATGTTTGAAGATAATTGAAGTTGGTTGATAAAACTTGATCCTGAAAGGGGGCAACGTCACCCCTTTCAGGATCATCGCGTCTTACTCCACACGGTTTCGGAAGTCCGAAAACGGAAATCCACCCGCTATGAAGTCATGGCAGGCCTTAGGCACTCCTGTACACTCCTTATATGACTTGTCAATTGCTTGATTTATCCAAAAGATTTTGGATTGAATCCACCAGCAACACAGTCGCCAGCTGTGGATCTGCGATGTGATGTCCAGTAAGCAGCGTATACCCGGTCGGCTGTAGAAAGTTCTCTACTCAATGAACGCAAATTCGGGTAGACACGATGGCACGACTCCCAACTTTCTGCCTTAGGCTATATCTCACCCTAATCCAAGGCCAAGTCTAGAGGAACGCCCCCGGCACATACCCCAACAACACATCCTTCCTCGCCAGCTGCCTTAACCGCTGTAGTGTATCCGAACTGGTCGAGATCCCCTGGATCTGACACTCGCGGCCAATACTGCTGGTCAATTTGTCAAGAGAGATATGCGCAACGCTCTTTTTGTTCGTGAGCACCTCCACCTCGTCCTCGGCCACCTTGCGCGCACACTCGTACATGGCCGTATACCGAATCAGATCGGGAGACATGCGCACTTCGTCCGATTGGGATTTTTTCGAGTCGTGGCAGCAGGAGCGGCACGCTGTGGTGATGAGGGCAAAAGATGGGTTGTCATTGGATAGTTGAGCTAGGGGTGTTCCCTCGATGCACTTGATGAGCACCATTCTGATGCAGTGGATGCACATGACGAAGAGGGTTTGGTTCTTGGGTGGAGTTGGTTGCTGTTCAGGAGATGCAAGTGTTTTCTTGGATTCGCGATGCTCCTTTCTTGGTTCGTGATGCTCCCTTGCTGGCTCGTGGTGCTTCGTGACTTCGGGCTCCTCTGTAGGCACAATATGCAGCTTTGTCTGTTCTGCTTCTGCAACTAGGACGGTCTCATTGACTGCTGATTTTGTCTCCCCAAAAACTGAGATAGTCCCGTTTCCAGACGGTTTGATCCAATTTTGTGCTTTATTAGTCGTACTGATGAACTTCAGTTGCCCGTTGGGTGCATCCGCCTTCTTGGGAGACTCAATGACTGTTGGGGCCTTTTCAGCCGAGATTTCTGCTGTTGGTGCCGGCGGTGATTCAATTGGTGGTATCTCCTTGGTCTGGACACGGGGTCCAAATTCATGCTTAGGATACTGGGAGCTGTTTTCCCGGGGCCACCGTCGGTCCCGACCGTTTCGAAATTCCACTACTGCCGGTCCAACATCGGGCATTGGTTTATACCACTGAGAAGTATTAGCTAGGTCAATCGATAGCATAACAGATATACATACCACAACAGGATTCTTCAGCTGCCTTGCAAGATCAATGAACGGTCCATGTATATTCTCCAGATCCATGACAGACATCTCCACATAGCCCGTTCCTTTCTTCTTGGGAAAGGTGATTGCCTTTGGTGGTAATTTGGCATCCACCGAGGCATCATTCTTGTTCCCACAGATGCAGATGGGAATATACCTCCCAAGGCGCATCCCGTCCTTGTTTACAAGGCTTTCTGCACAATTCCGTCAGCCCTGCCCCAACACGGTAGGTGATGTACATACGGTACCAATTAGGCACATTATTGTACGAAATCCGATCAGTCAGATCAAACATGATGATCGCAGCATCGATCTCGTCGAATTCCCTCGAAGCCAGAGTATTGGGTTTCTGGGTGCCGCTGACATCCCAGATCTCGTACCTCACCGGCCCGACGGTCTAGAACATGAGCAATTGTATTATGGACAGACGGAAGAACTTACCGCGTGTAGAAGGATATCATGTTTCTCAACGTTAGCCGTTACCGGTAGCGAATGCTCGAATCTCTTTTTGAGATATCGGTGCAAGAAGGCCGTCTACGTTGGTTAGCCAAGGCCTGAGGTGGAGATGAGGAATCACAATACCTTGCCCACACCGGAGTTTCCCACCAGGAGCACTTTGAAGGTCCTGGTATCCTTGGTCATTTTGATATGGATATTCCCTTATTCGCTGGAGAATAATTATATGATCAGCGCAATGGTAGTGGAATATCATTCACAGGGATAATCCAATTCCAGGCATCGGTCCCTACGCGCCAGTGTGGCTGGTCGGAATGTGGGGTTATTTAGTATCATTCGCTTATTATTAAGGGATGATCTGGCCGATCGCCGATATTGGGCCTGAACCGGGATCTTATCATTGCGTACATATGTATATAGACATTGATGTCCTCCCATAATCTAATATGTTACTCCCCACAATTTTCAATACTAAGCCCAGAGACAAGTTCCATGCTCCATACAGACACCGCATATGGACAATGGAATGTCATGTCGACCCTAGTAGTTCTTGACGGTAAAAGGACCAGCCGCAATGAACAAGGTCGGCATCTACAATCTCAATCAGCTTATACTCTAGTCAAACCATATAAGAAGGGTTGCATACCTGCGGCGCCGTCTCCAAAACAGTCTCGATCCGCAAATACCACAGCGAGTCATCCTTGACAACTGGTAGTGACTTCGGGATCTGGGCCCTGAATTTTCCATCCTCCTCCTTAATCCCCGATAGAGAATGACTGTCTGCTCAGCATTGACCCCGTTGGGGCCAGGCTGGGGGTTGTTATAAATCACGATCTTGTAGTCACTGCCAGGATACTCGCACAGAGGATCAGGGCAGTGGCCTGTCGGGTTGCGATTCCAGCGGAACTCAATCTTGTCGCCGAGACTCACTGTTGCATTATCGGGGAGGCCTTGGAAGACGTTGATGCGGGGGCAGTCGCGTTTTCCCCATGCTTTCCCCATGCTATGGCGTGGACTGGTGAGTCTCGAGACGGGTGGCGAGGATGAGGTTGGACTTACGCTGGTTCTTGTCAAACGCGGCGGCGCTGCCGGCGAGGGAAGAGACGATGGCAGCGGTGATCTTCATTTTGTAGATACTCTGTGATTCAAGGCAATCTGACTCTGTGATTGAAGGTAGTGTTGGTGAATGGGATGAGGAGCATGGCTCCGGGGGTTTATATATTTTGAACCCCTTGGACGGTCGATCTTCTGCAGAGCTGTTGTACTCCTAAATTGAACTGGCTAGATAACGTCCATTGGGGAATATGAGACTAGTTTCTGGGCATGCAAAGGCCTCAGATCCTCAAGGATTCGAGGAACCTTAATAACCTAACATAATCATTCACAATTTCCCCTCCCACTCTAAAAATGATTCCTTCTAATATGTTACCCTTATTCTCTAATCATTCTTAATGACCTACTCTAGGGGGTTGTCATTTAATGGTTGTTAGTATGGTAGACCTTACTGTTTTTCCACCTTAGTATATTCCGGTATAGACCGTATAGCATAAACCCTCATCAAGACCTCGATTTACCCCAGATATCCAGACAAACTACAACCAGTTCAAGTCTCAGGGACAATCTCCGATCTCCTTCCGTAGAAAAGGTGACGCAAATGAGACATCGACACGTTGGCCGCCTTGGCATCAAGATCAGCCACTTTGCAGCGAGGCTGTGTTATATTTAACTCGTCTTCTGTGCCGAGCATCCTGTTTGCTTCATGTCTCGGACATACAGTCATGTGTGCTGTTGAGTCAACTCTGCATCCCCTTCGTCCAGGAACGTCCTTCATTGCAATTTGATTGTATAGGGCTTTCCCGCAACAGTCCGGATCGACCCCGTATACTCCTCCCCGTTCACAGTAAACGGCTTCCCATCCTGCACCCTCAAAGCGAGCACTCCTCCGCTCCTCGACTCAACCTTCGCGAATTTCAACTCCCCTTTGCTCCATTCCATGTCAACAACGAAATTCCCCCGCGCCACCAGACCACTCACACGACCATCTGGAACAGCGTCCGGCAACGCCGGGAGGAGATGCACCACCGCATGACTCTGCAGCAGCATCTCCGCGATTCCCGCCGCGAAGCCAAAATTGCCATCGATCTGGAACGCACTGCCAGGCCCGCTGTCCGTGTTCCAGAGGTTGTCGGTTGGGTAGTTTTGCAGGAAGTACTGCGTGTGGTTCCAGACGCTGTTGCCGTCGAAGAGGCGCGCGTAGAGACTCATTGTCCATGTGCGCGACCACCCCGTGCTGCCGCTGCCGGAGGTGATGCGGTGGTCTAGGAGGACCTTGGCTGCGTCTGCTAGGGTTTGGTTGACGAGCGGTGTCATCTGGGAGCCGGGGTAGAGGCCAAGGATGGGACTCATGTGTCTGTGTCCTGGTTCGGTGTCTTCGTACTCGTGTCGCCACTCGAGGATCTGGCCGTAGGAGCCGATATGGGGTGGGCGAATCTTCGAGATGTATTTCTGGGCGTTGTTCAGGTCCTGCCCTGTGATATCGAGGGTCTTGCAGGTTTCGATGATGGCAGTGAAGAGTTCGTGGAGTAGAAGGTTGTCCATTGTCGGGGCGAGGTCGATTCCTGTGGTCTTACCCGGGATACTCATGTCCTTTGGGATTATGAATGCGTTCTCGGGGGAGATCGAGGGACCGCTGGTGTAGTAGCCTTCAAAGTCAAAGAGGTAGCAGTAGTAGAAGTCGGCTGCGCTCTTGAGGAGCGGCCAGATACGCTTTTGTAAGAGGGTCTTGTCTTGGGTGAAGCGGTACTGGTCCATTAGATTCATCGACAACCACGCACTGCCCATCGGCCACATGGTCCATTTGGTTCCGTTGTCGACGGGTGCAGCATCTCCCCAGAGATCGGTGTTGTGGTGTAGGATATACCCCGTGTCGCAGTGGTACATTCTCTTAGCGACGTCCTGTCCATGCGGGACGACCTTATCCATGAGATCAATGACGGGCTCGAACGTGTCGGCGAGATTGGTAACCTGCGCATGCCAGTAGTTCATCTCCAGGTTGACATCGACGGTGTATTTGCCTCCCCAGGCGGGCGAGTAGTCCTGGTTCCAGATACCCTGGAGGTTGGCGGGAAGACCGGATGATGATTCTGCACGAGAGGATGCAATGAGCGAGTGTCGGCCAAAGTTGAACATCAAAGTCACCAATTCGGGGTCCCTGTTGGGATCTGTTTTGTAGTTCTTGAGTCTGATGTCCGTGGGCTGGTTCCCTGCGGATCCGGAGGAGCCCAGGTCCAGTTTGACGCGGCCAGAAAGAGACTGGTAGTCCGAGGTTGCAGCTTGCTTCACTGCTGGGTAGCCTGATTTCACTGCAGCATCTAGCTGTTTCTTGACCACCGCATCCCGCTTGGTCTCATCAGGATATCGATAGGATGTCTGGGTGTCAAAGAAGATATCCACAATCGAGGCTCCAGTGACCACAACCGCGGTTCCATTTGTAGTGATTCGCCCTAAAACATCAGCTTTACGCATAAAAGGGCGATGACCATATACCTACCTCCATGATTCAACACCCTTGCTTCAGCAGTAAACCTAATAGGATCCGTACTCTGCCCACTATTCGCCTTTAGAGTCAGAGTACCCATCCCCTTGCTGCTCCCAGCAGTCAAGCTCTCGACATATCTACTTCTTTCCAACGAGGTGATCACATTCAAAGCACCATCCTTGCTCGCCCGCAGCCGAATAGCCAATACCCCATCTGGATGACTAGCAACATACTCCCGACTAACCAGTCAGCCCTCCTCTGCTAGCCGCAAAAAGAAACATACCTATAGACCACATCGCCGACCTGATACCTCACACCCGCAACCCCAGTGTTCAAATCCAAAAAGCGCGTATAATTCCGCACACTACTCGCATCGTGTCCAAAATCCAACCTCAACGATCCAAGCGGGTGATACTCCCTCGGACTACTCGGAATACTCACCATTTCCTGCAGTACAACATTGTTCGCAGCACTGAGGTTCCCAGCTTCAAGCATTGCCCGCGACTCAGTAAACCCTTCGTACGTCTTTAGGTTCAGGCGGTCCTGGAAGGGGCCACTCCAGATGGAGTTCTCGTTTAGGGTGATGTTGTCGAAGGCACCGCCCCAGATTGCGGCTGCGAGACGGCCATTACCTATTGGGAGGGTGGAGGCAAAGTCCGCGGCTGGGGTGCCGTACCGTGTGTATGTTGAGGGGTTGAATGAGGCGGCGAGTGTTGGGGAGAGGGTAGCCAGGGCTGCCAGCGCTGTGGTGAGCCACATTTTGCTGTTGTTTGTCAATCAATGCTTTGAAGTGATTGAACCCGTGAAATATACTTATTAGTTCTAAGTGCGGGGTTTCAGTAAATATAAGCAGACATCCCCAGGAGTCGTCCATACCCCTTGACCTCATCAGGAATTTAGCCAGAATGCATTATCCCGGGGATCGACGTTGACAGTAGTATACCGGGTATAAGCCGACTTTAACCCCGCACGATCTACAGACATACGTATAATGGCAACGTTCCCTTATTGCAATGCTAATTTGGAATTAAACAGTATGTCTCGGTATATACATCCAATCATCTGTCTCGAAGACCGCACCGCATCTCTAAGTCGAGAAGATCGGCTTCTTCTGAAGTATCTGCTGGAATACCTGAAGCGAGGCTTCGGGTTCTACAGAGTACGCATTAGCATTGACTTGGCCATCCGCAACATCAGGGAAGACTCACGGTAGTAGGGAACCTCGTGGCCGGCCTCAAACACCCTCAGGAACGAGAAGTTGTCCACATATTTGAACGTGCCCTTCTTGACACCATTAACCGTATACGGCGCCAGATCCTTGGCCTTGAACTTCGACTGTCCGGGGAAATCAACAGCATTGGCAACCTCGTAGTTACCCAGCCAGTTGCAGATCCAGTCGGCATCGCCCGCCCACACGATAACGTTGATGCCGGACTTGACCACGTCGGAGAGAGTCGACAGGAACGAGCGAGGGTCTACGTCGTCAGCTGTGCACTCCTAGGAAGAAAGAGGGAAACTTACTATCTCCCGTTTGCGAAAACTTGTTATACGGTCCGTCCGGACATTCCTGGTATTTCGTCTGCGCACCAATGGCTTTGACAACGTCGGGGTTGGCGAGGTAGGTGGAGTATGTCTGAGGCGGAAAAGGGTCGTTTTGTGGCTGGCGGATATCATACACATCAAAGTCACCCGAATTACTGATCGGCCCCTCAATGTTGGAGTAGCAGACGCTGTCGGCGTTTCTGCAGTCGGCGTTGGTGCCTGTCTTGGCGCATTTCTGGATCGCTGGCAGACATTGGCTGTTGTAGACGCTCAGCAGACGGGTGCGATCGGAAGAGTCGATGAGCTGCTTGTAGGTGTTGTTGTAGCTGTAATCGATGTACGCCTTTTCTTGGATGGCCGAGTCGATCCAGCCGTTGTTGACTCCCAATGCGACCAGGTTGATGTTCTCCCCAGATACCGTTCCGGCTTTGATGGCGGCGTTTTGCTCCTGAATGTATGAGGCGAATTCGGGGCCGTAGTGTCCACCGTAGGACTGGAAGATCAGCTTTTTTTCTGCTATCGCAAGCTCAGAGACGGGACTTACCTCGGTGAAGATGCCAAATTCCCGGCTTTCGTATTCCGGGAACTGCGCGTAGAAGGCCTGCAGCAACTTCCACACATACGGAGCAGCAGTCTCCGTGCTGGACACTTTGTTTGTACCGTAGGAGAAGCCAACACCGATGGGCTGATCAATATACAGCATGTTGGCATAGTTGTTCCAGCTGTACTTGTTCAGCGAGGGGGTATCTTCGCCGTTGACAAAGTGGCAAGGGCCGTTCTCCTGGAACAGACCGATCATGGAGGAGCAACCAGGGCCACCGTTGAACCAGGCAGCGAGGGGAGCCTGCTTCGGGTTGTTGCGGGCCTCGAAGAACCTGCGCAGATTAGGTCTGCATATTGATGTCATTGCATAGTACGTACCAGAACCACATGTTCATGTTATCCCCGACAGACAGATATCCAGAGTACTGATTCACCCCGGGAGTGGTCTCGCAGATACCCGAGTTCTTGACAAATTCGATCTTGGCTCCGGTCGCAGCATGTTCAAAGACGGTATACTTGACACCATTCTTGACAACAGACGAGATACTGCCTTTGGCTGCGCTGGCCGTGCTGGCCGGGGCAGCACTGGCCCCTGCTACCAAGAGAGGGAGCAACCACTTTTGATACCGCATTGTTAACCTCGAATGCCTGGTTCTACCAATACACGAGAGTGAATCATCCTTGCCGTTGGGGACGATCCCTCTTTATAACACCAGAAACTGCGAAACAACGCCAAGACGAGGGGTCATCGCCTGAACCAATATCCGCTTCACATCAATTATGCTTCGTCAGGAACGAGCCTTATGACCCTCTACGGAGTACCGCCGTCGGATTACGACGCTGTTATCGAGCATGCACCAATCGATCAGATCACCTTCCAAGTCCAGGCATTCTTCCGGTGGAAGAATCGTCAAGACGACCCAAGCTTTGCTCAAGAGAAATTGGCGATCGGCAGCCAAGACCGGAGTCCGAGCGAATGTGCGACGGCAGCGGATCAACATCCCTGATCATGGTTACATTCGGCTGTTCTTGTGGGACTCGGACAGGCTAGAGGAAGAGGGGAAGGGAAAGATTCAGCCTGATTGGTGACATCCATGCCCCTGATGATTATCCCATATGTTTATCCCAGCCGGGGGTTTGGCAGTCATTCCGGAGCGTAATCTATTCAGATAGCTTATCTCAAAACACTCAATCATTCTAATATATTTCACATGCTATTCCCAAGAATACTCGGTCGCTCGTTTTACCTTTCAATCTGCCCATCTCCGGACTTCCTTCATAGACAGCGATGGAAAGTCCACTGATCGCCCCTGAAGGAACATGAAGAAAGTGTAACAATAGTCAGCTATCGTTTGGCAGGGTTCATTCTTGACTAAGCTGTCAAGGTGCTCTAGACTGCGTGAACAGCGCATCCATGCACGCTGTATGACCGCTGCTCCGGAGTGTTGCTGAGTCACACCAGCCAAACAATCGTCATTCAAGGGTGCCTTTATCCCTTAATATCTTTGGCTTTTGAGCAATCTATCTTGCTTCCTCACCTTGAGATCCTTATCTGCGGCTCAGCACCAGGAGACGAACATACGTTCCCCAAAAAGTCGACTGCGACGACCTGAGTAGGATCTTCGGCTTATGTGGTTCCCTAACTTCTCTTGTATAGTTGCTACTCCTCGTCATTCTTTTCTGATACTACCAACAATACAGTACTACTCAGTTACTGCGGAGCGGACTTCAGGAGCAGGATCCTCAATAACACTCTGATATTAAGCTAAGCTGTGCGCAAATAAAGAAGCTTATCATCCCGTATGATACACAGGTACAGACCACTGAATCAATCTGCAGCACGTCAAGCAAACATAGTCTTCAACAGATTGTCCGTAAACCTCCAGACGGCAGCAGAGTCATGCGTATGGAACGCAGCGCCGGTATAGTACGTGTTCCGCTGTCCCTGCAACGCGTACAGATTCCTATAGAAGCCCTTGGCGATTTTGTCGGCCGACACGAACAACGCGAATGGACTGTGGTTGCTGATGGCCAGGATCTCAGGCTCGGAGATGTTGAATTGCGCTTCACGTAGCATAATCACACCGTCTCTGATGCTCTTCTTCACCTCGTCCTCGGTCTTGGCGTCCCCACCGCCGTAGTAGATGGTGTAGATGTCCGGGACGCGAGACGGCAACATGGCGTACACTCCTGGCAGATGAGGGATGTTGTACGGCATGTCGGCAGCGCGGTTGAGGATGTCAATTCCGGCTGGCAGACCAGGGACCCTGACCACAGTGGTGTAGTAGAAGGTGTTTTCGAACTGGCCAAAGACGCCACGCTCGGTATCGTCTAGATCGAAATTCGCCAGGTTCTCCAGCTTCGGCGGAGCAGTGATGATGGTCTTCTTCGCTTTGATGAGTTGGTAGCCTTTTGGAGTTCGGACCAGTATCCGATGCGGACGGTCTGCTGGACGCTCCATGCTGACCACAGTACTGCTGAGCAATGCATCATCGCCCAGTTCCTGGCGCGCAGCTTCATACAATGCCCCGTTGTTGCCGTCCACTGAGGCCAGGAATCCGTTCTGCGCGCCCAGCGCCACCCCCAGACTGAAATGCTTCATGATGTATATGGTCGGGTACTGCAGCCAGTCCTTGAAGCCTTGCGCATACAGCGTCAGGGTCTCCACCGCCGGTGCGAGGTCGTATTTCTTCACAAACCCCCGAATGGGAGTAGCAGGTCCTCCGGCACAGGGTCCGGGAGGTTCCATCCCTGCTCGAGATAAGGATACTGGAGCAGCTGCATCGTATACCGCATCATCGCGTCGGTCACATTGCCCTGCGGCGGGGGCACAGTTTGTCCCGTGCGCAGATCGATGCGGACACTATTGGAGCGTCCCAATTGCACGGTGGTCGTGGAGATGTTGAGATGGGCGAGGAAGTCTCTTGCCTCGGGAATATTCTGCCAGATCTGGACGCCGTAGTCAATATACTGGCCGCTTACTGGATGGAGGTAGGTATTGGTGTGGCCGCCTAGGACGGATTCCCTTTCGACCACCACGACGCTGTGGCCCATCTTACGGAGCTGGATGGCAGCGTGGGTGCCAGAAGCTCCGCCTCCAATTATAGCAACATCGCGTTCGATGGTACTGGCGTGGTCAAATTTTGAGATATCAGGGGCGGGACCGCCAGGACCGGCGGGACAGCCGGGGTGCGCAATGACCTGCCCCAGCAAAAGGCTGGCCAGGAGGGACTTTGTGGTTCTCATTGAGATATACATGACTCACGGGCTTGATTGACTTTCCATGATACAAAGGGGAGATCGGGCTTTTATGCCCTTTCTCTCGACTCTGCACGTGTCCGGGAGCACCAGCATGGTGGCGCAGAGTGCTGTCCTGGCATAAGTCCCCGGCTGGGACACAAAGGTAGTGGGGAAATATCTCGTCGAAACTCTAGGGAAATGAGTTCAGATCCTTCACATCCTGTTGCTGGCTCAGCAGTATGTACCACATCAGAAAGACCTACTCTGCGGAGGGTGGTCATGTAGGCTGTAGCCCCTTAGGGGCCTCCCACTCCCTGTAGGGCCGTGCCGTCCCTCATGAACGAAGTGATATCACTTGTGTGGCAGTGCTGCACTGCTGAATCCTTCCGGATCCTTTATTGAATCCATCCACTCCTACGGAGTATTACTAATTTACTACGACGACAACAACGACGACGCCAACATCGTTGTTTCATACTGCTGCTTGGAGTGGTAGGCTGTGTAACAACCCAGTGGCAACATCCATACCGATCAACAACATCTCATGAATCAAGGCAAGAAAAGGCTCCATTACAGCATTTGGTCTATTGACTTTGATTACGCTACCTGCAGAGCAGACGAAAACCTTATTTAGCATTCAATTCAAGTAAAATTAGAAGCTAAATTCGGTCCGAAAAGGATTCGCTGAAGAGACAAGGGAGTATTCACATCTGGGCATCTTTGTCCCTTTTGCATGCGAACCTACTTTAACATGCAGAACGTTGTCCTTGAAATAAATGACCCGTAGGGAAGGGCTTGGATGTTGACCCTTCACATACATCCCTAACCCATCGACTTATCTTATGCTACATGGCACTTTAAAGATCACATGTAGGTTTCTCCGGTGCTCGATCATTTTATATTAAGGAGCGAGCCTTTTAATGGAGCCAAACTCGTGGAGTGCATGAATCTACCATGGTTTGGTGGCGATGTGCCATAATTCCCGCGTAGCAAATCAATATAGCTGTCAAAATGACGCAGTACCAGTCCAGCTGTATCTTGGCGGAAAGAATTCTCAAAATGCCAGTTAGATGGTTCGATCGTTCCTCGTGCGGCAGAGACGACTTGTTCTACAGCTGTCTATACTTTAGGTACGAACGATGGCTCCCTTTGTTGCGGTATCCCCTTACTGTATTCTTTGCGGTAATGAGGTCCCTGTAGGATGTCTAGAAAAGAGGAAGTGGACAAGCATGTTCCGACTTGGTGAGTGAAGGGCCTGTCCGATGGGGGCTGCAGCACCGCTGACACAGGCCCAGTCTATCAGTTTGGAGACGGCGCACTAATCTCTGGCTTGGGATATCGTGGGGGGAGGATGGCGTGGACAGTCCCTCGTGCCGAGAACAGTTGTTGGAACGATAAACCGAAGCCTGCATACATAGAAGTTTACTTGGAGCGCCATTTCGTCCAGGTCCCTTCCATGCCGGCATTCCTGTTGCACGAAGCATGCTGGTCACTCCTGAGACGTATTTACGGCCAAAGGGCTGTACCACTGGCTCGGTTACTGGATGTGTGCAACTCGCTGTGTTACCTGTACTTTACTAGGATTAATTGGGGCCATTCATATGGCGGGATGGTTGAGATATCTGGCAGAGGTGTGCTTCATTACAGTGTAACTGGGAGACTTGAAACTTGGCGGCAGATGGAACAAGATCGCTTTCCTTATGGCAATCGGGCCTGGAGGTTAGCGTTGCAGAGAGCCAGGAGGCCTCGGAAGTCTGAGAATCGCAAAGCATCAAAGCCGTATCCGATCAAGAGAGTAAAATTCCGCCCGGAAAGTGTTAGCTGACTTGATCAGCTCCCGTTGGACATTTGGTTTGAAATATGTGCTTACCTGAAAGTGCATGACTGCCTGAAATTACGGTTCCTATCAAGGCGCTTGAGCACCATGATGGAGAGCTCACTCTTTTGGACATCAAAAATCAAGTCTGAGGAGTGTGATTTCGCATTTGAGGTGCACGAACTGGAACCCAGCAAGTTTGTTAACTCAATGTGGCTGTATCGCTTTATATGCATTCAGCGTGCTGCTTCTTTACACAATAGAGCCAGGATCTGGGAACTGGGACGGTGTCTGAAAAGCATCCTGGACTTATCTGAACCTGACGCAACAACTATCGTTAACAACCCCAGGGACCCTGTGAGCCTGGATTGGATGAAGCTGTCTTGGCCTATCAAGGCTCCTAATACCAGCGACCCTCAACAATACATTGAGGGCTGCCAAACCTTGTACACTCAGCGTGTGATTTTCTCTAGTCATTTGCGTCAAATCACTGTCTCATGCATTGGCATTGAGGGCACAGTCTACATCACGGGTCTGAAACTTTCCTTCGACGATGGGACCAGCACGCAACTCGGTTACAGATCTCGGGACAATCCTTCAGCCGATATAGTAGCCTTTGGTGGTTTCATTGTCGCAGTGGGGACGGCAGGAATCCATGGGTTGCAGATAATCGACGAAGGATCGGACGTCACAAAATGGTTCGGTTCGAACAGGAGATGTCCTCAAACACGTATGCTGAAGTCGGAAGAGGAGATTGTCGGAATGACTGCTTCTTTTGATGTGAGGATACTCTCTAGCCTTGCGGCCCATTTACTACCTGTACTAATGGCAGACTAGGGCTTCAAACTCGTCTCCCTGGCGCTGGGCCGGCCAATCCGGCGAAAACGTAAAAGTTGGCCGGGTCTTCTTAGTTCTGCCTTATGGTATCCATGTCTCCCGCGAGAAAATTTGCGCATGAAAGATAGGGTTTCAGTGGGCCAATCGCCCACGAAATCTCGCCACAATCTCCTCTTCTGGGTCTGGTTCGGTGGTCCAGGAGGGTCGTACCTTCAGTACTTGACCGGAATATCCGTCACAAGATCCAAAGGCGGCTTTGGCGGGATCGAATTCCATTTCTCAGCCGACAGCGTCCCCATCACCTCCAGGAAACTCGGTCTTTGTGATGACAAGCTGGGGCCGGATTTCGCCATCGATGGTGCAGGAGGAGAGTACATCACGTTCGTCTATGGGAAGTTTCCGCAGTTGCCTTACCTACCCGCTCTGGTGGTGTGTCACAAACAGGCTTTTACGGGTGTTGATTAAAGCTGACATCCGGAGACAGATATGCACAAACCGTGGTCGAAAGTTTGCTGCCCTACGCCAGAGTTTCGACGTTGCGAAAATGAAACGGCTCTTCCCTGGCGAATCCAACTCCATCCTGACCGGGTTTTATACTAGCTATCGAGATCATGATTCTCCAATGCGCAGCTTGGGTTGCCTGTGGGAACGAAACTAAACGCCGGCAGGTACCGTCAGCTAAAGAGAATGTCAACTGGGGCAGAAGGGACATTTCATGGTACTAACGACATAAAAATTCAGCAATCTGCTCTGACTTTGCTATTAGGCAGATACTAGCTCGCTTGCAGTTTAAAATAAACGGACTCTAATTAAAGGATATACGCAGCACACTCTCGCGTTCCCCGTCTATCCTTATCGACCTTAGCTAGTATGTAGTGAGCTTGTGCTACACACGCTTGGGAGCTTCGGTTCCCTTCCCACGAGGTTGTAATTTGACCAAGCTGCTGGCTTGGCATTCGGGTGCGCTCTGTTCTCAGCGTGATAGGTAAAGGCTGCAAAGCCTAAGTTACACTAGAGAAGAGATCTTCCTCGTCCTGATTGAGTGCCGTCCGGTCTAGGAAGACAATGAATTTATACTCCAGGTTAAAAAGCGGTTGTTAACCGTGTCAATGTCAAAATAGAGATACTTCATTGAATGTGGTATCGGGATTGGAACATCGCTCTTGCCAGTCCGTTAAGGTAACACTCTCAGTCCACTAGCGATCAACGGTAGGAGGAGGCACGTTCCACATCATGGCATCCGGATTTTAAGAAACGCCAAAATAAATGCCTACATCGGAATTCCACTCCTTGAATAGATCATCAATGGTTGCATCAGGCAACATGCTAGGCCACTGCGCATGCAAATCCTCTGCCGGAACTGGAGACGGCCCCGCGGTGGTATTAGGGTTATATGCCATTGCTGTTTGAGAAGCATGAGGTTGGCGCTGGACGGGGATCTGCGTCATCTGAGTTTCGTACCACCACTGCAAGCGCTTAAGGCGATTTTCATAGTGATAAAATACATCTCTGTCGCCTCGTGCGTCCACCAGGGGTGTGACTAACGCTTGGACGCGTAGGATAACCTGTTGGAGTATCAGAGACACGTCTAACGCGTCTCTAAGTTTTGCTACTTGGCGGTCGATCGAGGAATCCGACGCGGCGACAGAGAGCTTTGCAGCTAGTGTCAAGCAAAATCCGCCTTGTACCCACTGCGTGTTATTGAACACGGTCTCTGCACGCAACGGGAGCGCGAGATAGAATTGAAAGAATTGTCTGGCTGCCACGAGTCCCATTGATAGAGCTTCGACGCGGAGCGACGACCAGAACATCGAGTCATTCAATGTTTTCCGGTCAAAGAGGGTGATCTGGCAAAGGTATAGCTCTGCTGTGTGGAACTGCATCGTGATAAACTCTGCTTTCGTCAGCCAGAGGGCTTCAACCGATAAAGTCGGGCACTAAACATACGATTGCGCGCAAAGGCAGTGAGGGAATCGGCTCTAAACTGATCTAGCTCCCCTTTCATCTTGCGAAAATGGGGTTCAAAGACGGCATCCGTACAATGCAGTTCTGGTGCATTCTGAGGCGACAGGTGATCAATACTTTCGAAAAGTCGCTGAAGGTGTATGATATGAGGCAATTGTGAGTCTGACGGACTGAGTGAGCTTGCAGCAAGCGACTGACAGCAATCTTCAATGTATGGCGTGTGTGGAAAGGTTGATAGCTTTTGGAGAATTCGCGATATGCTTTAGCCTTGTCAGTTTCAAGTATCATATCAAACATAGATAGAAAAAGTGAAGTACCTTGACGAAAAGTAATAGCATCCAATAACGGCTCTCTGCTCATCCTGGCCCCAACACACTGGGTTTGAGTTGTTATCAGCTATGCCAACCCTCGTTTGCCGCGACCGCATGCCGGGAGCTCTGTCCAGTCGACGGTCGACAATGATGCTGGTTGCCAAATGCAGATACTGTGAAAATCGGCGAGGACGCGAATGATATTGGCTCCTGCTCCTGTTAGAGTACGGTCTAAATCCCAGTTCCGACATACACACCATGCAATGTATATCAGAAGACCCTGGAGTAAATCGAAGGAGATCTCTCCCTTAAATACCATGCGGTCGCTAATGGCAACTTTTACTTGCTCTTCTAGCACACGCTGCAAAGGCATGTTATCGTACAGGGCAGCTGTGAGGACTGTAAGGAATACTACTGGTCTCGTTCGACGTATTTCCTCGGTGCTCAGACCTGAAGGAATGATAACAAACGGCAAATTTGGCATCATTGTTGCTTTGTACGTGTCGATTAGAGCATTTGCTGCCTCCACGGACAGAATGCCTTTGTCAATAACATCTTCATTTGCGCTGGGGCTCTCAGACGCTTCGCTCCGCGATGTGCTCGAATATGTTTGGCTCTTGGATGTATTAATCGCACTACTACTTCAAGAGTAGGTCAGCATGGTACTTACATGATCAATCCGTCGTTTGAATGTAGCCGACTCTGATCTAGCCAGGAGCCGGTCAACCTTCTCTTCAAGAATATCAATTCTCCTGCGCAGCGCCCCCAGTCAGCACAAGATTCTAGCAGCGGGGACATTCATCAGAGTGCTGACTTGTTGCGCCGACTCCCATCAGACTTGGAGCGTGCTTGACGAAAGACACATTCTTTTCCTAAACGTTGACATCTTTAATTGTCAGCCCCCTGGGGATGACAGATCAGTTGTTGCGCTATGCTGACCGTTGGCAACTTCCGCCATCTGCGGATCGAACACAACGTATCTTGCCACGAGCACAATTGTGGCAAGTCTTTACCATGGGGACCTGCGGTGTGGTCGCATCCGAGCTCGTATCGGGAGTCATTGATGTGTCCGACGTATAAATTCTACGGATTTAATGATAGTTGAATGCCCAAGTTTGAGAGGGGATGGAAGAGTTTAGCGCTGATGGTTGAGAGAAGCTGCCGCCTCAGGCACCAATATAGTACTATTGCTCGACATAAAATGTCCAGGATCACCGGCCATAGTGTCGTTACTCAGCCCACACGGCGCTGTCTTAGACATCCAACAAGGGAATCAAGCAGCAGCAGCGGTTTCAGAGAGTATCTGCAGCCTTTCTTCTTGATAATATGCGCTGTCGGTCAGATGTGCCAAGGGCCTCAACCCCACGCTCGGCTGGTCTCCGGTCTTCAGGTTAGTTGAGCCAAGACTTGACTTTTTATGCGGCTGGGTTATTTATCTTGATGCCTGGTTCTGGAACAGGGACTGAACTAGTTATATTTTCTTGATTATCTCAAAGTGGCTCAGTTGACACGCCAAGTCGAGGATTTCTCGGCTACCCTTGTTTTTACCTTGAGGGCACAACTGATCAGTATTCATTTGACAGCAGGCGGATAAACAACGTGCCTTGTGCCAAGATTCTCTCTTCTCTGTCAGCACAGAAGCTGACGCTGCGCCTCAGCAGAATGACGCGCTGTTTTGTCGGTATGGGCGCGTTCTTCTCGGGGTTCTTATCCCGAGCCTAAGCCCGTGTCCTTGTCCGTGTCCGTGCCCGAACAACACGGCTTGTTTCAAGGGGCCTACCTCGATCTACTCTCGAGGGCTTACTGACCCAGGCAGCTCAATTATTAACTTCAGCCTCAAAATGCAGCTAAGCCAACAAACATCTTTGCTCTTCCTTCCATTGGGAAAATACAGGTCTAAATTTAGTCCTTCAGAGTTGATGCCCATCGTGCAGCAAATCATGTACCAGAAGCTACGGCCGATGCCCCAGTGCTTACCCACGTTTACGGTCTAGGATGCCAAATTATTGTTGATGTATCGACGGTAGTGACGGCCGTTGATACTAAAGAGCTAGAAACATGAGTTGGGAAAAGGGCTTAGCAATTGAAGTCAAGCTGTTGAGCAGGCACCGAAGTAACTGGCACCTACTTATAAGGCATCAACTACGCAGGGACTTGCAACTGGGATCATTGAATTCAACTCGCGCATCTTCCTTCTACCGTGCTTGTTATTACTTAGAGCATATTCTGGAAAGTTCTACATAATGAGCAACAGTACAGACACCTCGGACTACTGTACACTGGATACTTGTCCATTGAGTCTCGCCAACTTCAACTATGTTCCGAACCTGGCGGGTAACCTTCTCTACCTGGCGCTTTTCTGTACGATGTTGGTGGCCAATCTGGTACTTGGGATCTATTACCGTACTTGGGGATACCTAGTAGGAATGATTGGTGGTCTAGCTCTCGAAGTCATCGGTTATGTCGGAAGAGTCCAGCTTCACTACAACCCATTTCCATTCGATCCATTCCTTGAGTGAGTTTGTATCTATCCCCTTTCCCGGAAACCACAGGAAGATGAGCTGACTGCATTGTCCAGATATTTGATCTGCCTCACGATTGGACCTGCCTTCTTGAGTGCTGCCATCTACATCTGCCTCGGCCACATCGTCGTTGTATACGGCGAGGGTATCTCCCGTCTAAAACCAAGAACCTACACCATCATCTTCGTCCTTTGCGACTTCCTCTCTCTTGTGCTCCAAGCTGCCGGAGGAGCCATTACCTCGACTGCGGATCATGATCAGCAAGACCTGCGTCAGACGGGGATCAACATTATGATAGCAGGTCTTGCCAGCCAAGTGGCATCTCTGGGGGTCTTCCTCTGTCTCTGCGCCGATTTTGCCTGGCGCGTGTACAAGAACCCGGATAAACTTAACGAATCGATGTATCATCTTCGCAAGACGCTCAAGTGGAAGGCGTTCCTGATCGGTAGGCTTATCCTTTCCCGTATTTCATCCCGCTGCGTATATCTGACAGCTTTAGGGCTCACCGTCGCGACATTAGCGATCTTTGTCCGGTCCATCTTCCGGGTGGCCGAACTGCGAGAGGGCTTCGACGGTCCCTTGGCTAATGACGAAGTGACATTCATGATCCTCGAGGGCGCCATGATGGTTATTGCGACTCTTTGCTTGACTGTTTTGCACCCAGGATACTGCTTTGGTGGATACTGGGATCAGACCAGCTGGAAGTCCATCAAGCAATCCAGTCAATTGAGTTTGACTGCACTCAAGACACAGAACTCACGGGCTTGAAATGTTTAAGAATATTGATGGTTATTACAACGGCCAAAATTATTATGCTATTCAAGGCAGATATGGGGTTGGAATAGAGAATGGGCTGGATAGAGAATAGATTGGTTGACGTCAACGTCTGGTTTTATAGTTACATTCTCTTGGTAGCTGCTAGGCCATTCATGAGTTCATGAGACCTTTCCCTACTGAACTGCCTATAAGTGCTGGACTCTAATCCTCGTGCTCGACAGCTTCTCTTCCTAGCCCCCCTAGTGTAGTCTTGTGCCGAATCTTACTTCGGCTGTCTTTAGAGACAAGAAAGACGTGGTTTCTGACCCAATTGCAGTCAAAGTGAGGGAGATGCTAGATTGGACCTTTGGAAGATAAAAGAAACAAGCAAGTCATCATTCATGATTAATCAAACGGACTTCGTCGATGGCAACGACGAATTCAATTCTACCAGTAGACCAATGATGCTTGGTGAAAAAGAACATGAAACGTGACGACCCAGGATCGAACAGGGGACCTTCAGATTTATGCGCCTAGAATCCAGACGCGACCTTTCCATAAATGCTTCCTGTAGCCGAACTAGCCAATCAGGTTTCTATATCGGCTGGGGTGAGTATGTTGTGATTGGCAGCCATCCTTACCCCTCGTTCTTCGCATCATGGATTGTTCCCCTACTTGGTATGGTGTCAACAATGCCTGGAACCGAGGTACTACTTATCTTTGATGTGGTGGAGAATGGCAGGTAGAGTTACGTTGGATGGTGCTCGTGTTGAGGCTTTCAGGGCTTGCCCCGCCGGCGAAATAAATACATATTGACAGTACTTCCCATGAGCGCTCGGTAGTAACCTTTCTAAACCCACCATATAAGGTATACTGGCGAGTCGTCAACTATTTCAAGCTTGCCGAATTATACAAATGGGCTCTCAAAACTCCCTGTCCGACTGGCAGCGCAAAGTCGCCCAAAAGCAACAGGAATGCCTGCAGAAGATCCCCGCTGAGTGGAAGATCCCAGAAAGCCTCCTCTCTTCCCTACGGCTACCACTTGCCGAGAACAAAAATGACCTGATTCAGGGTGATGCTGTCCGCAAATCTGGTATCCTAACCGAGCGAGAACTGCAAATCACAGAGCAATACACCGTGTCTGGCCTTCTGTCAGCATTGGCAGAGGGAAGACTGACCTCACTCGAAGTGACATTGGCATTTTCCAAGCGAGCGGCAGTGGCGCAACAGTTGGTATGAATGTTCCCGTCACTATATTGCAAATCCTCATGTTGGATAGGTAAACTGCCTCACGGAGACCATGTTCCCCGAAGCTCAAGAGCGAGCCAAATACCTAGATGACCTCAAGGCGCAAGGCAAATCCGCAGGACCATTGCATGGCCTCCCGATCAGCATCAAGGACCTTTTCCATGTCAAGGGGACGCATGCGTCTATTGGAATGATTTCCTTTTTAGAAGAGAAATCGACCCATAACTCGCCGTTGGTTGATATTCTGCTAAGCCTGGGAGCCGTTATCTACGTCAAGACGAATATTCCCCAAACAATGATGGTACATCTACCTCCCTAGTTTCAGGTTTGTGAGAACTAACATTTTCCTGCAATAGACAGCCGACTCACACAATAATGTCTTTGGCCGTACACTGAACCCCCATAACACTCTCTTAGGACCCGGTGGGTCCAGCGGAGGCGAAGGCGCTCTGATCGCCATGAGAGGATCTCCCTTAGGCGTCGGAACTGATATCGGAGGTAAGATACTCCCTTGATGACAGAAAATAACTAACAAAGCCAGGTTCAATTCGAATTCCCGCTCTATGCTGCGGAACGTACGGATTCCGGCCCAGTGCGTCTCGTATCCCGAATGGTGGCGGACGCAGCTGTAGCACCCCCGGAATGAAGTTTATCCTGTCCTGTGCAGGGCCATTAGCTCCGGATATGGATGCAATTGAAGTCTTTCTGAAGACTGTTATAGATGCGAGACCCGGTCTGTATGATTCCTCGGTCATCGATGTGCCCTGGAGACAGGCGACTGTCAGACATCCCCTGCGAATTGGCGTCGTGCCCCCGGATTCTATCTTCCCTCTGCACCCACCAGTGCGTAGGACTTTAGAGGAGGCAGCCAAGATATTGAAAGCTCATGGCCATCAAATCATAGAGCTGTCAGCCGAGGAATGCAAGGTAATGGAGATCAACGAAGTCGCATGGAATATCTTTACTCTCGACAGTGGAGCTATGGAGCACTTACAGGCGGCCGGCGAGCCACCGGTGCCTGCCCTTGTTCACATCCAGCGCCAGGTAGAGATACTGAAGCAGGCGGGGAAAACTTATCTACCTGATTTCAGCCATTTAGATCGGCTAGGGAAACTCGCTGCTCTCAATGCCAAGAGAGCCGATCTTCGAGAGACCTGGAGGAAGATGTGGAACAACCACGATCTGGATATTTGTCTCGCGCCACCGGCTCAAAACACGGCTGTTCCGCATGATATGTTTGGACTCGCGCCGTACACGACTTTTCTGAACTGTCTTGACGTAAGCTAGTTTTCAAAGCCTGAAAGCTTCATCTAACGACGTTTAGTATCCTTCGTGCATCATCCCGTTTGGACAGGTCAACGAGATGGATGCTCAGGAGGCCTTTCAGCTTGCTCCGGGTCAGGCTGGACCGACTTGTGAGTACTTTTGCTGATATAGACGCCTATTCTTCTGACTGACAATCATTTAGACAACTTTGCGCAGGTGGAAGGAGCACCATGCTCTATTCAGGTCTTCACTACCACGATGAGAGATGAGGAATGTTTGGAAATGGCAAAGATCATAGACAAGCGTCTGAAGAGCAAGGCGTAGATAGTGGGGATTTAAAAATTATCCTGATGCAAGCTGACAGGTATTCTCCATCTCCATTGCAGTGAAATACAAGCATTATGCCTGCAGGCAACCTATCATTCATTGAGTCTAGGCGATCATCAATGATCGACGTACTAAAGGTACGTGTGATTAATCACATTTGCATGCCAACTGCTCCGCAGTAAGCTGCATTAGAGTTAGAGTGTACTCAATTATTGAAACGCCTATCGAAGAAGCAATATGATTGACGTGGCTTTGTCTTACCGCAGCTTCTGCAGCGTGATATCTCTTCCATGGCATTCTGTTGTTTCCTCAAATCAGGCCGGTTCCACAAAGCAAATATGTTAAAATGTACCTGATCGACGCCAATAGAAAGGCAAGCCCGTATGCAAGGGATGCCACAGTCATCATCCCTTTCAACTACCCGAGGTCTTCAAAAGGTTCCTGACATCCAAATCCCTCAACCTCAACTCCCAGAATTTCAAACCCAAGGTCACACTGTCCACCCACATTATCCGCTATCCGCTATCCGCTATCCGCTATCCAGACCTCCAGATACTCAACTTTCTCCAAAATGGTCGCCCTAAACTCCCCAGTCGAAACACAGGAACCCGCCCTATTCACAGGTACGCATTCCTCGCACCACTCCCTCGCAACAACAACAATACTTACAGGGTAGGCGCCATCCTCACCACCACAAAATCCAAAAGCGGCACGTACCACGTCCGCCAGAACAAACAATCCTCCTCGCTGAACCTCTTCGGAAGCCCCCGAAAAACGAGTGGGCGTCCTTCAACACCACCGTCGGAACCATCAATGTATATTCTGGACCCCTTGACTATGGTCAAACTATCAAGCTAAGAAGCACCAGGTCACCGGTACAATCAACCACCTCAGCTTCGACACCGTCATGGAAGTGAGTGTCGCGGGTCTCTGCGTCGGAGCGTTCACGGGAAACCCGCAGCTTTCGTTCATTGTCGAGGTTGATCTGGAGTGCGCCAATGGGGAGCTCCAGCTCACGGCCGTGGGGGATGATATCTATCTCAAGGTTGATATGGCCTTGGTGCAGGTCGGGAAGGATAATAAGGCAGAGCGGGTGAAGTTGTCCGAGTCGGTTTGTGTCAAGAGTCTGCCGCAGGAGTTGTGTGAGCCGTGGATGCCGATGCGGTAGGATATATGCTGGGTTTGAATGTATGGGCGTCTTATGGGTAAGTCAGGATAAAATACAGGATATAGGGGTTTATATTCGTGGCCAATTTGTCTAGATGGGTTTAATTGTTAATCATGATTTAGGCGTGGAATGGGATGCATGGTATATTTCTAGATTGCACTTGTATACTGAGTTCCTTAACGGGAACAACATCGATGATACCTGACAAGGAAAGTATCATAACTAATGACTTACAGTAGCTTTATCGGAATGACTTTTATCCTGCGGCAACACCGGACAATTTTGCGAGACTCGGCGGTAAACACCTTCGAAATCCTCATTGCTGCACGATTTGTGGTGGTCTACGATACTCGTGATCGCAGGCGCAGATGTTGCGTAAATAATAATAACAACCCGTCATGGCTCCATCATAATTCACTCTCATCTAGCCCACATCCAGCAGCGTACAGCCTTCAAGTGGCTCCTCGTCGTCTTCAATTCTTTCGTCGCCATCCCACGGCGAATGAGGCTCCCAGCTCGCATCGATAAGGTTGGCAAAACCCCTCTTTGTTGACCGCGATGTTCGAATAACGGAATCCAAACACTCGTCGGTGACCTGGATACAGCACCGGTAGCGCTGAGCGTTCGCTGGACCGGTACCTTGCTCTTCCTGAGGGGCGGTTGCAGCCCATTTCTTGAAGTGCTCACGGACAAAGGATGTGGTTGCGCCGTTAAAGGTAGCTTGGTCATCGAAGACGGTAAGAGTAAGACGGTCCATCATGTCTAGACCATTGTAAGATTCCATGGTCTCCTTCTAGGTGTGGATACGGACGCGTCTCATAAATTCACCCCAGTCCGAGTCGCTTTTGTACTCGCAACGGTACATCACGAAGCCCCATGTACGATGGCCGTCTTCCTCCAGATCCAGTTCGACGCAGTCGGCGAAGTTGGAACGCCTCGTGAGGTGAGGAGTATGTGGAGATGGGTCATGTCGCTTCCGTATTAGTGCTGCCATTTTTAGCTTCTCCTTGGTTGGAATCCTCGTAAGTTGTGTTGGAGCAGGTCTGAAGACGCCGTGGGCGCGAGTGAGCAGGGTTCCTGGCGAACAGCGTGGAGACAGAGAATATTCTTCACGCGCATAGCTCTAGAAAAGCTACTCATAGTCATGGTTGAAGTACACCGAAACATCATCCTGCAACCTAGTTTAAGATGTACTACTGGACAATTTGGGAAACTGTACAGTTATGAATGACATAACTGCTTGCTTCGATGAGTTATGATGTTGAAATAGTCACTGCAGGGTGAAGTAAATGCCAAATTAGGATTAGTGGATCTTAGTAGACAAGACATTGCCAGTTGACAGTTGGGAAGTGGACAACTGGACATGGTCCAGCGGAGATAGGGGTAGCTCCGTGGCTTCTTACATGGAGGTGGATCTCTAATCTCTTTGTTGCATTATTACTTTTGTTAGATAATGGGTGTAGAAGCTGTTATTGTCAATCTGCTCTGTGTACGTAAGATATGCCAGTCTCCCACCTCATAAAACTTAATCCAGCTTAACTTTGATTGTCAGAAGATCTGCCAATATTTTGTGGGGCAGAATCTTGATAAGCTCCCTGCGCTAGTATGTATAGGGTATAGCCAATATATAGTGTCACCCCATATTGGGGTGATGTCACTGATGCATGTGGCGACTCAAAGCATATTTGGAATTCTCACCCCTCACGCTCTTTGATCGTGGACTCCACTCAGGCTCAACAATGAAATGAATCCGAAAGAGAGCCAAAAGCATTCTACTGAAGTAAGTTTGACCAGTCCCACATCTGCACCTCTAATTCATCTCTTTGTCTACTTTAGCCGCTCTCAGAGCGCGAAAAGCACCTCCTCAGCATTTATGGAAAGTTACCTCACAAAGGGCTGCTAGGCCCAGCGTCTAAGGTACTTCTTGGATAATGACCATACGCAAGAACGTCTAACGGTCAAAGCATCGGACCTACTTCGACTCTGGTGACTATGCTCTTGCTGCAGCTCACAAAACGACGGATGAAGGGACTATCGAACCTGGAACGGCGCATCCGTTGCGAGAGAGCATTCCACATCCCTATGCTCCCGTCCCTAGCTCTGGTAACGTTGCTGAAGATGCCAACAATGACTCGCATTGTAGGAGGAGTTCAAGTCCTGAATAGGGGAAAGATAAGCTCTAGCTCGGAATAGCTAACATACCTTATGTCAATCCGGAAGACTTGGTCTGGTTGGAAATTGTCTACTAAGGTTGGAGATTGGGGTCATTCAGCCATAGATGGCCATGTGCGAAACCATCGGCATATGGCTATCTTTTAAGTGATTGCAGAGGACTCTCAGTCGTGTCCTTTAATGAGTGTGAAATATGGGTGGTCGGTAGCATGTTCAGTAGTTTAAATCAGCATGTCCTAGCTCAAAATCTGATTAAAGCGGGAGTGATATTCATAAATGGCACTCTTAATATATCCTTTAAACCACTTATTATACAGCCGGGAATTCCGCACCTATGGGAGCATACTGCTGTTCTCGACTACCTTTACCCTTGATAGCGCTCAGCTGATCCAGTCTGTCTTGCTCCTTGTTAAACGTCCGTCCATGAATCATTGCACGCTTTCCATCTATCTTGTGAGCTTGACGCAAGGGTACCGCAACCGTCATTCAGCCGAGGACTGTGGAAGTCTAAACCGTGGAGCCACCAGAAGGGTCCATGAATGCTAAAATGGAAGAATCTGCGTAAGTCCATTAGCATGTAAGGAATCCTAAACTTCAGCAAGTGAAATGGCTTGACTGTTATCGACTATTCTAGACCTAAGCTCACCTGATACTCTACACTTTGACTTCTTAATAGAGAGGCACGTGGAAGTTTATATAACTATTTTGTACTCTGGTTACGCATGATCATGCGTCATCAGACTCACATAATGGACCGACACTGGTACTTTATAAAAACCCTTAAACTCTTCTAGAGCCTGAAACATAGTAAATACTTAGTTCTAACACTGCATATTATCGCTATTAAATACGTTGATAAACTGTGAACTACCTTTCAGTATGCCCATCCAAGATTATGGTGTCTGGAAGGCATACCCTGTGCACTACATAGTTGAACATCATGAAGACGACCCACGGTCACCGCATCTATCATTATATTATGACGACAGTGGACAACATCGCAAGGAGGGCTCTCAGCTCAACCTTGGCCGGACAGGGAAGGAAATTCCCGGGCTCTTCCGAGCTGCAATCAATATCAAATCTGGAGACAAGAAGGACTCTCGCCTCGCGTATTGGGTAGATCGCGATTTCAGCCAGCATCCCATCATTGACAGGCTCAGTGTTCTGGAGCCGGGTTTCCATCTACTCGAAGATACGAAGCCAAGCCCTGATGGTCCAAGAATTGATTTTATCCGGAGTAACTTGTTCAGCGTCAACAGCGGCCGGGTTCTGCCACATGACATCGAGGGCCCTGATAACGATATTATTGACGTGCTAGAACCGGAAGTTCGTCAGGCCATTGAACATCAAGCTGAAGTGTATATGTTTGGTTCGCGTTTTAACACAGGGGATGGGATCCACGATGTCCATATGAACCAGGGCAACAAAGGACGCTGGAAGGAGGATGATGGCATCTTTCAAGACGGAGCTCTCCTAATTCATTTCACAAATCCTGACCGATGGGTTGGCGTTTTCCTCGGGTTTGCATCCCAGGCAGCCCACACCGATGATCGGACTGGACATGCCATATCATCGGAGACTTGGAGTGACTACCTAATCGACCAAAGAGGGCAGCCCGATCTTATTGAGAATTCTGTGGCCATCAAAGAGGTAAACATCGAAGCTCCTGGGCGGGGCGGCTCAAAGGAACGACGGGAATCCGTTACTCTCGCCAACCTCACGAGCAAACCTCTCTCCCTCGGGACATGGAAGATTCATAACTCAGCTGGTCAAATCCAGGTTCTACCCCTGAATGCTGCATTGGACGCAATGGCAACAAAGGTTTTCGACATCCCCCATTGTCATCTTTCCACTCATGGCGACACTATCACCCTTGTGAATGAATACGGACTCAAAGTGGATGGCGTAAGCTACAACGCCGGACAGGCAAAATCCAGTGGCCAGCCTATTGTTTTTGCTCATTGAGTCTCGGCAAGGAACAATTGATCCCTGTGTCTTTATCGGCTGCCGTGGAACAGGGACAAGGGTGAAGGATGAACAAAAGTCATTGAAGTTTATGATTGGTCTGTACTTAATCCAGCGTTTGACTGACCTGTACGCGCTAAGGCCACACAGCAGATTGTCCTTGTCTAATTGAATCTGATATACTTTGCTTAAGCTTGTTCAATGACCGAGCACGACCAGCAACTAGTCATTCACCGACTTGTCAATCATATATGAGCGATGGGTATTTTAGGGCGAACCTGAGATTATGTGGAAGCGTCGGTCACAATGTAGATTCTCTGTATTAGACATCAAAATAATCAAAACATGACAGCATCATAGTAGTCCAGCTACCTAATCTCTATGGCTCTCTAGACTTCTTCTGTAAGGAATGTATCCTGTGGACTACTATATTGGGCCGGATTCGGGCATCTCGCGGTGATATTACCCGAGTACTACTGCATATTCATACGGAATTCCAACTTCTATCCTGAACATCTCTATATTGGTTACACATGCAAATACTACAAAATGAGTCAGTTCGCTTGGCAATCTATTGTTGATTTGTCAAATACGAGATTTACCCACCGTGATTTCAAAGCAACCCTTGGCTGCCAAGCATACAGATATCAAGATGGAACGACATGGAAGGGAGCTGGTATATAAATTAAGTAGCGATCCGCAGAATGCACGGATCAATCAACACTCAAATCAATCCTTCCTCTCAAGCCCCAATCGCAATGTCATCTGTCAGTATTTTCGGTCTCGGGGCTATGGGCACTGCCCTGGCCTCTCGGTTCCTCGAAGAGAAGTACAAAGTCGCTGTATGGAATCGATCTCCAGAAAAAGCAAGCCCTTTGCTCGAGAAAGGTGCAACACTTTCCCATACGCCTGTGGATGGCATCAACACAAGCGATCTGATCATCATCTGTCTCCTCGATAACGCCGCTGTTCAAGCGACCCTCGACAGCGCTCTTGACCACCTCCGCGGCAAGACAATCATCAACCTCACAAACGGAACGCCTGACCAAGCTCGGAAAATGTCCGACCTAATCGTCAGTCACGGCGCTCAATACGTCCACGGTGGAATCATGGCCACTCCGTCCATGATCGGTTTGCCTCACGCCCTTGTCCTGTACAGCGGGTCACCGGATGCATTCAAGGCAGCCGAGGCCGACCTGTCAGTGCTAGCCAAGGGCGTCTTCCTAGGCGAAGATGCAGGCTCTGCGTCGCTGCATGACCTAGCTTTGCTCAGTGGCATGTACGGTCTTTTCTCGGGCTTTCTGCATGCAACCGCGCTCGTGAGCTCGAGCACACCCGCTGTCAAGTTCCTGGACCTCCTGGTTCCTTGGCTGGGGCAATGACCGAATACACTAAAGCGATGGCAAGGCAGATTGATGAGGGAAATTACGCCAGCGAAGGATCGAATCTCGGTATGCAATTGGTTGGTATTCAGAATATTATCGATGCCAGTGCGGCACAGCAAGTCTCTGCGGATTTTATTCGGCCGATGAGGGAATTTATGGAGAAGGCAGTGGCGGCTGGTCATGGTGGTGATGATATTTCGTCGTTGATTGATTTTGTGAAGTCAACATGACTTGCCCCTGTAGGTTAGATTCTTGAGCTTAGAGAGAGAATGGACCATTGCTCTGTCAAGCAGCATTTATGTTTCTGATTCCGTGGTAGCTATATCTATATTCGGCTGGATAACCTACGAGGCTGCCGTGAGTAAGCCAAAACCAATTTGATTCAGATCTTAATAACATCTTCACGGATTAGAACTGAAGCAACACTAAACTAAAAGTTCGAAAACAAAAGGATGCTTTTCTTGGTTTTTCACGCAATCGGACAGAAGCCATGTCAGACAGGACCTAAGACTTAGTCTTCTTTCCAACGTTATAGTTAATCATCTTCACCATGATCTTTCCCTTGTCACTATCAATCAAGAACGAATCTATACCGTCTCTCACGTCGATGCCATAGGCATCATGGTAGCTCCAACGCTCCGTCACCCATCCCCCCTCTTCATCCACCACGGTGCCCTCGATGGTGTAAGCAGTAGTAGGCAACTTACTGTTAAGCAGCCTAGCCGACTCCTTGATGCCCTCATGTCCGAGGAAGAATCTGTCGAAAGTGCCCATCAGCGACAGACGCAGGGAGGGGGAGTAGTTCCGCTTGATATCCAGCGGAACATCCCCGATATAACGCAGCAAGATATGCTCCCAGTAGACGTCCGAGACGGAGCGGCCCTCCTCACGAGGGAGCTGACCTGAAATGAGATACTCCAGGACCTCCTTGCTAGGCTTGCTCTTCGGGTCTTTAACATTGTCCGAGATCTCTTTGAACTGCTCCCGGAGCCATTTCTCGCCTTTAGGCAGACGCGGGTCCGTCACGGTGAGCTCGGGGTACTCCTTAATCAACATCTCCGCGATATCGTAGTGATGGTTGTCAAGGAGGAGCTTGAAAATGGTGCAGCCTTCCTTATCACGGGCTGTGGGGCTCGCGTCATTCTGAAGGAGCTCGATCATGGCGGCTTCCTGGCCGGCTATGGCTGCCGCGAGGAGTGGGGTGACGCCGTCGTAGTATTCATTGACGTCGGCACCGAGATAGATCAGGAACCTGATAATATCGACGTTACCCTTGCGGGCTGCATTCACGAGAAGGCCACAGGAACTGGTGGGCGGCACCTTGGTGCCGTTCTTAACGGAGTTGATAGACTCCGTGGTGGAGGTTTGACGGCTGATAAGGGCTGGCATTTTGATAAAATTTTCGATAATGGAAGAATGGAATCCTTGCTATAGTGATTTTGTAGATATGTCTTTGATGGTCGGTCATAGCAGTCTCATCTCGACGAATTTTGCCTCGTACTTATAGCTTTCCTTTTTCCTACTTGGATAGAGATGCCTCGGATCTTGGAAGATCTCGAACGCATCATTGATGCAATGGACTCCCAGTCTCCGGTCAGTGCATTAACTCTAGACAACGACGAAGGACACTCAAATTCCTATGATCACAGCCTATGAAGTCAGCACTCAGGATGAGGTTACAAGCTCACTGTGGCCATCATGGGAGCCCTTGACGCTTTCAGAAGGACAATGTGGCAATCTTAGAGTCAATTACCACCTAAATGATACATATGAACTGTAGTACCAGTTGGAAGCGTCCTTAGGGTTGCACTCGGGCGTGTAAAGAATCATGGCAGGCAGAAATCCGGACTAGGTCCACTGGATTATGAGATAATTCCAGATACTCCTGTCGAAAACGGAATTGATGTCGAGGATTAACGGTCGAGACCTCATGAGAATATCCTATCAAAGACCTTTGCTCCCCGATCTCATCGCCGTCCACTGCGAATGTCGACGACATCTCCTCGTTTGAACGTTGCATGACCCCGATGGAGCATCATAGATCAGGACTACATCATGACTTGACTCCACGGTATCTCTTCATGGAGGTACTCTCAGTTATCCTCTATTCTGTTTCCGGTCAGTGAAGCTGTCCCCGGATGATGGGCTACGCAATTGAGTGTAAGAGGTCGAGGTCTTCGCGGAATTGGCCCTTCTAGCAAGGCTCGGGTGCCGCATATACTTCACATCAATGGTCGGCTAGACCAGACTGGAGCTTTCCTGCAGGTTAGGCCCTTGAACTGAAAGCAGCTGTAGTCCTGAGGGTCGTTGCTCTCCATTGGCAGAGCATCAAAGTCAATGTCTCACTGTTCAACGCATACCCAGGCGTGATTCACTATACAGCTTTCTATCCCCTCTCCACATTGCTAAACACAAAAATACCTGTAATGCCACATTCACTCGTAGGTTTAGCTCGATATTCCTTGTTTGCAATCTGCATTCGGTCATAGGTAATGAAGGGTTGATTGTTCTTAAAGCAGACCATTTATGTGCGGTCCATTCAGGTGATGCAAGACTTGCAATGCTGCTATTTCTGACCAAACCATCTTTCTCCTGGACGCGTTATCCGTGTTTTATAGTTCCAAACGTTTCAGGTTTCTATCAGAGCAGCTTTCTCGATATATCGAGAGGTGGAAGGGAAGTACTTCACACGCTGTGAAAACGTCACAGGGAAATGCAGGCCAAGAAGAAAAAAGGAAGTACAGAGAGACAGTAACTGCGGAGAAGAATACAAAATTGACAAAAAGTAATGCATCATCCGTGAATCGAACACGGGCCTCGTCGATGGCAACGACGAATTCTACCACTAGACCAATGATGCTACCAATTGAGCTATTTGATTGGCTGTTGCTGCTTGGGAACTTTTTAAATTACAAGACCCAGTTGCCCGATGCGCATGGACATAGAAGATGTTGCACCAATTTGGATATATTGAGATCGAGAAAGAGAGTATTTACTACTGATCGACTGTTATCCCGCCGCAAGTTACCAATTATCTGCATGGATTGTAGGGAAGTATGCACAAGCGGAGGTTTCGGATGGTTGTATATATATAATCCAGGAGATCGGCGTAACTCTGAACTGCCGAAGAGTAGATCTCCTCTGCCCAGAAGGAGAATTCTTGAATTTCAATATTGCGCAAGCTGCAAACAGACAATGAGGAGAACAAAAGCAAAAAGTTGGTTTGAGCATCCATTTTGATAAGAGTGCATGAACAGCGTGATTATTGAGTTGCCCAGAACGGAATATGGTCTGCTTACTGCGTCATGAACCAATCACACCCGGCCATAAAATCAAAGTTAAGGGTATTAAAATAGAGTATTTTAGCGGGGTATTCCGGCGCTGACACACTGCTTGATATTCACGACTCGTCCCATCTCCAACACAATCATCCTTCTATAAACCAAATACATCAAATCTGTTGTTGCCCCTTATTTATCTAGATGCCAGACCTGGGTACATCCAAACATCGCTCATCCCGCGCTTGCACGGCCTGTCGGGCCAAGCATGTTCGATGCGACGCGGCTCTACCACGATGTATTCGGTGCCTCGAGGAGGACAAAGAATGTGTATATGTCAAGTCGCGACGGGGAGGTCGTCGCCGGGTCTTGAGCACACTGACTTCGCCAATGAACGAGACGAAAATAGATCACGGATCTTTTACATCGATACTGCCAGTCCTATCACAAACAGTGACCAGGGAAATGGACTCAGGCGTCGACTTGACTACCCCAACAGCTGATCTGAGGGATCCTGTGGACGATCAGCTCCTCTCATTGTATTATCGGTACTTTCATAGTGCGCATCCATGCGCAGTACCTAGATTTGCAATCCAGCGTTATGCGGCCAGCGACAGCCAGGCAATACAGCCACTTTATGCGGTGATGAAGTACATCGGCTCTCTGCATAACGCATTAATCCCGTCATCGCAATTGAAAGATCATGTTGAGGCGGAATTGGCTGTCGTTCGAAGCACCAACCATGAAGTCTCACCGTTCGCAGTGCAGGCGGTACTTCTCTACTCTATCGCAGTTTATTGGTGTGATGAAACGAGAAAAGGCCTGGACCTGCTTGAGGAAGCCATCCGGATGGCCCTTGGCCTTAGAATGAATCGGAGGGACTTTGCCACCGGGCACGGGAGGAACGATCCGATCCTCGAGGAAAGCTGGCGACGGACATGGTGGCAAATCTATATTACCGACGCGCATATCGCTGGAAGTACGCACAGTTATCCCTTCCGGACGAATGGGATCCATATGGATGTTCAGTTGCCCTGCGAGGAGGACGAGTATGAATCTGGTGTAGGCGGTCCTCCTTTTAGTACATTATTATGACTGAGATCATAGAATATTCCAAACCCGCGAACTCTGGAAGAGTACGATATGCGAGAGTTTGCTGGTGATGAACGCGAGTTCTCGTCGTTTGCTGAGATGGTAGGCTTGACTCGAAGTTTGGACTTGGCACTTGCCGCAAGAAAAGACCTTGACCTGAAGAACATCACTACTGTCTGTGCTAACGTCGATGCGATCCACGTCTCATGGACTTCACTTTTGCCGGCATCAAAGAGGACTGTATTTAGACCCGACGGCTTTCTGGATGAGATTCTGTTCAAGGCACATGCCATCATCCATACGTGGGTCCCTCTCCATTTCTTTGAGTATCTTACTAATTATATGTAGATGGATTGTCGACCTTCACCGGCAACTGTCAACACTAGCGTATAGCGCCATCGAGGGTGTGTCAAAGTGTTGCCCGCAGGCACCACCAGAGAGTCTCCTCCAAAGTAACTCCCCTGAAAGCGATTTGCACACCAGGAGAGTTCTGCACTCAATCGAGCAGTTCGAGTCCCTGCTGACCCTCCCAACAAACATCGTCAGTCACACTCCGTTCATTATCTGCATGATTGCCGTTGTGGCCGTCACTCACCTCTCCGCTTGCCGCTATGTCTTCAAGGGACAGGACTTGCGACTTAATCGAGAGCGGATCAGAGTGACCATGGGGGCTCTCAAGGCAATGGGAGAACACTGGTCACTTGGGAAACGGACGTACCAGGAAATCAGTGTGATTGCACGGGAGATATTATCACTGGATCGACCATTGCCTTCTCCAGCTGCGTCACGCGAACCACAGCATGTCATAACGGGTATATCTGATATAATGGCCGACATTGCTGCCTCTGCTTGTGCACCGAACATGGCAGTTGAGACTTTAGACTTCTGCGATTTGTTTGACATTGACTATCATGAGGCGACTATTCGCGATGCCCTGTCTCATGATCTGGTGGTGACTGAGTGCTGTATATGAAACTGCTCAAAAGTGGTTAGCGCAGGGCTTATTCACATTCAAACAGCGTTGCAGGCTATACAAGCTATACCTTTTTGTTCGCCCTGATTAGTGATCAGGATAGTTGTAGCCCCAAGTCGAGACCTAAAACAAACTGTAGGCAAGATAAAAAATCTCGCTATTGGATCTCAGTATTGACTTGGATCTAGACCGACCCAGAATTATCCGTCCGAAAGTTCGGTGTCGGACAGTAGTAAATACATTTCGTCCGAAGTGCTGACAGACCATTATCCTATTGCGGCGGATCGGGTATCCGGGAATCCAGGGAATCACCAATACCCGGGTGGCGCTACACGAGATCTCAACGTCAATGCATTTACGCTCTCTCGTCTGTATGAATTAATTGTTTGTAAGTCAATTGTCTGCTTGGCAGGCTTGATATCATCTCAGCTCGTATTTGACCGGCAATTCGGTTATAGTGGCAGCTGATGACATGCTCCGTTAAGGTTATATAAAGCGTCATATTCCTCTTGCCAAACCACCATAAATGATTTACAGTGGCACCTCAAAAACTAGCATCAAAAATCACACCTAGTATCAAAATGTCCCTCCCCAAAACAATGCGCGCCCTCCTCCAGCCCTCCATTGAAGAACCCCGTCTGGTCCTCACCCCAGACCACCCCGTCCCAACAGCCACAGAAGGAACAGACGAGCATCTCATCCGCGTGCACTGCGTTAGCCCGTGCGCCAACGAGCTTAACTGGGCCAAATTTTTCCCTGACCTCCAAGGACGCGAGCAGATCCCCTGCTACGACGTCGCGGGAACGGTAGTAACTTCACCGCCATCCTCCGACTTCCAGCCGGGTACAGAAGTCTACGCACGCTCGAATTATCTTCGCCCCGGTTGCGCACGCGACTACGCCGTTATATCTGGCGCCGATCTCGCGCGCCGTCCGCAGAACCTAGGCTGGGCGCAGAGCACCGCCATCCCGCTGAGTGCGCAGACGGCGCTGCAGGCGCTGTTCGTGCAGTCTGGGATTGGGCAGCTGGGCGATGAGGCATGGCGGGGGAAGAGGGTGCTTGTTACGGCTGCGTCTGGGGGTGTGGGGATCTGGGTGGTGCAGTTGGCGCGGCTGGCTGGTGCAACGGTGATTGGGACGTGTGGGCCGCGGAATGTCGAGTTTGTGAAGTCATTCGGAGCAAACGAGGTGATCAACTACCGGGAGACGGACCTGAAAGTGTGGGGCAGAGGCCAGAGAACCAGGTCGATTTGGTGGTTGATTGTACTGGCAAGAAGTCGTTGGAAGATACGTGGTGGTGTGTCAAGGAGGGTGGGATTCTGCTCAGCATCTGCCAGCCTCCCGAGCAAGTGCAGCCTGAAGAGTGCAAGGGGAAGAATGTCCGGAATTTCTTCTTCATTGTGTCGGCGAATCGAGCAGATTTGGAGAAGGTCACGAAGCTGGTGGAGGAGGACAAGTGTCGGGGTGTTGTGGACAGTGTTTGGCCGCTGGAGCAGTTCGAGGAGGCCTTTAAGCGATTGGATGAGGGACACGCTAGGGGAAAGATTATCTTGGATTTGTCACTGAATCAGTGACTGAACTACATTTAGCTACAGTGTTTTCGTCAAGAGGATTCTCTCTCAAAAGTGTCCACGACGACCAATCTTCGCTCTTCTGATCGCTGTGTTGAAAAGGCTTGCCCTGCATTTATTTGCCAAGGTCTTGTCGATGTATCAAAGTTTAGTCGTCGTCGTCACAACAAATATGTGTAGAAAACGCCTGTAACGATGCCATGGAATATCGAATGTATTTATGATACCACAGGTCTGAAATATGAGGAGAGTAACCCTAACCACCTGTCAGCCTACATTATCCAATCCCACATACCAAACGGACGACACGACCAGAGTCGCTACCATAAAGCAGACAGAAGTTTCCTTCTCATGCATGAAACTACCCACCAGATCAATTGAGTTGAACCAGACTCCACTCAATGCAAGAAGCATCTCCGTGACCAGCTTCACCCATTTTGGCAGTGGGTAGTACGCGTAAGCAGCCGACAAACACGCGCAAGCCATAGTCACAGCCACACAGCAGTAGGATTGACGCCATGGGGACTCGGACTTTGGTGAGATAGCTCTGCTTCCTCTCGCCACAATCTCATCGCCCTGGTATTGATATTGCAGGACTCGCGTGGCGAGAAGGTACTCCACCAGCACCGCCAAAATAGGTAAGCGGAGGAAACCTTCAATGACGGGAATATTATCTGGGTTGTTCTCGCGAAGGAGGCGGACCACCAAACCGATCGGAGATGGCTCACCTGCCATACGTGCGAGATCGGACGCGGAGATCTCCAGCGACTCAGCGCCAATCGTGTACTGCGTAAACTCGTGCTTATGCCAAATCCCTACTAGACGGCCTTTTCCCTGGTTGCGAAGCGTGAAGAGGGCACGGATACACAGGGAAAGGCCCACGACGACAGACAGCCAGAGCATTCCGTGACCAACAACCCCCGAGGGTGCCAGTCTCTTTGCGTTCAGCCCGCCGTACAGCCATCCTGCAATGATAAGGGCCATTTCCAGAGCAGGCATGGCAAAGACTAACATAGTAGCCCACCACGGGAGGGGAGAAGCTACAATGTCGCCCGCCAACAAGGGCGATCCGTCTGCCGTCTCGTACTGAAAAACAGCCTCGTCCATGCACAGCAACGATTGCAAGATATCGTTCCCATTGACATTCTTGCCGCCCATTGTCGCAAGGGTCGGCCGCACCGTCATGATCCAGACTGCGAGTCCACGCCCCGTCGCGGCAGCCATGAGTCCAACAGCACAGGCAACCAGCAGATGCACAAGGAGATACATTCGCGTAGCGCAGGCCATCCGCGCTCCACGGTCGCTGCCGTAGGGACTCGTCCATTTCCGCAGCTTCAAGAACGGCGTGAGGTTATGGTCTACGCTGGTGAATATCCACCCCCATGAGAGCGTCGCCTCCGTAACCTGCAGTTCCTGTTGCTGCTCCTTAATATACGTACATCGTGATGCGCGCACATCCATCCTCGCCTCCATCTCTCGCACGATTTCCTCTGTCGTCGCCGGCGGCGACCGCTCCAGCATGTCCAGCGCAAAAGCAAGGTCCGCCTCCTGAAGCGGAAACAGATTCTCGTTTGTTTCTTTGACCTTTGCGCCGCAGAGGCTCTCGCTCCGAGGACATTTGATCCAATGTACCGTGCTCTCACGGGAGGCTTGGTCTTTCAGCTGGCACCCCACCACGAGAACCTGCCAGTCACTGCCGGCGGCGAACGTTTCGATCTGCATAGCTACCCGGCGGACTAAACCCTGCAAATCCTCGGGGGTGCGCCAGCATACCACGGCAACATCCGTGCGGACCCTGTTTGTAACCCAGCCCGCGTGTAGAAACCAATTGCCGCGGGCGAGGGCGTTGGTCATAGACCGGATCCGAAAGGCCATACGGACACTTGAGAATAGAGCCGTTCCTGCACTGGCGACCTTGCCGACATGCGCCGCTATGATGATCGCCCCCCAGAAGGCAATGATCTGGGAGGACCAGGCGGCGGTGGAGGAGACGACATATTGCGCCGACACGGGGAGCGACTGCAGTAGCAGCACCAGAAGGTAAAATTTGCAACATGCCATCAAATCGCTACATATCTGTTGCCATGGAAGAAGAATTGAAATAGAGGGGGATCTAGCGACTTATAATTGCCTACCTAATGCGAGGCTGGGGCGGAGTCAGCCGTGGCTGCATATGGCGCTACAAACGGGATAAAATAGCCGAATCCGAAGCTCACGAGGCTTTTCACCAGCCAACGGTCCGGTTGACGGTCAACCTATTCTCCCTCACACCTCGTATGGCTGTATTCCCCTTCTAATTAGATGTGGCGAAAACCCGGCTGGTGTGAAAAGTACTCATGATCTTATAGTTTACTGTAAGCCAGCTAAGAAATTAGCCTTGGCCAACATCCATGGTCATCCATTGCTGTCTCTTTCAGCCCTAGGTACACGTTCGGTCTAGCACTGCCCACTATTGTCCCCGCCCAGGCAGCAGACCCAACCACAAGAGAAACCAGTCTTTAAGAGCTCATAGGCGTGATGCTTTCGCATTTACTTAGTTAGCAAATAGGCGAAAGTTAACTGGTGCCAATGACCCCTAGCTGACCATATTATGCCATCTTATTTGATTACCAGAGCGGATGTTGTGCTGATCTAATGTTGTATATGGGATATTGAGATAAGATACATAGCCTCAAAGGGCGAAACTAATGGCCCACCTGCAATGACCCTAGTGTATATGGCTAACCTGGAAAAACCACGAATGTGGGTACAAAGGGACCGGAAATTCCCCGAGCCAAAAAAGTGATATATAAGGCCAAGGAACCAAAAAAACAAAGAGTTGAACATCAATTGGTTTCTTTATACTGCTGTAAATCAGCCATTTTCTCTGCCTTTGTACATCATATTATTCAAGTCTAAACTATGTTGTTGACTAAGAATGTGCTTGTCGCAGTCACTTGCATCGCAACTTTATCGCTGGCATCCAGCTCGTCCTCTAGCACCAATGGGGAACTGAAAGCTGGAAACATAGTTCAAACAACTACTTGGGACACCACAACTATAGCTGCTGGGACCTACAAAACTGTTACCAAGTTTGTCAGCAAATTTGCCCGAAATATGGCCCTTTCTATCGGGGGATGGAACAAGGGCGATTGTCATACCATACAGGGGACCTTTGAGGATGTGAAGTGGACATATTACCCTTCTAGGCCCAACTGTGGTACTTCTGGGCAGTATGATGATGTCATTGTCATCAGGGCCATCAAGGATTATCTTCATAACAATCATGGGCATAACAACACGTGTGCTACGCAGTGTCTTCGTATGGATGAGGGTGGGAGCTGGGATGGATGGTTGAAACTGGGTTCTACCAATGCATTCGATGAACAGGCTTACTGTGGTCCCACCTTGACCTTTGACAGCTGCTTTTCTGGTTGCGAACAGGATCTATGATTCGTCATATTCAACCATGGAACATCACTCTGCTCGTTGATGGTGCTTTGCACGCTACCTCATATCCGCAGATTGTTGTCGCGAAAAGTGAATGCATGATATAGACAAAAGTTCGTTGATACTTCTGTCAGGACTTGGGAGTTATGGTCATTGATCCTTCCTGTGTATATCCGTCCCATCCTATTGATCGGAGCTTTGATTCTGGAAATTGGGCAAAGCGACTTAAATAGAGAACCTAGAACTACGAATGCGATCGACTTGAGGGACAAAAGTTTGTGTCCATTCTAGCAGATTCAACCGGCTGATTATTCCGTTCAGTCAACTGGCGGCATGATAACGGAAGTCTCTCTGTAACGATACCACCGGCTTATATCCGTGTGGACTCGAATGGCATGATATCTGTTCGTAATACTTGGCTGCGTTGACTTCTGGTGCAGAATATGGATAGGGATCACCGTTGTAAAAAATGTCTCCAATCCCCGCCTCCTTGGCTATGTACCCTGCTCTTATTTGACGTATCATGAACAGGTCCTGCCCGCGTCGTCCGTTGCGGCAGTGCTCAGACTTACACCTGAAGACCGCATAGGGACAAGATTATCCTATCTACCTCTTCTTCCGGATTAACATTACCACAGTAAACTAGATACCCGCTTCCAAGCCGGGCTCCGGTCACTGCGGCCTGTATTTCGTCCCTGATTTCCCCTTCGGTGTTTTCCTGACCTGAGCCAAGCGACTCAGTCCCGGGATCTGGGACGGGAACCAGGATCCTCTCATGGAGCCGAGCCCCCTTGACATGGAGGACCTTCGTGTAAGGTAGCCCAGGTAGCGAAGACGATTCCACACCCTGAGGCAAGACGCAGGACGGGTTATTCGGGCATAATCGCCGGCTTTCCAAGGCAACTCAAAGCCAAAAGCAAAGAAGTGGTCGAAGACGTCCCACGAGGCAAAGTTGGGAAAATGAAGGCCGACAATTGCAAGGCCACCGGAATGAATGTATGTTTGAACTTTTTGGAGTACTTCATTGTGGCGCGGGTCAGTCAAGCCTTGGTCTGTGATTATAATCGCCTTGGGATTGTTGGCATCCAGATAGCAAAGTGCCACGTTCGCCTTCTTTACCCGCTTCAACCGGGCGGACTCGACCAAGTTGCTGAAAAGTGATTTGTACATATCGTCAAGAAAGTCCACGTAGGCGAGGGAAAGAAGGAGGATCTCTGGGCGGTTTTCGGTGGACATCGTTATCAAACTTGCTGGATACCTTCCAAGGGATGAGCGTGGCTGCGTGGGCCAATTGTGCGTGCTGGGAAAAAGACGACATTGTATCAACCAAAACTTTCTATCTGACAAAAGATCAGAAGAAACTTACATATATTGTCTTGAGACCAAGCAGACCTGTCTACAGACTAATTCCCTGAGGGAGCTCTTGCAAACAAGATGTTTGGCGTATGCTTGGGTGTATTACTGGCGCGAAATGAGACCCACAAGAATCTACTCTTATCAGAAGGGAATAACAGCGGATACTTTCCTTTTGAGTTTAGCCTGGATGCGCTCCATTAGGTATATATAGGTGACTCTCCTTTATTATGCCATAGAGTAGTGTGAAAATTATGGGGTTACAGATGGTTGCTTTCCCTACTACTCAATATCAGCCTTTTCTAAGATCTGGTAGAACAGGTTTAATGAGAGAGTGTATCCTAGGTCTTTGGATCTGTCATACCAAGACCTGATTGCAAATTACATGTGCAACTTGCAGCCTGTACGGTTTCTCCGCTTGCACCTCCAAAATGGGCACATCTCATGTTGGCCATACTGATGGTTCACAAGGCGTTAACAGGATGGTGGCCGTCCTGTATAGGCGTAGGCTAGTATATGTATATATATTAATTGCTTCTGTATCGTAGAACGTCTATTTACCATCTTCCTGAAAGCCGCGCCAGCTCACATTGAGATGCTTGTACAAGGTCTGTCCTTGTGAGACAACCAAGGATACACCTCTCAGATCCGATGCCTATTACCTTTCCGGGTTCAGCATCTCCAAATCAGAATCCACTTTGTGACCCGCCTGATTTTGTGACAAGAGCTTGCTCGGGTGGGATACATTAAGGATAACGCAGCATGCGAACATTAGTGCAGCATCAAAAACATAGATGAAGGCCTCCTTGCTCTGAAGATACCCGTCGCTTCCTTGCACATATTCTGCGACACGATAGACAGATCGGATCATGATTAGAAGACTGACCGTGTACAGAATCTTCATGTAGTGGTTCCATGGCAGCTGCGTGGACATCATGTGATGCATGGGGGTTGCAAGCATACGGCGATGGAAAATCACAGAGACGATCATGAAGAAGCCGAAGAACAGAATCTGAACAAACAGACCACCGATGATCATATGCTCTCCCATGTTGACTTTGTCTTGTGTTTTGGCGCCCGCCAGTAAGCCACCACCTGCCCGCGATTATATTAGCTATGGTGTTCAATTGATATTTGTGCATGCTTGGAAGAAACTGCATACCTCCGCACTGCATTAAAAAGGAAATAACATCACCCGTCACAAAGACCTTGGTCAGCCAATTCGGACGGACCAACGAGAGGGAGTCTGCGTTCAGCAGTCGAATAATTCGGCCCAGAATCATGTACACGGACGCGGCGAATAGCGCTGGAGCAAGGAGAAGCAGCAGACTTTGGCCTATATACGGCTTTGTCGTCCAGTTTGGTGTCTGCTCTGCGCTGATATATCTGCACAGGTAACCAAAAGCCTCGACTAGAATCAACAAATGCGTTAGCCTCTGTAACTTGCGCCCCGGCAAGTAGCCCTATGTCTGGTACTATCACTCTAGACCACTCAAGAAGGGTATACACACAGACGCCACCGATAATGAAGGCAGTCATAAACCAAGCCCTTGCCTTTGCCATCTGCCATATATGGATAACCGTTGTTAACCCGAAAATTGCAGCAAACGCAACAGCCGCACCCGCCGAAGGATCGTAGTGGTAAAGCTTGAATGCCATGGTCCGGGTATGCAAACGAAAAGATCAACGTCGCTGCCGTAGTTAGAACACGGATCAGGAGGAGTTTGTAGTGAAATAATGGGTGAAACAGCTTACTGCTGTCTTGCAAATTTGGATTTGGCCATCAAAGAGAGAAATGGTGGACAATGGGGACAAATATAAATCAGCAAAAGTCGGTTACTGCTCCCGGTGCTCCACTCCAGATACTACGTATATCCCATTGCCTGTAGACGCCTGGAACCTTGGCACAGGCTCATCTGGCCTGAATGTCATAAGAAACAAAGTGCATTAAGCTACTTCGTACAGATTGCCAGTTTGCACCCATTTAGTGCTGCCTGAAACTACTTTGTCATACAGTGTAGTAGCTAGGTGACCCAAATCGGTCTTTGATACGAACTACGAGCAGTGGATCTTAGCCTTCCACCTCGATTGGGCTAACGCAACTATGGATCTCCGCAGGTTGCCGCAGATAATATTCATATTTCATACTGTGAGGTCGGTTGTGGGTCAGAAAAGCTCTTCCCTCTGTGCCTCAAGATAGTGGGAATCTCCGTAGAGATTCCAGTTTCAGCCTAAATGGAAAGCGGAAAAACGATAAATAAGAAAGAAAGAAGATAAAAACTTTCAGCCTTACTTTGGAATGGCATCTCTCACCTGGGGCATGAGCAAATATGCGGACAAACGTTGCGTTCTCAGTAATCCGATACCACCTTGGGCAATATTAATGCCTATTCTTCCCCTGTAAATTGCAGGATCACGAAGGGATCTTTATTATGAGTATATGGTACCGGAATCCCCAGCAGCAGCCCCTATGGCTGAGACTCGCAGCACTCAACTGCGATTTTCGCGCCTACTCACCGATGGTATGGGCCAACAAGCCCAAGATGGCGAACAGTACGAATACGAGGACCCATTATGGTTGCTGATCTGGTGGGTCACAGGTATCGCATTGGTTCCACTTAGGTTGAGCCTTTGGGACTGACTCCCAGACATTTATTTCCGATGGCTATCTATGTATTACTATTTTAAGCGTCCCAATCCCTCTGACGGATGGTATGTGATGATAATTGTGAGGTGTCACCTCGCCGGTCCTACTTTTCATTTGACCGCAAGGAGAATGCAGTCTTTGCCTGCAATTTACCTTCCACTACTGCGCGGACAGCATATGCTTATAATTGCTAGCAACTGGTGAGAACGGAAACTTATGTACCTTTGTGAGCGGGCCTGTTACTGCCACACAATAACACCGCAACTATCCAACATTATACCCTAACACTATCCCCATCAACCTGAGTCATCTCAGGACTTGATCCTCGTGCAGGATATCCATTCGCCACAGCCTGGGAAAACTCAGCATCTGGCATCATTCCATCCGTAAGTTCCTCTAACGACTTGATGCGTCCATCCTTGTCTCGGACGTCAGGAATGAAGAAATATGTGATGAGTAGGCCCATGAGCATGAAGAAAGATAAACTAGCCAAAATTGTTAGTGCGAAATGTTCACAAACTTCTCTGAAAGGAGCCTACCAGAGAAGAGCATATCCCAACCAATCCGGTACGTTGGTATAATCTGCTCCATTGCCGAAATCGACATACGCCAGGAAGCACTGCGCAAGGACCGAGCCGAGTTTACCGAATGCAGCGGCGATGCCGTGGCAGGTGCAACGGAATCGAGTTGGAAAAAGTTCAGCAGGGAGCTGGCGGTCAGTTTACTCTCCTGAATCGAGGATTGGGAGAATTACCATATACGTTGTTGTGTTGGGTCCTAGGCAGCGGGTTAGCAAGATCAGGGACATGGCAGGAGGATATACTCACCAAAGTTGAAAAATATCTGGCAGAGAATATACAACACCACCAACGCCGACGGGTCATCGTGTTTCACCAGATGCTGAAACGAAGCGCCAATGACCACATTTAGCAGAAATAGCCAGAAGAATCCATTCAATTGGATATTGCGCCGACCCAGTTTATCGATCGTCAGGACTGATAACAGATTACCCACGATGGCGCCAGAGGAAACAACAACAATACTCTGATATGCTGTTTGAAAGAGTAGCTGATACAGACTAGTCCGGGGCAGCTTGCTTCCGAACCAGATGGTTCGCGTGATCCGTGGACTGATGAGCCCTAGGCCATAGAAAGGGAGATCGAGACAGAACCAGCAGAGGGATGTGGCAGCCAGTTTTCTGAAGTTGTCCTTCTGCCTGAGGAAGAGCTTGAAGTCTTTCCAGATTGCCAAGGGGGAGGCGGCATCTTGTTCCGCAAACGGGGCAGCAGAAGCAGGCCGATCTGGCTGTTGCTCGGCTGATTGGGTCGGCGATAGTCGGAATGAACCTGACTCCGGAGAGGGTGGTTCTATACTGTTCATTGATGCACTGTCAATACTAACACGTTGATAGAATTGAGATACGTCATTGACGGCCTGCAGACTGTCTTTGGTGACTTCTGCTGTATAGCGAGGGGACTCGATGATCGTCAGTCGGAACCACAATGCAATAAAGGCAGGCACAGCTCCTAGTCCGACCAGAAGGCGCCAGATGGTGTCAAGGCTTCGGATACAGTTTCCTGTACATGTGGTCGTATCAGGGTTAGTGGGGAGATGGTGTTGAAAGCCCGCCACCGCGATGAGAGCAACCAATTGGGCGGCGAGCTGTCCGAGGGACTGACAAAAGAAGACTGTTGCAAGTAGTCGCCCTCGTAGTCGGCTCGGCGCAAACCTGAGATCGTCAGCTGCGGTTACGCCATGCCGAATAGGATCTTACTCTGAACAAATAACTGCCGACAGAGGGTAATCCCCACCCAAACCAATCCCGAGCAGTCCACGCCAAAATAAGAAAAGAGCGATAGCAGACATGGAGTTCTCGGCCCCGAAGACGATAATGCCAGACCTAGGGTGGCGAATATCAGAATAACCAACTCCATGCCGTACATCTTGCTTCGTCCCCAGACATCCGCAGCGACGCCAAAGGCGATCTGGCCAAGCATAACACCGCCTAAAGTGACTATACTGAGAGCCACCTCATAGTCGTGTCGGACAGCATTCGACTCGGTCCAGTTCGAATGGTTCCAATAGACAATGTTCATCATAGGTAGAACCATGTTGACAGAGAAGATCTGCAAAGTCAGTTGATGGATCCTGTCCGATGGGTGCTGTCACGTACACCGTATGCATCAGTGAAAAAGCCGATACCTGCTACGACGACGATCCACATCCATTCGCGTCGTCGAGCGCTTTCAAGTCGACCGATGATGTAGGCATGTCTTTGAGCCGGCTGTTCTTACGGTTAGTAACTGAGGCATGGCTAAGCTTTTGTATCCAGGGATCCTCACTGTATGGTGCCGGAAGTCCTGATATTCCTTCCATGGGTAGATTCGCAGTCCCAGAGCGGCTAAGCGAGGATATCGCATATCTCCTGATGTATTGATTCAATGTACGATCTTAATCAGATCCTAGCAGGAAGTTGCAAAGACGCGATTCTCCCGTTGCCTAATAGCAGCCATTCCCCGCCCCTAAATCATTATCAAAACGAGGCTAACGACCCTTCTCAAGTCTCGGGGAGCCTCATACCTTTGGAAGGAGTTCGCCCAGGCAAAGATACGAACGCCGGGCAACAGCCGCACAATCTCCCATATCAGAATCCAGGGGCGGAGTCGACTTGAACGTGCCCCGTGGACCACGAGCTCGGCAGCCCTGTACAGACCCGAGACATCTGTCAAACTGCAACTCGAGACGATAGGCTAGATATCAACGACTGAATCGAAATTTCCGAAGGTCTTTACCAAAGACGCCGTTGGAATGATGCACGTTGTGTAGACGAAGGCGGCTATTGGACCGGGAGTACGAAGCCTTCGGTGCTACTCCGTAGTCTAGTCCCCTTGGCGCCACCACGTGTGATGGATGACCTTGTATATGATCAATGCCCTTCACTGCCACAAAGCGCCCATTGACATGCTGCTGACGAGACATGTATTCATCCGCTGCGCGTGGGAGGCAGGCGTATTTTGAGCCGCTAGCTTGTCAATGCCCGGACCAGGCTATCACAAAGGGTGGGGACAGTTCGCGTGTCGTTTCTCCCCATGGCCCATGCTCCTTCTTCGAGTTCCACTATTGCTGATCCATGGATGCAAACCTGACCCTCTTCGGTATTACTACCTTGTGAAATTCAGAGCTATTGTTTAACTATTGACGTTATACGGGATGAGCTTCGGCTGGAGCGTCGGAGATGTGTTACAAGCCGCCAAGATCGCCTGGGATGTCTACAAGTGTATCGCTGACGGGACCCAAAATGCAAAGGTCGATTTTACACACTTCAAGGCAGAGTTTCAGCTGATGAGAGCGACCATTGAGGAGTTACAAGAGGCTGAGAAAGATGTCCCCGTCTCCAAGAGGGTCGCTCTCGGTCAGTCATATCAGCAGACGATCATCGAATGCACTGAATTCGTCAAGAAGCATCAAAAATTGGCCAGCAATATTCACTCAGATGGACCGAAAGGACCGTTACAATGGCACCAAGTTTCGGACAGGGTCAAGACGCTTTTCCACCAAGTTGCGTGGCCGATGGAACGCAAAGAAGCCGAACGACTGCGCCGCGCGCTCGAGCGGAACGTCCAGCTAGCGAACTTGATGGCAACCCATACCGTGATTGATATACAGAAACAGAATAGACAGGAAAATAGGCAGGAGAATTTGGAAATCCTGCGTGCAATTAAGTATACTGAAGACCATTCCGCCTTAATTTTCCCGAACTGTTACTGACTGACCTTGCAGAATCATGAGTCTACAGATATCGTTCATCCTTCGTCAATGCATGCCGGGACATAGTTCTAACACCGGAGACAACACTCTGGAAAGTCGACTCTTATCCGAACTTGGTCAGCGAGCTTTGCCACGGTTACGAGGCACGGAACAGCAGCAGCCCTTGCTCGAATTCCATGATTCAAGATCCGACGAGCGGGAGTCGAAACCCCTTTTCCGCATCCAAGACGTCTCCCAAAAGCTAGAGCACCTTATAATGCGCCGTGACATGCCAGTCGTTGGCTTCCTAGACCAGATCCGAGCGGATATTCGTGGTGCTTTGAATCAGGCTGGGTTCAAGCATGTCACCGTTCCTGGTCAACTGGCGTTGAATGCACCAACCAAGCCCAAGGAGCCCGCTCGGATCTTGAACAAGGAGATTGATGAGTGGGAGAAATTCAGCGACTGGGTCAAATTCCAACTCCTACATCAAGAACGAGCGATCACCTCAGCACGAAGGGAAAACTCGCCGCACGATAATGACCCTCCCGGGGAACCGCCGCCCACGCCTCCACTAACTGAGCCCATCAGTACTCGCTACCGGTGCACGAGAGTAGAGACGCAGTGTCCTGTAACGATGTATGTTTTCAGGTCAGAGGTATAGATATCTTTTCGGCTTGCTTACATTGACACAGACATTTCCCCGATCCCAATCTCAAGAACCACGAATTGCACAAACCGGTTAATTGCACAATAAGCGTCTACCTGCATCACCGCACCCGCGATGTTGGCTTCATCGAGGCAGCAGATGTGACTGGCGCCGTGAAAATAAGTCATCGCATCCACGAGACAACATTCAGAGGAGCCCAGAGCTCGATGATTCCATATATCGAGAGTGCGCATGTTATCAACGATCCGACCAGTCCGTTCAGGATATGCTTTCAGGGGTCTCATCGTGTTAAAATAGAGACGAACGGCGCTATCGAAAGATATGCCATCTCGCCGGTATATATCTGCCGGAAGCAGGCTGGTGAGTACTACTATCGCATTTAGGACTGCAACCCCTAACCAGATTCAGACTTTGTTGCTTTGCAGAGCATACTCCTAGGCCGAAACATTCTCTATTGCGGAGATGTTAAATATATCAACGCCGACGGCGTCGAGGAGCACTGCTCGCTGGAGACCATTCGTGTCCTCCAGGACCCGCTCACATCAGCGCGGAGTTTACTCTACTTTGGCAAACTCAAGCACAGCTCCAATGCAAAGATAGGCTTTCTGGAATGGCCTTGTATGTACTATTCCTTTTAAGTTCTGATCGGACCTGCAATATACTTACTGAATACCGCAGTGGATGGGTTCGTAGAGCTCAAGTACTCGAAGCTATCAACCAGGCTTCAACTGCAGGGAGAGGCCATAACGAGACGGAACTCGATGGGAAGCATTGGCAGCATGATGTCGAACGATTCGCGCCACTCAACCATGTCAATGTCGAGTTCAGGTCGCCAAATAAGACAGCTGGCAATTGTATTTCATGATGAGAAAGGTATGTTGGTTTTATGCAAGTTTGATATGGGACCATGCTGAGATTTGATAGATTGTGAAGCATTCCGCAAGGTCCTGCGGCCACAATGAAGGGAAATGATGATCGCTTCTGCAACTATAAATAACGACTTGAAATGGTAGTGAATCTGTATCTCATGTATAATTGCTATTAATTCAATACCGCAATGGACAAGGATGTCTGACCAATAGACTAACCCGCTGTCCTTCAACAAGGAGGGCTCGGCGTCTAGTTATCTGCAGTTATATGACTCGAACACCGGTGCCAAAAGAGTCATTGCTGCGGGCGAAGTGTAGAACTAAGTGATTATACTGAAGCATCTTAGAACCCCCAACGTTTCACCAACTCTACCTACTCTCAGCTGAAATCCCACCACCTCCCCCACCTCTGATAGGAGAACGGGCCAAACCACACCCTAGTTAAAAGGCTAATATTAGTTTGTATAATCCTCTGCACTGTAAGCATCGTTAGCAGCGCATAAGCAAGCTCTAGTTATAAAAGCAGAGGATCTGCAAAAGCATCTAATATCCATAACCACCTCTAGTACAGTTAGGAGTTGCTGTAATAGCATAATTAATATATCTAAGCTAGTTAAGCCATATTAGTGCGTCCTTAAGTTATATAGATGGGCTAAGAATAGCATACTAAACAAGCTAGTGCTCCCATAAGTTAGAAGTAAAGAGTAACCAGCTTTAGAGGTAGGGGGGTTTTAACTTTAGGGGGTTAAGTAGGACTACTACTAATCCTACTAGGACAGCAGCAGAAAGAAGAGGGATACTAAATATTATTAAGATCCTTATGGCAAATTCCCCACTGGGGACTTTCAGTGACAGTATCCTCTGAGTTCTAAACAGGCGCTCAGTCTACCCTGAATTGCTCATATGGCAGACATAGCGCTCGTTAGATCTAGTATCACATGAACCTATTCACACTGGGATTGCAACAATATATGGATAGGTTGGCAGATGCATCTAGAAATATGCTGCACAACTGAATGTGATAGTATGATGATAGTTTAAAGCTATATTATACACCCCTATATACTATAATATAAACAGCAAGGGAGATTGTTTTATTAATAGAGAACAAGATCAGTCTAATACTAAATGGTACTATAGGTGAGATTAATGAAATAAAGGTGGAGATGGTAATTTGTGACTTGAAGAGGTTGTCATAAGAGGAGGAGGAGGACAATGTTAAGGCGGTCCAACAACACCCCCAGGAGTTGAACGACCGTTTCCGAAGATCGGACTCAAATCGCCATTCGAATTCCGGTTCGACCAATCAGATGGCGAGATTCGACACGAATTAAACATGCCGTTCCAGCCAGATTTTGAATTGGTGGTTTTTATCCCGTACCTTATCTTTTGTCGATAATACCAAGTTACCGAATTAACCGAAAAACATACCACACAAATCTCCATCTCACGTGCAAATTCGCAGTCAATATTGCCTATTCCCATAATCAAAAATGGAGTTTTCCTTACAGTAAGCACTAGATGTATCATTCTCCGCGCTGTACTGGATACTTTTTCTTAGTCCCTTTAGCTTGGAGTCTTTATAAGTTCAGCAATTTTGTGAAAATGAATGTTAAGAGTACTGTTATGATCACCAAGGGAACGCATTGTCTCTTATGTCTATCAAAAACATTGTGCCAGTCATCAATTAACATGCTCTAACGTTCAACCACCACATTACCCACCTCGTCATCGACCATGAGACTACTGTGGTTACGAGCATGGCTAGCCTTTGCAGCCTCTACAAATCCACTCATCGCTGGTAAGGATACTCCCCTGACTTACACAAGATTTGCTTACACCCATACTGACAGGAGAGCAGATGCGGTTAATGGCTGACAGCTGGAAGAACGCACTTCACGCCTTGTCAACAATCCCGGCAAAGTGTGGGCCTAAATTAGCTGCCAGCGTCAGCAATAAGTGCAGTGTAGGGTTCATCCGCTTTGAGCGCGATGTCACGGCCCCAGAGAAAAGGATGGAGCTGCCCAAGAGAGCAATGGGTGCCTTCTATTAAAAGAGAGTTTCCCCAATAATGACGAACCGATCGTGCCACACGTTGAGGCACCCACCGCGACGGACATGAGCACCGCCGTTATGAAGACCTTCAGCAGCTTAGGAGACAATGAGCAGTATAGCACAGGCACGGGAGGCCTGTCGGGCTGCACTATAATGTACATCATTAGCCGCAAGGGGGTATATGCTACGCACTGGTGGGAAAACATGTCCTTCTCACCTGATGAAATCTGGCGGGAGCCTGTGACCCAAACGGACAGAGAACTATTCCAAAGCACCGTTTTTAACATGTTGACAAGTGGAGGGAGATTCCACCCCAAACTAGATGCGGAGCTTATTAAGGAAGACGGGATCCAGGCCTACCTCATATACCCGAAGCGGACTTTTGCCAAGGGAGCAGGTGATGTCGGCTCCCAGCACAGTGGCAGGAGATCCAGACCACCGTCGGCAGGCTTGTACCAACGCTGCAAGATCAATCACGCTGGACAGACATGCCGTACGGGGCGCTAGATAGAACGGATGACAGGCTCATATGATGAGCGGAACCCATGGAAAGAACCTCTTCAAATACGACCCAGCTCGTAAGCTCGGGGGAGGCCAGACGCAGCATTTAGCTATGCTATGGGCTGAAAATGAAAAGGAGGCGTACCATCACGACCAATGGTGAGCGTTAGGCGGGTCATTTTTAATCACTATGGGCTTTGAGATCGCGAGTACTTCGCGGATAATATCTACACTAGTTGCAAGGTAGCGATTATAACTTGTTCTTTTCAGTCATTATTCATTTAATGGACTTCCATGTATGTTGTAGGTAATTCTTAGTGGTGAGACAACAGTCATCAAAATTCTTCGGAAATACCAGATACTTTTTGCAGAGATATCAGGTCACCTGACAAAAAGACACAAATATACAAGAACAAGAATCAGATAGTAAAGTGTGATCTTGATACATCCCTTGATATGAACCTTCCCCTTAAAGATTATATAAGAAGGAAACACCCAGCCAGTGGTATTAACACATTTAATTATTGTAACCCATTCCTAATTGCCTGGCTGAATGAGATGAGGCTTCTCAGGCATATTAGCTCTTATTACTACCTTAGTAGTTGCAATTAAGCCTATCGCGAAGCCTGTCTCATTAAAGTTGTAGATATCTTCATGGGAGATGCTATATTATATTTGGATCTGCTGTAGGCAGTTAAACCACCCCTTGATAATCTTTGGATCCTTATATTGAGCTTGGATATAGTTATAGTATTAAGAATATTAAGTTTTAATCTCCTCACGCTACTTAGTAAAGGTAGATACCCAGTTCTTGCTAATAGGTTTGAATGCTGAGGGATTATCTGCTTAAAGAAGAATATTAGCTATTCCTTATACATGAGGAGGCACTCCATGTAAATCACTAGATAGTATCTATTCTACTAATGATTCATCCTGCGTAGGAGATAGCCTAGGGCCATTAGCGCGTTTCTTAGTTGGATATTGGTATCTATTAAGTTGGTCGCGAAGGGTAGACCTAGGCATGTTGAATATCTCTGCAGCGCGGTAGATATTTGAAATTTCCTCTTTTTTCAAAGCAGATATTGCTAATAAAATCCTTCCCCCTTGATCTACTAAATTTCCAGAGGTTTGATGCGATTTTAGTGGTATAGTAGCTATTTGGATAGCTTTGAATTGAACGCGTTGGAATCGAATGGGAAAGTGGCGGCTTGGTCAGGTTGGCGGCTGAGTTGGGATTTATGTTAAAGAATCATTTATTGCATTCCTCTGATTATCCATATATTATAGAAAGGGAAAGGCACAATTTCTAGGACTCAATGCAAGCAATCCTCAGCTAGTTGCCTGTATTATATTTAGCTAAGCCACAGAGAAAAGCGGATGAATGTTATCAGTATTTGGACCCCTAAATACATTTTGACCAGATACTGTCCCATTAAACCCCATATTTCCGTTTTACCTTAATCAAAAATGCTGCTGAGCATTTCCTATTGGACACAATGGTTAGGTCTGATGGTTTCCGAGCCAGCATTAAAGAACTCTATGAATGGTCCCAGAGTATATATCATAACTAGTAATAATGTTGAGGAGATGCAGTGTAGGCTTTCTATTAATAGTTAGGTCTACACTAAAGACTATGTTAAATTGTTAATAGACTTATATCACAGCTTAGACGCTGGTGAAATGATTATAGTAAAGTGTTCATACTGCTAACTTGCTAAGAGCTAATAGTAGTCCAGTAAGAATAATGTGCTTCCTCTTGCGACTTTGATGACTACAATGTGACTCAGGCTCCCTAGTAAAGGCCCTCGTGCAAGGTCCCCTCAAACCACTTTCTTCGCTAGAATTGGTTGTTTGGGTCGGTGGGAAGAGGGGTTGTGCGTCGAGGATTAGCACTCACTGACTTCAAACGGTAAGGATTTGCAAGTTAATACTTTAACTACCGACCATTTTCCCCATTTTAGTTTATTTATGCTTTGTCAGGCATCTCCCAATATCAAGACATGCGTGGGCGTGTCTTTCCGACCTTATGAAGCAGTTTCTGGTTCACTCACTCTCTACAAGAAGACTTCTCAGTCATGGCATACAGAAGCCTTGCAAGTTTACACTCGCATATAGTCCTAACCTCAAATCATCCATTTATATTATCATATTTAGTATAGACCAGCGCAAAAAGACCATCTATATAGTTAACTTATCATCTGCATGTCATCCTTTGTATAAATGCACTTACTTAAATGCGACTACTTATTAGGGCACCTCTTACCAATGATTAGCTTACTATACATCTGGATTCACCACACACACTCCCGCATCATTTACCTGCCATTCTTCTGATATGTCCCTAATACGCACACTCTGTCGGAAACGGCCGAACGCCGAGCCCAAAAGGCTCACGACAACGACGTCCCTACATGAACTCCGATTGCCAGACGCTGCTGCAGCGGCGAAGACCGCCCTCAAATCCAGCAGATGTATGTTCACATTCCACGGTGAATTGCTAGGCATGTCCCTTCTGGTACTACTCATTCTGACTATTCATTTCCGCAGCGTTGCTCAGGATATATTAATCTGCGCCCCCCTTAGGATGGTGGGCTGATCCGAACAGTGAGCCTCGATCCACATCCATTTTTATTATGTTTCTGAAAGTTTCCAGATTTTCCGTGGGGTTGCGTGCATTGTGGTGGTGCCTTGTGTTGCTTAATGCTTGTGGCACCGGGGCAAAGGCCACCGCATATCCATATACCGTCTATCGCGGTACGTTTGTTCATTTCCCCCGGCTTAATTCGAGTTTGTCGAAGCCGGAACTGGCCCGAAAACAAGGTGTTCTCTGGGTCTCTTCTGGAGATGGCCGTATCAAGGGCTATGATTGGCAAGTTCGCGACGATTCCAGCTTCCAGTCGTTCCTATCTCGCCATGGATGGACTGACGCCGATGTCACAACTAATGACAATGCCGGTCCATCCGCCAAAGTCAAAGTTGTGGAGTCAGTCGATGAACGAAACGAGTTTTTCTTTCCCGGATTCATCGGTATGTCCTATCTACTTCGTTGCCCATTTACTAGTACTGACCCAATAGACACCCACATCCATGCGCCGCAGTTCCCCAACACTGGGCTGTTTGGATCGGCAGGCCTCCTGGACTGGCTGAATGAATACACCTTCCCGCTAGAAGCTAGCTTTGGCTCCAAGTCAGACCCAAACAACCAAGAGACTGATCCCAAAGACACGCCCCCCGAGGGCCTGCGCGTTTATGATCAAGTCGTCGCTCGTACTCTTGCCCATGGCACAACATGCGCATCTTACTTCGCGACCATCCACGTCCCGGCCACCAACGCCCTGGCTGCACTCTGCCACTCCCGCGGCCAACGCGCCTTCATCGGCCGCGTCTGCATGGACAACCGCGATCAATCCCCGCCATATTATGTAGACCAGTCCGCCGACGAGGGCTTGAACGCAACAAAGTCGACAATTGATTACATCCGGGCCCTTGACCCGAAAGGAGCATTGATCAACCCGATAATCACTCCCAGATTCGCCCCAAGCTGCTCAATCCACTCCCTCACTGGCCTAGGTAAACTGGCCGCATCTTACAACCCGCCGCTCCGCATCCAAACACATATCTCCGAGACCACCGAGGAGATCGACCTCGTCCACCAACTGTTCCCGGAGGCAACCAGCTACGCCGACGTCTATGACAAGGCTCACCTGCTTACCTCCCGCACCATCCTCGCGCACGGGGTGCACCTTACCCACAACGAGCGCACTCTCATCCGCGAGCGTGGCTCCAAGGTATCACACTGCCCAGCGTCAAACTCCGCCCTCGGCTCTGGACTTGCTCCTATCCGCATCATGCTCGATGAAGGCCTCACGGTTGGTCTGGGCACAGATGTGAGTGGCGGGTACAGCCCGAGCATCCTTGAAGCGGCCCGGCAGGCTTGCCTGGTGTCTAGATTGCTAGGATATAGCACCGACTTCCAAGAGATGACAGGTAACTCAACGTCGACTGGGCATGAGAAGCTTTCGGTCGAGGAGAGTCTTTATCTAGCCACGCGCGGCGGCGCAGCAGTCGTCGACATGGCGGATGACATTGGCGGGTTCGATAAGGGGATGATTTGGGATGCGCAGCTGATTGAGCTGGGTGCTGTGAATAATAACACTGTGAGCCCGTCTGATGTGGCAGGTGTGCATGGCTTCGCTGGTCGGATCCTTGTCAAGTCTGGCCCTGTGGGCAACGTTAATTTGTTCGGAAATGAGACTTGGCAGGAGCAGATTCAGAAGTGGATGTGGAGTGGTGACGATCGGAATGTGAAGAATGTGTGGGTTCAGGGAAAGCTGGTGCATACCAGAAACTAAACGATTAGTGGGCTTGCGTTGGATGCGTATATTGCCTTGATGCTAAGAAGTCGCTTCCTCCATATTGTTGGGATTTTCTTGGATATGGTCAACTTGAGCTGCTCACAAATGCAGTAGGCTTAGGAATCATGCACAACTCCACTTCGTATACTGGAATACTGACCCTGAAGAGAAGCCAGAGTCTAGTGCTTAAAGTTCTTCGCAACATCATGTCACAGCGGCCAGGCCGGATTCTTGGCTGGTCAAAGCCGGTTTCTCTGTGATTGAACAAGGTATACGTTATGGCGTCTATTACAAGCTAGTAGTCGCGGCACTGTGGTCTTCGGGGTTGGATTATAAGGTTGATTAAACACCGCATTTGAGATTGGCTTAGCATTAGAATCCTGCAATAGACCAGCAGAGTAGAAGTTGCTAAGAATCTCCCAGAAGGGCCGTTTCCATACACTTGTGCTGTTCGAAAGTGGCTAAACGTGGGTATATTTAAACCGCAACTCAAGTGCAAACGGATCACTACCCTTGGTGGTTATCTAATTGCTTGATTCCTCCATCATACTGGCGTCAGTCATGGTATATGTGACACTGGAGCCAGTTTGTTTGGAAATTTCGGATGTTACCTATGTTTGTACGCTTGGCAATGAGGGGTAAGGGCTGCTCATTTGGTTCATATCGACATTCATGTGTAGGTTTTCCCAGACAAGATGCAGAGGTGCGTCTATCATGATGATGTTGGTCATGATAAGAGTATCCTCTTTCGGAAGATCAGTGGACATTCGCTGAAGCTCACCCGGCCTGGGCACAAGGAGTGAGAGCCGAAATTCGGCAGGATATTAGCGTCTTCCAACCGTGACCTTGACAGCTATAAGGATAATGTTTCCAAAGTATAAATACCTATGTTGCTGTCTGTATCAATGTTGAACCAACATGCACGCTTAGTAATATCCAAAAGTCCTTGATACAAAATATCTTCGGACGTAAATGGCATGGGCAACATATCAAAAATTCTCCAGCGTCCGGGCAGTAAACCTGAATCCAACTGGACCTGTTGGATCCAACCCCATGGAATAGGGTATTGATGACGGCTACCCTGGATGGACTGCCCGGTACTTTTTTTCGTAATGGTGGACCAAGAGGCTATGGAATCGGTCTTGAGGGCCCCGGATGATGATTATGACGCGGGATTCGTTCGTATGGTCCATGTTGAATGGCAGACTGAGGTGTTTGATGAAAAAGACGTCAATGACAGCCATCTACCTGAGTCAGAAGAGCCCCTGGAGCCCCTGGAGAGATGTAATGAGATTGACGTGAGTTGGACGAAAACGTGCTGGGTTTATGTACAGCTGCCGGCATTTCGCAAGATGAGTGACAAGCTCGGGCGCAAGTGGGCATGGGAAGGAGATTGAAATTAACTTTCATTGTCAGAACATTTCTGTCCCTCCAGTTATCTATAATATCTCCACCTAATGTATGTAATCCCAGCTATTAAACTAACGTATCGATCTCTCATACGGGAATAGCCTGAAATGGCGAATCTCAATTGCTTTGATACCCGGAGTTTTCAAGACATGACCCTGGGTCTCTCCCCTGTTTTCTGCCTTTTTAATGGCAGGAACTGATCCAATCTGCCACTATTAACAGCGCGTCTATACATCATCCAAAGATAACCTAATTCCTCCTTAAACCAGCCATCATAGTTAGGGCTTAGCGCAGGTCGCTCCTCAACAGTCTTAACATACAGGCCCTCACCAAACTCATTCTTAATATCATCATCTATAACCCTAAGAACCTCCTTATTAATCCAGAGACAGATATTAGTTAAAATAGGGGCTGGTCCTAGCTTAGTTAAGGGGTTATCTAATATCACTCCCTGTTCTCTAGTGAGCTGCTGTGTGTGCTATATGCACCACTCATTGAATTTCTCTTAAACCTGAGGGGCGGAGAGATCACAGTACTAAGCTAGATTATCTAGTAGGCTGAGTCTGAGCCTATTCTTAAGGTTATCTACTATAGTAGGGTCTGGCAGGGGGAGTCCTAAAGATGAGAACCCCTTATTTTAGATGTGGATGCGGTCTTACTAGGAGAGTTTCATCCATAATTAGGGATATCAGAGTTTATACTTAATAGTGGAGTAGATATTATCTTTAATCTTTTATAAAGTGCGCTGCCATGCCAGTTTAAGGGCGGGGTCGTAGTTAGTGCGAATGACTAGGTAGCCCCAGGTCATGGTTCTGGAATCAAGGTAGTTGCAGCAGAACTTGACAGAAGGGCAGTTCTAATTATCTATGCTAACCAGTGTACAGAGTATTAATTATTATATAATGTATCTGATGATTATAGATACTTTTCTCTTGTTTCTATCATGATCCTTATCTAGTGGGGGGTAAATCTGATGGTTAATGAAATACATAAAAATGAGACCAGTTTTTGACCCAGTAAGGTAACTTAAACCTTACTAAGGTCTTAACTTTACCCTATATATCCCAAGACCTTGTCGAACTTTTCCGAGAACTTGCTGAACTCCACCCACTGTTTATACCCCTTTGAATCAGTGAAAAGTGCCAAGCCTTCTTAGATACCTCATACGGTCCCTTACCTAGGTAGCTACCTTAGCAAGTGGTCTGTATGGTAAGCACCTTGCCTTACTCAGTATACATACGTAAATAATACGGAGATAGATTACTGCTATGCCTAAATAGGCCGATCCAACATACGGCTCACTGCCTGATCAGCTATATCACCCATTCAATGAGCGGGGTGCTCACGAATCTATTCAAGTATCGGAACTATATGCGAAGATCATGACCATACTATCCTTTAGTATCACGATAGCCAGATACCTGATAGTTTAGGAAGAGCCAGGCCTTCGCTTGGTTTCGTGTTTGCATACAAATTATTGGCGATTTCGAAATTCAGAACTGTACCGTCTGTACTGTGTAGTTTGACAACTAATCAAGTAGGTTTCTCACCCCGACAAACTTCCGTGCGGCAGTCAACCATGACGATGGGATCATAGTCTTGAATAATCATACTATCTAGAAGGAAAGAAGCTATCTTCATGATGAGAGAGAGGTGAGGTGCGCTGTGCATCGCGCTAACCCGACATGGTAGCAGAGATGAACGAACCGCATCTTCAGAATATAATTGAATCTTCGTGTCCTAGTAAAAGTCTGGCAGATATTATCATACTGATGACATATTATTTATGACAGAGTCCGGGATCCGTGCTTTAGTAGACAGGTACCATAACATTTCACTACTAATCAAGGATAAGTAATAATATGTCCATGGTCCAATAGGCATTGCTTTCTCAGCTGGTCCACTTGGGAGGTGCCTGGCCTGATTGTTATCAGCTAATGGTGATTGCTTTCAGCCGGCACATGCTACCCCAAGCTTAACCGAAGCTTTGCCAAGTTATCTATCTTGGATTCGAACTCGCTAAGTCACTAGTACTTCCCTGTTAGTCTTGGCCAATTGCTGATCTCGGCATTTGCACGTGTGACACGCTTGTTGACAACGGTCTTCCGTCGGAGATTGCGTCTCCAATAGATAAGCAGCTGGACTGATTTAAATCAGTCCATCGCTTCGATGGATTAGAATTCTGTCAATCGATCAACGCTCTTTACTGAGGCACCAAAATGAAGACAACCACCGCTTCGGCTCTGCTCGTCGCCCTTACTGCGACGGCCGCTCAGGCCCGTCCCGTGGTGGACGAGAGCTATCCGTACACCGGTCCCGCTGTTCCCGTCGGCGATTGGGTTGATCCAACCATTAATGGCAATGGAAAGGGATTCCCCCGTCTAGTGGAACCTCCCGCCGTGAAGCCTGCGTCTGCGAACCCCAAGAACAATGTCAATGTGATTTCGCTGTCGTATTTGCCCGATGGTATGCACATTCACTACCAGACCCCGTTTGGATTGGGTGTGACGCCTTCCGTGAAATGGGGCAAGCATCCCAAGCATCTCGACCGAGTCGCTCATGGGTATACCCACACGTATGTTCTTGCCACCGAATTTGGAATCTGAGGCTCACTTCCATAGGTATGACCGTACGCCACCGTGCTCCGAAATCAAAGCCGTCACTCAGTGCAGCCAGTTCTTCCACGAGGTCAGCCTGGACAAGCTCGAATCTGGAACAACGTACTACTACCAGATTCCTGCCGCCAACGGCACCACTCAGTCGGAAGTTTTGAGCTTCAAGACTGCTCAGCGCGCCGGAGATCGTCGCCCTTTCAGCGTGGCTGTCCTCAATGACATGGGGTACACGAATGCAGGCGGCTCCTTCAAACAGCTCGTCAAGGCCGCCAACGAGGGTACCGCCTTTGCCTGGCACGGCGGTGACATCAGGTAATATCTCCTTCGATCTATTTGTCAACAGTGACTAAAAAGTTCAAAACTAGCTACGCCGATGATTGGTATTCAGGTATTCTGCCTTGTGAAGATGACTGGCCCCTCTGCTACAATGGCACTAGCACGGAGCTGCCAGGCGGTGGCCCCGTCCCGGACGAGTACAAAAAGCCTCTGCCGGCAGGTGAAATCCCGAACCAGGGTGGTCCCCAGGGAGGCGATATGAGTGTGCTTTACGAGTCCAACTGGGATCTGTGGCAGCAGTGGCTGGGAAATGTCACGCTCAAGATGCCCTACATGGTCTTGCCCGGTAACCACGAGGCTGCGTGCGCCGAGTTCGATGGCCCTGGCAACGCGTTGACCGCATATCTGAACAACGGCGTCTCCAACGGCACTGCTCCTAAGGCCAACTTGACCTACTACACATGCCCTCCATCCCAACGGTAAGATCTATCCCCCGCTGTCCCCAGCACCAGCTAACCCAGACAGTAACTTCACCGCGTACCAGCACCGCTTCCGCATGCCTGGCCCCGAAACCGGCGGCGTCGGCAACTTCTGGTACTCGTTCGACTACGGCCTCGCTCACTTTATCTCCATGGATGGCGAGACCGACTTCGCCAACAGCCCCGAGGTGCCGTTCCAGTCGGATATCAAGGGCAACGAGACCCACCCCAAGGCCTCAGAGACGTACATCACCAACAGCGGCCCCTTTGGCGCCGTCGACGGCAGCTTCAAGGATACCAAGTCCTACGCGCAGTACAAGTGGCTGAAGAACGATCTCGCCAACATCGATCGCAAGAAGACCCCCTGGGTGTTTGTCATGAGCCACCGGCCCATGTACAGCTCCGCGTACTCGAGCTACCAGAAGAATCTCCGTGCTGCCTTTGAGCGATTGTTCCTGCAGTATGGTGTTGATGCTTATCTGTCTGGGTATGTCACATCTTTCTGTCATCGTCAACGCAAATACTAACTGATGCAGACACATCCACTGGTACGAGCGCATGTACCCCCTCGGCGCCAACGGAACCATCGATTCGGCGTCGATCATCAATAACCACACCTACCGCACCAACCCGGGCAAATCCATCACCCACATCGTCAACGGAATGGCTGGCAACATTGAGAGCCACAGCGAGTTCAGTAAGGGCCAGGGCCTCCAGAACATTACTGCCTTGCTGGACACCACGCACTTTGGTATCAGTAAGCTTACTGTGCTGAGTGAGAAGGAGATCAAGTGGGAGTTTATTCGCGGCGATGATGGGTCTGTTGGCGATCATTTGACCCTGCGTAAGGAGAAGAAACAATGTAAGGGCAATTAGGTGCTGGTTGAGGAGTATAAGCCGCGGGGGCTGTGTATAATTTAGTGACCTCTGTATGTAGCTTGATTTGCAAAAGTATATAATCATTAGTGAAGGTACATACAATTCTAGCTAGGCAAGTGTGTTGTTTTCCTAATTAGAGAAAAAAGAGCTATTCGTCCTTCCGCAAGCGGCCGCGAAGCTTTCCAATCTTCCTATACCGTTGATTTTGTAATGTACCTATAGGCCTGGGAGTCTTATATCTCATTCTTCTGCTGTGCGTCTGCTATCAAACTTTGATATACAACTCTTACATACAGAATGGAGAGTGAAAAATATCCTTCCCCTGCGTCCCAAGTGGCGCCGACTAAGCATACTCAGGATTCGCTTCCCGCCGGCGAAGAGGAACCTTAGTACGTATCAGTTAAACCATCGCACTTCTTGTCGCCATAAATTCACCCTTATCCTACTGATTTTTACTTACCTAGTGCTAGTGAAGCTTCAACGTCGGATAATAATCTCCAGGAGTAGTCGCATTTACAGTCCCATTCCAACAGTACTCCCTGAAACAACTGGCGCAAATCTCCGGCACGGTTGTATCTGTTCGTTCAAAGCTCCGACTTAATATAGCGCAAGCAAGGCAAGACGGCCAGATAGAGTCCACAGTCCCATTTCCGAACGTTGCCATATCGTACCCATTCTCAATGATAGCGTTGCGTTCACTGGTATTGTATTGAAGATCGAATGTGGAGACATTCGACGGGTATATATACGGGGCGTTAGGAATATAAACGACAAGAGGGCGCCGGTGACGTTGGAACTGTTGCAGCCAAAGAATGTCGGGCGGTTGTTCAACCCAAGGTTGACGAATGTGTTTTGATCAGGGACAGAGGGGAAAGGGAGACCACCGTTCGAGCCTGAAGAGCGTACGTTTCGCTCATATGTGGCTACCATGGATGTTCCATTGGGCCACCTTGTAGTCGTGTCTGCTGACGAGTCGAGAGCCAAAATCACGTCAACGTGCCGTTGGGGCTGAAGAAGGGGATCTAGCGGGATGTTCTGGAGGTCTTCTCCGCCGTCGACCAACGTTAACGAGGGAGAGGTTGTATATTTGGACTGGGTCGCATAGCGATAGAAGGGGTTGGGTTTGTAGACGGCGATATCATTGTTCTCGGACCCGATTCTCCCCAGAATTGCACTGATTGAGTTCTTCACGGCTGGAGGCGCGTCGGTATCGTTTATGTGCAGGAATGCTTGGTTGAATAGGGATGACGACGTGCCCATGATGAACCCAGCGTTATCGAACCCTCGAACGCACTTTTCACCTGTCGCTAGGGTCCCTTTTGAGAAATTCGATCCCAGGAATTCTAGGGAAACGAAGGCGGACAGAGATTCGTCCCAGCTCCCAAATTCCCAAGGGTTAAACTCGAAGACCGTAGTGTTCGCGGGTACTAGGATCTCGCCCGGAGCTCGACCATCAGCGATGACCAAGGGCATAGGCATCGTCCCAGCCTGGAAATCCTTGCTCAGAGCAATCGATGACCAGGTATAGCTAACACCACCTTCAGGCGCGTTTATGAGTTGGTAAGAGAGAGAACGTCCCCTGATATACAATAGTGAGCGTTGCTTTTTTCATCAGAGCGCAAGGCAACACAAGGATACCAGTAATCCGTAATAGACACCTCATACCCGGCATCCGATTTCCCATCCACTGCACCCAACAACTGTGAATAATACTTCCCCGTGGTGATATCCCATGTGGTGCTTTGAGTCGGACCACTGAAGATAGAATCCTGAAACTGCCACACAGAACCCTTATCTCGTAGAGAAGATACATCCGAGAAATTGTTCATATATATCGACCCAACCAACCAACTCCCCCCACTGAGTCCCGAAATATAGGTAGCCGACTGTAGGATACCTCCCAATTGACCTTTGAGAGTCGAGTTCGTGGTCCGATTATCAAATGCCTGCAGTGCACCTCCGCCATTCATCAAGGCTCGGTAGCCACCGCCAGACACTGCAATTCCAATATTGGGCAAGGCGGACGTGTTACCCGAATGGTTATCAATATAGTCAGATCCATTGAAAGAACCGAAGTTGACTCGGCTGAGAAGCGCTTTCAGAGCGTCTCTGGTATTGTTTCTTCGCACTTTCAGCCAGGACGTCTCGGCGCTCGATAGGATAGTGGCATTTCGGATAGATGGCCGATTCGAAGGGCAGGTCTCGCCTTCAGGGGTGTATCCGTTGGGTGCATTAGGCAATGCCCGCTTAACAGGAGTGGTGGCTACTGAAGCTCCTTTGGCAAGGGCTGAAAAGATCGGTTCTCTTAGCACATATACCGCCGTAAACGAAAGCTACTTACATTGAGGCCATAGTAAAACTATGAGTAAGGATAGATAAAGCAGGGTAATACTGGGCAATTTAGCACAGTACTTGTACATCTTGATGACGAAGAATAGGTAAACTAAATAAATGAATTCTGTGCAAATTGTAATATACTAGAGTATTAAATTTGCATTTAGTGTTGGAAGGCGTTCATGATGTATACCTAGCCTCGAGCTAGGCGTTGGCTGTTGAAGATTTCTCCACAATATGCTTCTGATAAATGGGATGATCATGGTGAGTTAATATAATATCATTAGGTTCAAAAGCTTAATATTTATATTTAGATCATCTAGATTTGCACCTTTGACGGCATGACTGGAAGCGTCCATTGGTGACATAAGTTTAATTTGGGGTTAAGGTGTGCCATGGTTCATTAAACCTACGAGTCGCCAACCACAAAAATAGTAGCTCATAATGACAGCATACCATAACCACTGGTATGACAGTCACTTTCTATGAAATCATGTATGGTAACCAGACATTCAATGTAGACGAATTCGGAAAGAGTCCACAACCAAGTGATCCCTCGGTGAGACTAACTCAGCACTGTCCTGACAAAGAACCCGTCACATACACTATGTTTCCCCGAAAACAAAACGAGTCGAAGCGAAGAGACATTATAGAGGGACTTGGACCCTAGTTGAAAGGAGTATGAGCTGCAGGAGGGATGTATACTTTGAGCAGCTTGCGTACGTAATTGACTTTGTAAAGCGTGGAATTAACCGCGAAAGACAATATCTATTTCCTTACACTACTATGTTGTATAAATCCTTTATTACTCTTCATGCCTCATATCATTAATCATATCATGGTATCTTGTCTATACTCTATACAATCATTAAACATCGTAATGCTGTTTTGTCTCCGGGTAGACGGTAGCACCGGCTGATCGACTCTTGCTCCTCAGCCAGGGGCCGTACACCATGAAGGCGATTGGAATAGGTACCATTACTGCGGCAATGCATCCCAGCATCGTCCCAGCCCATTGTACGCCAAGATTCTCCATCATCTGTCGAGAGAACAGGGGAAATGCGCATCCCACTGCGGATCGGAGGATGGTGTTTGCTGCGATGGTGGAGGCGGCCCTGCAACCGTTAGTAAGGAGATACATATAGTGAAGGAGCAGACTTACAAAGTAGGATAGCAGTCGACGATGTAGTTGAAGCATTGTAGAAAGATGCAGAAGATGCCGAAGCCAGTCAGAATGCCAGAGCAAATAGGCACCATCCAGTGAATAGACGAGGTGTAGCCAGTCCAGCCGAACCTGCAGCAGTCAATAAGAGTCCTTCATAGGGAGTACAGCAGGTAAATCCATACCAAAACATGCCCGCAGCAAAGGTGACTCCTCCCACGATAGCTGGAGGGAGACGCCACTCAGGCACAGGAACGTCTCCATTCGCAGCCAGCTTCTTGATGTACGAGCCTTGAAGAAACAGGATGAACACGCCACCCAGTAATTCTCCAACGATCAAGCCGACGAACGCCAGTCCCCCTTCACCCATATTCATCCCGTACACCCCCTGGAAGACGACGGGGTATGCACCAAGCAGGGCATAGATGAGCCCGTAGATAAACGAGATATACAGCGAGATAAGCAGCAGAATCGGCTCTGTGAACAGCATCTTCAACGGCCGCGTGAAATTATTCCGCACCAGCTCATGGAAATCAACCTCGACCTCATCCTGCTTGGCATGGATCCCCCAGTTATGCGTCTGCCGACGCAGCGTCGCCGCCTTGCGCACCAGAATAACCGGCGCATACGTCTCATCCAGGAACAGCAGAACGAGCACGAATCCCACAAACACCATTATCGCAGAGATGTACATCGTCCACCGCCAACCGAGCGCACTCATCGTGATGAAGCCGCCGACAAACGGCGCCGCGAACGGACCGATGAACACCGCCATGCAGAAGATGGACATGACGATCCCGCGCTGTGCATTGTTGAACAGGTCCGCGAAGACAGCAGGCACAACTGCAATCGGACTCGCAGCAAACAAGCCCGCGAAGAACCGGCAGATCATGACAGTCTGAAAGTCCTTCCCCGTTGCGCAGCCCACAGTGAAAATCCCGCATCCCAGGAGGCCCAGTGACAGCGGCCAGCGCCGTCCGATGAGCTCCGAGGCGGGGCCCAGATGGTCGGACCGGCGGCGAAGCCGAGCACGTACAGCGTGACGCCGAGCGAGCCGACTTCCTGGCTGACGTGGAATTCCTTGCTGGCAGAGGCAATAGCTGCGGAGAAGACGGCGCTGGCGAATGAGCCGGCGAAGGTGCCGTAGCAGAGAATGCAGACCAGGAAGATTCTGTCGAGCCGCATTAGCTTCTTCGTATGGCAGATATGTACGAGCAATGCTACCTTCGGGTCATGGACCAGTTGTACGGGTGGAGGGGATCCTCCGCTCCATCGAATTCAACAACGTATGTTTCCGGATCGGGAAGTAGGGGAGGGTATTCCTTGCCGGCCCCCATGGGTAGCCATGCATCGCGGGGTGCAGGGCCGCGTGTGGAGCCCACGGTGGTCTTTTGCTGGAGTCGGTAGGTGTTGATGCGGGTGAGTTCGAGGGGTTCGAGATGGTCTACCGTTTCGTCGGAGAGGCAGTCGCTGGCGCTGTCGAGGGGGTGGCTGCCATGGTGGTCATCATGGAAAGTTTTGGGTGAATGCGAATCCAGAGTGGAAGTCTCTGGGTGGTCCATTCTCTGGTCAGAGAGCTGCTGCTTTGCTTTGGGGTCTACGGTTCTACAGCTCTATGGACTTGTCTCTAAGTATATAACAGCATCCTCCCACGTTCAGGCCGCGGTGGATCAGACAATTTTTTCATGGTTGGGTGTCAGTTGCCATTGATGGCTGCCAGATGGAGCTCATAGTGATGTAGGAGATCCATACTTTTCCGAAGTGTTATATAACATTTATAGAAGCTGGCCAGAACGCAGGCACACCCGCCAGCATCAGCCACAAGCGGCTTCCCGATGTCAAGCATTGTCCAATGGCTTTTCACCAGTCTGCCAGGCACAGTCGATAAAGAATCGGCTATGTCCGGCACTGTGGCTGGTGAATCGTCCTGAAATGGTGAAAATTTTGCATCCGAGGCACGTGAGCGAGGATAGCCGCGTCTGTCCGACTCTGGCCGACAGTATCCGTTATCAGTTCAGGGCAGACCATCCGAATACTGTTCAAGATATTTCCTTGGAATATCCCGATAATAAGATCAGAACCAGCCGGTATGGCCATGATCGATGCCGGGAATCCGGTTGGTGTATGCAGGCAAGGATTTTGCTGAGGTCTGGTGATCCATGGCGGCAGGGTTTCCCACTGTCCAACTCTTGTCATGCATGACATATTATGGATGGATATTCACCTGCTAGGAGTGTCGATGATGGCCATTGCTCAGTATCTATAAATGAAGGGCATTGAAGTGGACGGATATGATAAATACTTCTCCGGGGAATACTTATATAATGCCGCCAGTTCGTCTGTATCTTCTCCCTCTTTACACCATCCTCAATAAGCCAACGTCATCTCGACAAGGAAAAATAGCTACGGAGTAGTAAAGCTCTACAGGCGCGTACTGATAGACTGACGCACCAGAGCATTCAGGAACCTTGATTAAGCCAACTACAGTGACTGTCAAGTGGCCTAACTGATGTTGGATTCGAGTGGTGAATCTACATGACACATGGCATGTGAAGGGACCCTCATTCTCTTCTTACTGCGAGCCTCGTACTGCTATAATTGTTCTAGTTATAGTGGACATGGATACATTGACTCAGGGGCTGCCCGAAGGTCATCCACAAGTATAACTGTCCTGACGAAGGGGTAACATAGGTTAAGGAGCGGCCTCATTCAGCCGACTGGTCTACCTCTGGAGAATTGAGCATATTTAGATACTGTGTTGGGAGACTTAACTGCTTTGATGCTCTGGATTCTTAGTAGCCCTGCCTGCTCCCAGCAAATATCAAATCATTGTCCATGAGACAAATGCTTTAATTCCTTTATATTTTCTGTAAAGGTTGCACACGGGCCAGACGAAGATTTAACGTCATAATGTTACTCCGAGTAATATGTTAATGTTCAAATCCCGACACGTCACGTCATAATATATTCCTGCATGAAATAACGTCCACAGCCACGGACGATACCTCTTCAGTACCCTGGTGTACGGCATCTTCTCATTTGCTAATACCCCCGGCAGCAGGAACCCTCACCTTGCACAAATTCAAGGCATCTACCAGGGAAGACGATAGCATAAGCCCGATTCCGCTCAAGTGCTCCAGCGCGCCCAGAAATACGGCTGCCGCAAATTATCCCCACTACGATGACATTAGCCGGGCGCACGAGAAGCTTAAAACAGTCAAGCAATATCCCAACATCTGCACAATGACCCTCGGAGAGCATTTGTACCATGCTGCCGAAATCCACCTCGCAGACGACAAGACATACCTTCAACCCCTGCGCGCCTTCGCAACGAGCTGCTGGGTTAATCCACCTCGCCGCTAGTTGCCTTCGGCGACATCGGGCTAGACTATGCGTATGTGGGGCGTTCCGATAAGGAGAAGCACCACGCACGTTCAGGGAGAACCTTGATATTGCTGTTGGGATGCAGCTGAAGCTCTTCCTCTTCCTGCACGTGTGGAGCTCCTGTGTGGACTTTTGTGGAGATCGACAAGCCGTACCGCTTGAGACTGTCGCGGGTGGGCTCGTGTAATCAGTCGCGTAGACCACAGGCGAGATGATGCAGCTTGGGGCGCTGGATTCGGGATCAGTGTTAATGGTGTCTCCCGTCGGGCGGAGGAGCAGTTGGAGACGGTGAAGTATTCCGCTTGACGGATCCCCGTGGGAAGTTAATCAGGGGCAGTGTCATGATTCGAACTGAGAGCTGTACGATGGAGAGGGTGAATTTGTTTGTGACCGGTTCAAAGGGGTTTCTGTGGAGGAGGTGGTTGGAGCTGCGTAGAGAATTGTATACAGATGTTTAGATTAGGCACTCGAGGTGGAATAACGTGATAATGATTAGAAATATATTTGGGGCTCCATACAGTACGTATAGCTGAGAGTGCTGACCGTAGGCGTGAATCACATCGCCATCCTGCTCGAGTCGTATCCTCCTTTCTGGCAGGTCGGAATCCAACGAGAACCTTGACATGCCACTTGAAGCTGACAGCGTCAGATGCCCATTGTATCTGGCTAATCGCATACCGGAATGGGCAGCCCTAGGATCCCTTGGCTAACCTTCGCCTACAGATATACCTCCGTATACATCTGTAGGATCTTCCCCAGCAATATAACAATCCGGCGAGTCACTCACCATCAGCCTCACCTGCCCCTGACAGGAACAACAGCCTTGTCTCGATGGTTTCTACTCCAGGTTGACTATGACTTGCGCTTCCGTTAGAGACCGTGCATCGTCGGCCGACTTGATCTCCGCCGAAACATCGAACACGTTTCGATACGAGTGATTTGTTCGGCCGTGGGAGGAGATAGGATTGAGGTCATGGACTGATACTTGACACGGAGAGTCGCATTGATGGGAGCTCCCGTGCAGGTCGAGGCCACATCTGGGAGCGACGCGCTTTTACCAGACACTAGAGTACCTGTCGCGCTGTTGTCAAAGTATTCGGTCAATCCACAGTCTGCTCAGTTACCAATATATTGGAACGCCTGGGGAATGAAGTACCCACTTGAATCCCTGTACCCTGGTTCGGCCAGAAGCAGCGCAGGTGTTAGGCTGATACCTCCTGCGCCGATCATGCCAACATCCATTTCACACTCAGGGAGGGGTTTTCCTCACCGGACCAGATGTGGAATATTCACGATGGTGCTGTAGAATAGATTATGGTCAACTGGATCGCCTTCCGCGCAGTAGCCAGGAAGGGTACTCCGATGGTAACTGAATGGTTGATCTAGCATTGCAGAAGCCAATGCGCAGAAGAGCAAGAAGTCTAGTACATCTTGACCGATATTGTAAGCTGAGTTACTGTATGGTGTCAGTTGCAGTTAGCTGATTTGCAGTATCCGCGGAGTCAACGAATATCATCAGATGTCACGATAGACGGTCCAGAATAGACAAAAGACCAGCTAAGCACTGTTCACATTGATCAACTCATAATAAGGTAGCCTTAGGCTGCCTAGCGAGTCAACACCACTGGAAACCCCAGAGTCGTACCATGGATAGGAATACTCCACTGTGCGGGAGAGACCCAAAGTGCCACAGAACTCAAAGAAAGACATTGTAACCCTGTAGGTTGGGATTCGCAGGCCAAGACGGCTATGACATATTTCATTTACCACGGCTTATTTGCCGTGACATCCCTGGATGTATGAATCTTACTCTGTGGTGGACTGGACAGTGGGCCTGCTGTCGGGGACAAGTTGCCAAAGCACCATAGTCATGAATAGACCAGCGGCAAGTGTCAGTATCGGTACTCCGTATCATTCTGAAGGACCAGGAAGCTTATCGTTGATGATAAACAGTCAAGTTATCAGTGATGGTCAGACGACTGTGGATATAGATTATGGTACTGAACGGGAAAGGAGACCTTCCGGGAGCATGGCAGCATGAATCCCGAAGACAAGTTTACACCATCATCATACCATGAGGCGGACAGCCAATCAAACCCAGGCAAAATCAGAAGGATCAGAAGTACGAAGGCAGAGGCCAGCCCCAGATAAGTTCAGCCCAGCCCGGAACGGGAAAGGAACGCGACGGATCAGTGGGTCGAGACGCGGGTCGCCCGGATGCTCGTCGTAATTAATAATGATCAAAACCAGAGGAGATGAAGGAGTAAGTGCGTTTGTTGGTTCCGTTTTCTATGCAGGCTGCAAACGTACATATCTCGACCATGTCAATATTATCATCTCGTTTGACCCGACAGAACGGTTATGATGGCTCTAACCATGGATTCCCTACAATGTCCACGCCTATCACGCCCTAACAACAGGCTAGAGCCACAAAGACCAGTAGAAGGAAGAGGGTCTAACCTCGCTAGCGTCTGTTAGCAGCCGGCGATAAAGCTATTGTTTTCCCAATAGGGCAATCCTTCACTGCACTGGGTCCCGAGCCAACGCATACATGGCTTCTGACTGGCTAGAAACAAGGCCCGTGGCACTCCAGGAATCCACTATGGCTGCAATGTTTCCCGGAGTCTCCATCCCGGTTGCCCGTCTGCCGTGAAGAAAAGCACGGGCATCCTTCACAGTCTGCACCTGGGTCTTTTGGGGAGCCTGGAAAACCTTGGGACGAGGTTCCCACTCCTCATCATTGGAAGTTAATGCTCGGCTGTCTTCCTTGATGTTCAGTCTCCACTCGTTGCCTCCCTTCTACGGAGTACTCCGTGGGCAGAATGAGACACCCACAAGAAAGCTAGTACAACATGGGAACTCAAACTGAATTCACACGCACTGTGCACCCCCCCACCCCCAGGCCAGTCCGATGGGTCAGAGCACTGGGCACAGCCCGAGTGGAATGGCACTTCTCAACTTTTTTTTAAAACCTGTCGACGGCCAACCCGACCCGGCACCATGGTTCTGGTGAGCTGGAGTTCCCCTTCTGCATGAACCACAGCTGCAATTGACTTCCTGTCAACAATGGAACTGCTACGTTTCCTGCTTTCGCATCCCGTGGCTTCGGCTGTCGGTCTCGGGGCAATCTATCTGCTCTGGGTGGTCCTCGACCGGCTGTATCTGTCTCCCATTGCCCGTTTCCCCGGACCCAAACTCGCTGCGTTGACCCATCTGTACGAGTTTTACTGGGATACCATCTGCTGCGGACAGTTCACTTTTCAGATTGGCCGTCTTCATGAGAAGTACGGTAAGCGTAGGCCCCTGACCGTCAGCTGCGTTTTGAATCCACCCGATCTAGTTCGATACATCACTTCTTGGCATTTTATCCTTGTCGGCTTGACATTCTGACGGTCAGCTTGTACTAATGTACTAATGTCATACAGGCCCCATCGTTCGCATCAGCCCGACTGAACTGCACATCAATGACCCGGACTACTACGAAGTCCTCTACTCGCGCGACAGCCCTCGCAACAAATATGAATACTACCAAAAGACCCTCAACGCCCCCTGGCTCTCCTCAACACAATCGACCACCACCTGCACCGCCAGCTCCGCGCCCAGCTGAACCCCTTCTTCTCCAGCGCGCGCATCCGCCGCCAGGAACCCGCTATCAAGGCCCTCGTCGACAAGCTCTGCCGCCGCCTCGAGGAGCTCAAGAACACCGGCCAGCCGCTCAACATCGAGCACGCGCTCACCTGCTACACCACCGATGTCATCACCGACTACAGCATGGGCGATGGGTACCACTACCTCGACGCACCGGACTTCATCCCACAGTGGCACGGCACGCTGATCGGCACCGCCAAGACGATGGTGTTTATCCGTCCGGTGGCGTGGGCGCTGCCGCTGCTGCTTGCCTTGCCTGAGGGGATCACCGCGTGGCTGAACCCGGGGATGGAGCTATTTTTTGATTTCCAGCGTCGCTGTCGCAAGATGATTAAGCGGATTGTGGCGGCTCATAACGAGAAGGGCGACCAGGGTGTGCAGAATGGGGCCTTCGTGAATATCTTCGATGATATCCTCCGGAGCGATCTGCCCGCGAAGAACAAGAGTGAGACCCGGCTGGCGCAGGAGATGCAGGTGCTTGTTTCTGCGGGGGCGGAGACCACGGCCAAGGCGACTACCTATATTCTGTTCTATCTGCTGAATGACCCCGAGACGATGGCGAAGCTCAAGGCTGAACTGGAGACGGTGGGCGAGGATCCGGCGCTGATTCAATTGGAGCAGTTGCCTTACCTAGTGAGTCCATCTGGCAATATGCTAGCCAGGCTGATACTGATTACTGTCACAGACTGGTGTGATGTTAGAGGGAATTAGGTATGCACTGCGGAGTACACTGAATCGTCCAGAGTGTGTCTAAAATATCTAGACTCTCCTACGGCGTGTCTGCCCGTCTTCCGCGAATTGCCCCTACAACGCCCTCAAGTTCAGAGATTGGACCATTCCCCAGGAGTATGCATCTTGACCTCATTAATGACCAGTACTGACCGCCATAGACCCCCGTGAGCATGAGCTGCCTCCTAATGCACCACAACGAAAGCGTTTTCCCCGACTCGTACCGCTTCAAGCCCGAGCGCTGGCTCGACCCCGCCGAGCGCAAACGCCTGGAAAAGTACATGGTCGCTTTCTCCAAGGGTTCGCGCCAGTGTATCGGAATGCAGTACGTATGTTTCCCCTCTGTATATACATCTACTAACTGGAGCAGCCTCGCCAAAGCAGAAATCCTCTTGTCTGTGTCGACTCTCCTCCGCAGAATGGACCTGGAGCTGTACGAGACCACCATCGAAGACGTAGCAACCAAGCACGACATTTTCATTCCTTTCCCTCGGATGGATAGCAAGGGTGTGCGGGTGTTGATCAAGGGTTGATTTAAGTCCACATGCTGATAACCATTATCTGGCATTGTACCTACCACATTCATTTCATTTACGATAATCAGTAATGTCTTTTCAAATTTATCTACGAGTACAATTGCAATGAGATAGAGAGATGACTACCCAAACGTCTTCCCCTCCGCTAGAAACCTCCTCTCCTCTTCACTCGTCTCCCTCCCCAACGCCGCATTCCGATGCGGGAACCGCCCAAACCTCGCAATAGGGTCATAATGTTCCCTCTGCACGCGGAAATGCGTCTTCAACTGCTCCTCCAGCCTTGCCCGATTCTCCAAGAGAATACGCCGGCACTCCGCCTCGTCATCCGATAACCCCGTTGCATCCCCGTCAAGCAGGCTGGTGAAATCCTCCGCCATCTCCGCATACTTAACCCGCGCAAGGTCCTGCATGTCTAGATCCTCGGCGTGGATCAATGGCATGTAGAACCATACGCGCTGACCCTGGCGGTAGCGGAAGGGGCTCGAACTGCCACTGCCCGCTGGGTATCCTGCTTCGCCGGCTTTGACGGCGATAGTTCTTGCTAGTGGGTCGAAGAATTCAAAGCCGATGCGGGAGGATTCGCCGCGGTAGATGTTGCGGGGAGTTGGTCCAGGAGGATGATGAGGGCTAGCCAGTCTTGGGGGGTGGAGGGGTTAGTCCGAGAGAGGAGGTCCTCTGCGGTGAGATTGGCCTCGCGGATGGCGGCGAGGATGGACGAGAATTGGGAGCTGGAGGGTTAGCTGGATTATTACGTGATGAGGATGGGATGGACGTACGTGCAGGCGCTGTCGAACTCGTCGGATTTAAAGAACCATTTCATCCAGTCTTCTGGGGAGGGGAGGAGCAGGCGCTCGTTTGAGGGGATGTGCTGGAACCAGAAGGTGTAGATGCGGGGGAGAGGTGAGGGGACGAGGAGCTGGTCCAGGGTTGTGGTTTGTTGATTTGCCATTGTTGAAGATGCTCTTCGACACAGTGATGCGAATTGGCTACTTGCCTCTATATGGCTGGGATGCTGAATGCTGTGCCGGGTAGATATGGCGGTTGAGTGCGTGCGGCGCGCGACGAAGAGCTCCCAGGTTATATACCGAGGAACCCTCCTAATCAATAAGCTACGAGAGACAAGCAGCATATTTGGCATTTCCAATCTGCGTTAGTTCAATGACTTTATACGAGATCTCGGACGCGAAATGTCGCGAGGCCGAATCCTGACTAATTGATACGATGTTTGAGGTTCTAGACGCATGCTGATTGGCTGACCAATTATTAGAAACAATTTGACATGTGGGTACAGTGGGTTCATACGAGCTAATGCAGATTATGCAGCATAGATTATTGCTGTAAATGGATGCGTAGAATGCCACTTATCCAGTACCATGGACCCGGTAGCCCTAGATATATCTTCGTCGATCTCGAGTCCGGTCGCGAGGTGGTGTATAATGAGCCCGGGGAGTGTTCGCCACGTGGGTTTATGGACTGCTTCATCGCCGTCACGGAACGCATCAAGGAGATGATCAAGGTGAAAGGGAATGATTGGTGTGCCGGTCTGCCGGATTGTATTCGCGATAGAGACTCTAGGCGTATTGATGGTTTGGCGGGAGATCCCAGGTCCAGATGGGTGGGTGGAGCTTTGGAGCTTGGTAGCCGGCTGATAGACTCGGGCAGGGGGAAGAAGGTGTGGCCCAAGTAGACTGAAGTTTGGAGACCGTGGATGAGATCCTAAGAGTGCCGGTAGGAAGACCCTTGTCGGTTCTGTCGAGATCAGGACTGATCTGGTAGGAGAATGGTAGTCCCTGGTGCGAAGAAAGCACAAGCTGTAGATGATGTCTATCCACTATCAATATGAATGTGCAGTCAACTATCTATCCTCTGAAGGAGTTGAATTATTGTGATTACTACGTCATCCACCGATAATCCGATCGATCGATCGAGCATTATAAGCAGTCAATGTCCGCATCTACCACAATCCTGGATCCATATCACGTCCAGCCCAATGGCCCCATCTTCCCAAAGATTCCTCTTTGGAGGTGACCAGTAAGTCACTTCCTATTGTTCCTAATATAGCTAATAGGATAGACCATGGTCCCCCACAAACTGGACCTCCTCCGACGACCGCGTCCGAGGCGGCTCCTCGTATTCCACCCTCACCATTCTCCCAAACAACACAGTCCAATTCCACGGACATCTGGACATTACCACCCTCGGCGGAGCAGGGTTTGCCGCCCAGCGAACGACGGACGACTTATCCTGGGATCTATCTGACGCTGACGGGCTCGAGCTGGGAATCGCTGGTTCGGATGGGAAAATGTACACTCTAGTCCTTAAAGACAGGCTATTGCCTAAACGGGCTGATGGACGCGAGCAGAGTACGATTAGCTGGGAGTATGACTTTCGGACGGCGGGGAAGGCAATTGTGAGAGTGAGATGGGTTGATCTACGAGCGACGTATCGCGGGAGGGAAGCTGATGCGGAGCCGTTGGATTTGAGGAATGTCAAACGGATTAGTATTATGGTTCGCAGGTATGTTTTCATTTTGCAGAAAAGGGGTTGTTATTGATATGTATTAGTTTCTTTGGGAGGCAAGAGGGTGAATTTTTGCTGGATATTGCCTCCATTGCTGCGTTCCATGGAGACAGATGACCTTGATATTGAGACAAGTGACAAAGGGAAACGAACTGGACTGCAGGTAACTATCTTGCAGAGTATCACTACATTCCACTGCTGAGTTATAATAGCTGCCTTACAAGGAGAAGATCAGCCAATCCAGCAAGCAGCCCTGATTGACTCTAGACATAGAATCTATCGAATTAAAGTACACAGTACACCAGTAAAATTTTGAGACGACCAAGAATTTGTATATAGATTGAAATCAAATAATGGTCCTATTCTTCTTAATGAATGACTATCTAGGCCATATTTATACCTGAGAAAATAAGCATATTTGATTCAAAATGATTCTGCATCTGTGATATTCTATTATTAATTTCTTATAATCCTATATATTTGTAGTAGAATCCCAATAACCTTAGCTAAATCATCTATATAGGAAGGTTTAATGAAGGAATAGCTGAATTTGTCTATTTATTAAGTAGTAATCTAATTTAATATACTGCCCTAGGCCCCTAGCTAAGCTTAGGGTTGTTATTTTTGCAGGTCGGTACGGCGGACTGAATGTATAAACCAGCCAAAATAATTTTTTTACTGTCACCAGCTTGTATTACCTATAGCCACAAATAATTCCACGAATGTGCACTATTAACTTTCTATTACTATTCTTAATGATTAGCATATCATGATTTGTTATTAAACCTAACTCCTATTATCTCCTTTTGCTCCCCTAGTTGCAGCCACTAAGGTGTCCTCTACCAGGCATACCAGATCCTGTCATGCATCTGTGGATATGCTGGATGAAATGCATGTCCTTAACTTAGATAGTTACATGCTTTGCGTGTATAGCTACTAGATTCACTACTATTAACCTTCCTATTAGTTCATATATTATTTTATTTAAAAGTGTTTATTCTATACTTATAAACTCTGTGATAAGTATTGCTTCTGTAGCTTCCTAGAGGGCTAATAAGGTGCTTCCCTGCTAGTATATTTCCTTATTCCTGTTCATAACCTCCAGACAGATCTCTTAGACTAGATGCTAGAATAGTAACTTCTACATAAAAAGGTTAGCATCCTTCTAGTATTGCTTGATCTCCTATAATGCAGCAACTAATATAGGGTTAAATATAATAATCTATAAAATAATCTAGTGGTTAGGTACTTACCTCCTAGGCAGGTGTAGTACTTTTTCTTTAGCTATGCCTTTAGCATTATAACACTCTTCTATCTAGGCAATATCTTATGAGCAATCTACTTCAGCTTTGCTTATTAACCTAATGGTTTTCTACTAGTGCTCTTTTTAGCACTAGCTTTAGTTCTGGCCATTTTGATGTTGTGATATGAAGTAATAAATAAACTATATAAGATAGAGGGAATATATAGGGAATGGTAATTATGAGAGTAAAGATATAAAGTAAGAAATAAAGTAGGTGAGAGGAAAGGAACACACAGGAAATAGTAATTATAATAGAGTGGTATAATAGTAGGTGTAATAAAGTAGAGAAGTAGGTAGAGAGAGAATTCTCTTTATTTTAATATAGAATAAAGAAATTCCTAATTTAGTAAAGCTGAGGGTATTTACTAAAGATATATATAAGTAATATATTAATAATAATATATAAAGTACTTATTTAACTTATACTTAATTTACTTATATCTTACCCTCACCTTATATTAAATTTAGTGAAAACTAATTATATCTTACCTAACTTACCTTATTCACCTCTCTATTTTATTCTCCTTTAATATTATTACCCTTAATCTATTTATCTTATAGTAATAGTGCATATCTCTTAACTATAACTCCTATTATCTGTGACTTTACAATATATTAAGTTAAGTAAGTATTATGCATCTTATAGTATATATAATAGGATATATACTAATCTATGAAATAGTCTTAATATAGAGAATATGTAGTCTAAAGCCTGGTTAGCTTGCTAGCTATAAGTATAAGGGAGAGGAAGAGCTCTCTATAAATACTAATACTAAAAAGGTCTGTGAGTGGCTTGCTTAAATAACTAATACTAAGTAATAGTTAGAGAGAGTAAAGAATATAGATTATTAGGCTGTCTAGAGAGCCCTTAAAATACTCTAAGACTTAGAAGAATTTTAGAATGCCTCTAAGGAGGATAGAGCTCTTCTTATTAACACTACTAAGGATTAAGTCATGTAAAAAAGGTGAGATAAGAACTAATATATATAATAAACTATTCTAACTTTCTTATAGAGAGTACTAAGGTAGATCTAATAGCTAGGTTATAGAATGACTTAGCATTACTAAGGAGAGTGTATTTACCACCTAGGATAATAGTAATTTAGTATAGGAGTTAGAGACTAAGATAAACCTATCTATCTAGGAGAAGTGCTGGTAACAGAATAATATTAAGAGTTTTAGGCCTAATATAATACCAGATATTTTAAAATAAGAGCTAGAGGCATAGTATAATATTGCTAAGACCTCTAGAGCTAAATACTTTCAGAGCTATAGATGGTGATGGTGGTTAATGTACTAAAAGGAGGCTATCTATAACCTTATAATAAGGGTACTTACTCTATATAAGATGTCTAAAGAGCAGATTATAATAAGGCCACTATATAAGTACTTTATAGTAATAGACTATACTTATTTCTGCTTACTCTAATACTCCACTAATATCTAGCTAGGGGAGTAGATTAATCTGCTAGAACTAGCTAACTAGTGGCTAGAGGATTATAATTTTATTTACTAGGGCTTTAAAGTTTATAATAAAGACTAAGTCCTTATATAAGGATGCTGGGATATACTTAATCTACTATTTATAGATAGAGTCCTAGCAAACTTTAATAACTTTATATTTAGCTATAAAGAACTAATAGTCCTTCACCCTTTACTAGATTATTTTCTCCCTTAGTTAGCTCATAGGTTAGTATATAACTATAGAAAGCAAATCCAGGATTGATTCTTATAAGATAGATTTTATTTAAAAAGTAAAGCTATTATTAGCCCTTAGTTAGCTTATTAGTTAGTATATAACTATGAATATAAATCTGGGATGATTCTTATAAGATTTTATTTATGAAAAGTAAAATCCTTATTAGTTATAAGCCTATCTAGGCCCTTATTATAAATATTAATTTCATCTACTTTATCTACCCTGAAGCCCTCCTAATTCCATGCACTGGTTAGTGTGACAATCCGTCACCATGTTCCCCGCGGACCTCCTTACACAGAGCTTTCTGCCTATCTTAACTACTTACCTCTCCAGGGCTGTTTAGATTATTTATACTGTTCCACCCTCTATTTATATATCTCCCCACTATGTACATACTTCTTCCCCTCTTCTCTATGCTTAGTTTTCTATCAAAATACTACCATACTATTAGAATATAAGCAGTGCCATTATATAAAACTAAGCATTACTTCCTGCATCATCTCTTTTATTAGAAGGTTCAAGATCCAGCAACAAATGTGTTCTTTTTTATGTTAAGCACTGATCTTACCTCCTCTTGCAAAGAACCCTTCGCGTGCTAATAATGCTAATGGTTGGAGATGATGATACAATCTATTAACTGAGATTATAAAAGAATAAATAATGGCCAGACCTGTAGCTTCTGCTGAGGAGCCTGAGAACTAGTAAGGAGCTGGGAATGGAACCTATGACCCCTCCACTCAGCATACTAGACCAGGCTCAGGTTTCACTAGAAGGCTGACTGCCCTACTCAACCAGACAGAGAATGGTGGCCTTAATGAAGACACCCATGAGCCGGCTGATAGCATCTCCTATAAAGAATTCACTGCCCACTGGGGAATAGACCCTGAGCACTACTAGGAAGCCATCTCCTGGATCTATATTGCTTTAGACACGAAGGCAAACCAGAACTGTGCAGAGGCAGCTCTCCTAAATAAGCAACTTATTAAGAGCTAGAGTGAGACTGATAATCTCAAGCGCCAGAATGAATAGATCTATTAGGAATATAAACAGACCTAGGCCTAGCTCATCACTGCTAACCTTGAACATGATGAGGCCTGAGAGAAGCTTAAAGAGGTAATCTGTGAATAAAATAACTTCACCCTGCAGGTAGCCTACAGATCTAGCA